TGTTACACACATATAACATTATTGCTCATTTTCGGGTTAGGAATGAGAACACAATTCTTGAAGCCTAATCTCTTTAAGTAAATAAATGTATTGTAACAAAAAGCAAATCAACTTTTTAAGTAAAGTTAGAAAGAAATGACGTCGTCCCCACATGTCTTAAGTCAAGTAAATGAAGTGTTGATGAGGCCCAATATCTTTACAATCTGCACTGCGTACAAACGCCTCTGTACTTTTTGCTCTGAGTAAGAAAAAAACTCGTCAAAAACCATCAAACAAACCATTTTAAGGGGAAACGAAAAAGGAAGAAAGGTCAGCAAGAGCAACTGAAGAGGGATGTCTCTCCCCGGACCGACACACTGCAGTAGATGATTGCACGGCCGACATTTCGAAACCACAATAGGCAGTCAACAAAATGACAGATAATGACCATATCGGAGAAAGATGGGTCAGAAAGCTCCACTGTGCCACCTGAAAATAGGACAACATTTAAACACCAGCGTGAACGACACAAGAGCGGTCACGTTTGCTCCCGGATCCATCGTATACATTTCATGTTCTAGTCTTAGTTGCGTCTATTCTTTGCACTCACTAGAAAGAGTAACGTGGGAAACGGACGGCGTTCATGTGGCGCCCTTTTGCCTCCCATTCATTCACACTCAGCTAGCGGGGCCGAGCCGTGCAGCCTCCTAAAGCTTCAGACCGGTTTACATTTCCTCTGAATAGTTTCCGTAGGAGTCTGGTGCCGCGCATGCTGGAGACAAAGCAGGCATTTATATTCAGGGGTTTGAACCAAAGCCGCCGGGCTGTTGCTTCTTCGCGGTGCACAGACTCAGCCACGCGAGCGTACGTGACATTTACGCGTCTTTAACCTACCGACGAGCGCCCCTTCGTTCTCCCGTGGCATTTCTTTGATTTGGAAAATAAGCCGGCGTTATTGTCCTCTTGAGGATCGAGCGGCCGGCTGTTTGTGAAATGCTACTGTGCCGGATCGACCTGCAGTATTGAAGGATCCGGTCGTATACTGGAATACGGCTCTTGTGTGTAACCTGTGGGGCGAAGTGGCTCAGCCCATAAAGAGCTATAAAGTAAAGAGAGAGAGAGGGGGAGATGTGCATGAAGCCAAAGGACTACAACACGGAGCAGTATCATTAAGCGCGGACGAGACATAAAAGAGGCGATCAAAGAGCGTAAACTACAGATTCCCATTATTGTGTGACATTAGCCCGTAGCACACAGTAACCCTTAATGATCCCATGGGTGCCCGTAGCACACTGTCCTTTAATGACTTCCTGGTTGAATGGTTCTTGCTTCCCGGAAGCCCAATTCTGCCACGGAAAAGAGCACGACAGCTCGGCGCGCGCTCGTCCTTTCTGCACGGGAGCCGGTTTAATCGCAGTGCGTTTTTTTTTTTTTGTTTGCTCGTCATGGATTCAAGGGATGAAAGGCAGAGCACCCTCAAATAAACAGCAAATTATTCTCTGTTTATGTGGGCATCAGATGGGGCGATCATACGGGGTCGGATCAATTAATGAAACGCATACGGGCCGACTGAAACTCCACGCCGCGCTAATTAGGCAGCCGGCCGCTATGTTCAATAAATGGAAATGCATTCCTTTACATTCCCTTCGCTCCGTCTGTTTGCCTTCATCGCATCACCCTGAAGAGTTTAACAGAGCACTAATTCCTCATCTAATGTTCCCCCAACGCCTCGTTGCTTCCGCCCCCCCCTCCCCCTCCCCCGTGCCTTTCTGCCTCCATCCCTCCCCGTCTTTCTTCTCACGCTGATTGTCCCACGGGATCCCAGTAGTTGTCAGTAATCAAGGAAACGACTCTCTCGAGTTACAAATGGGTCACTTATCTGATGTGCGATCCGACGGAGAGAGACAGCCGGTTAGTCCCCCGCGTTTTGCAGGATGCATTGGACGCCGCGGCTGAAGCAACACGTAGATGGAGAGAGGGAGGCAGCGGACGGCAGAAATCACAGCTTTCATCATTAGCATTCCATTCCAGTGGCTCATTGGAGCAGTTGTCACTCATGGGATTCCCAGGGCCCCCGGAAGCCGTGTTTCTCCACTTATTCAATTTATTGATGTAAAAGACTCTTCATTAAGAGACACCGGTAAATGTGACATCTGGTCTCAGGTGCCCCCCCCCCCCTCGATGTGGAATTTTAAGCAGGCGCTGAAAGGCGGAGGCCGTGTGACGGGTAAGGGCTCCTTCGTCTCCTCCACGCGGTCTGCTTTGAAGCGCCAGCGAAGGGACGGGTCGCACGCCAACCTTCAGGCGCGCACGGACGCACGCAACCACGCGCACACGTTTGGCCGCAGCGGCAGAGGAAAACCTCTCGTGTTGCTCCCCCACTTGACGGCGTTGTTAATTATTGAACCCAGCTGGTGCTTTTGATCCTCGCCTGGTCTCTTACCTGTCAAACACTTCACTTCACACGGAAACATGACTTCAAGCTGCCTCTTAGGCCCCCGAGAAATACTCAGATGCAGAAATAGATGCAGGGTGGTGGTTTTTATTTTTTGATCGCAGCATTTCTTTTTTTTCCCACAACTCGACCAGATGTGTCCGAGGCCTTAAGAAGTTCGTCTCCCTCGCCGATAACTTTCTCGGGCGCGTTCTCGTTACCGCGATGCATAATCCGCCTGCTCTGCAGCGCGTTGTGACACTGATGAGGGTGAATGATCAAATTAAGTTATTATTTATGCGTCACTTCATCCCGCTATGATTGGCAGATGGTGGGCGTCGTGAATAATAAATGTAATCAGTCTTACTGTATCATTGTCATGCTACAGTGATTACGCGTACGCCAAGTAGACGAGGCCGAGTGCACAGATTGATAGCAGCGCTACAGCGCCGTGCAATATATCTGAACCTGCGGGGCCCAAGTATGGATCCTGTGTGAACTGAGCTCAGGAAATGAAACCTGCAAGTGCAAAAGGCTGCATGGGAGTGCGACACCGTAGGTGTGGGAGGAAGGCGTTGGAAATTAAGAGACCGGGTATCGTGTTCAAACAGAGAGATGTTTTATGCAGAAGCCGCCGTCACTGCTGAACGGATGAAGTAATTTCATTTTCATGCTTGATCTGCGGCCCCACAGACGGGTAAATTGCAGAGGAGAAGAGGAAGATGGAGACAGAAGAGGAGCCAGGCCTTCCCTTCCCCACTATTTGACTCTGGGATTATTACCTCTGACTTGTAATTTGTAACCAGTGTGAGGGTTCAGGCCCAATAAAAAAAAGAGTCAATCTGAGTTCGGGGGAAATGCGATACGCAGATAAAGCGCCAGAAGGTAGCGTGACCTGTCCAGGACCCATAAATCTATACAATCAATCAATTTGAATGGATTCAAAGTCGTTGGCCATTATAATTTAATCAACTGATCCCTGTGAATCAATATATTTAACGTGAACACAATAATCAGATTAAGGTTTTTGCATGCGGAGTCATTTTGTAGTTTAATGATTGTGATTCCCGACCATAAAGGGTTCACAGGAGAAACACCAGGGTAACAACAACCCTAGAAACGGTACTGGTACCTTACAAATCTGACTATTTCCATAGGATTAAATAGTATTCAATAAACTCTATTTTAGACCGTTTCTCTTTCACGTCTCTTTCACTTTCACTAAAAAAGCTTTAAAACACAATTCAGAGCAAATCTATGATTCAGTCAATGTTGGGATCCACACACTGAAGCATATCGAGCACATTGAACTTCTTATATCTGTCGCAGGTCCTGCAAGTCGTTGTGTTGGCAGCAATACGCCCACAAAGCTCGAGGTCGATCGGATAAAGGGTTCCCATGACACGCAAAGCACACACACACACACACACACACACACAGCGAGAGGATCCTTACAGTTAGATTGATTTAATGCTGCCGCCTACTCACACAGAATTGTCCACGGTCACTCACAGACCTCACAGCCACACAGGACATGGTTGGTAATATAATACGTTCCCAGAGAAGACGTGTGCAGTCCACAGATGTTCACCAGATGTGCACAACACAATTTTAAGGAAGGTCGGAAAAAATAAAAAAATGTTTGGTCACAATTAAAAAATCTTTCATGAACCAAATGGCCGTGAATCATACTGATAAATTTGTGTTTTTTTTGTTTCTGAGTAGGTTCTAATGTAATAGCATCACCATCTGGCCAAATTACACCAGGTTCAATGTTGGCAACACCCACACACACAAACACAGACGTACAGAGATTCTTTGCTTTATAGTTCAAAGTGTCAGTTACGTTGCTGTATTGTGAGATAGTCGAATCCTTGGAGCCGATTGGAAATCATTGCCACGGAAAGAAAAGCTTCAATGCTGTTTTCTTTTGTCTTTGTCTTATCAAGATGCTGCTCAGCAAAAGTATTGACATTTGTATTGCAGTGGAAGCGCTCACACTAGAACTTGTTCAAATTAAAATATGTCACTCTTTAAATGTCACATTTTGATTCGTGTGAGATCCGTTAGTGTGAGAAATAACAACTTTGGTGTTAAAGGTGTAACGGGAACATTGAGATATGAAGCGCCTGTCAGTCGCGGTGGAGAATAAGAGCTTTTTACTCGTGCGTCATGGCTTGACTCACCGGCACGCCAGTTATCCGTCTGAAATACCAGCATAACTGGCAGTAAGGTCCTTTTACTTGCTGAAGGTCTGCCGAGACGCCGCCATGAAAGAAACCTAAAAACTCAACAGGTCAGACAAAATTATCCGACTGGCTCCTTTTTCTCTCACTGCACGTTGCTCAATTTTCTTTTTTTTTTTTTAGCTTCAGTCGTCCGACTCGAAGCCTGACCTCAAAAGAAAGATGGCAGTGGAAATGTTCTCATCTATGTGTCCATCCCAGTGTCTTCTCACGCTTCTCTCAAAACTTTATTTTACGTTTTCCGACAAGTCGCGTCTCTTTGCTCTGATCCTGCTGCGCGTTCTGTTGCAGCTAGAAAGCCGGGTTCTGTGTTAAGCTTGTTTCTCTGGTCCCGTCCTCAGATCCGCTCCGATCAGGACAAGGCCGCCGGCATCCGCTACAGCATCACGGGAGCCGGCGCTGACCAGCCGCCGAGCGGCATCTACAACATCGACCCCATCAGCGGCAACATGTTCGTCACCCAGCCCCTGGACCGGGAGGAGAGGGCCTCCTTCCATGTAAGGAAAACGTGTCCGTCTTGTCTCTCCCCCCCCAACCACCCCCCCCCTCCAGCTCCATACGTCTCATTATATCCTAATCATCGCCTGTGGATGTGACCCTCGCCGGTCCCCATCCACCTTTCATTCCAACACTAATGTCTCGCCTGGTGGGGGAGGGAACAAAACAAAAAAAGCAAAAGTTGGTGCACACCAGCACCTCAGGGTTCTGATTGATGCCCGAGCCAGCGATGAAAGGACCAGCGGCTCGGCAAAAACACTCAGCCGCTTCAGCCGGCATTTGGCGTCGCGGCTTAACGGCGCCGAGGAGCGCGGATAGAGCAGAGGGAGAAGAGACGGAACCGAGGCGGAGTGCAGAAAAGCTGTTGCCTTTGTTCTCACCATCAGAGCTAATGAGCAGGTGCAGCGTCTAGTGTGTACGAACATGTCTGGAATGCTGATTGACAAACAAGGTCTGTTTTTACCATGAGCAGCTACCCCATCTCTCACACACACACACACACACACACACACGTCTTTTACCAAGCTCGCCTTTTGCAGCTGTCACGCTCAAAGGTGCAGGCTAACAGCTGTACGCTTAATGCTGCATACGGCCGATAGGATTTCCCGCCTCACACACGCAAACACGCAGGAAGCTGCAGGTTGGAGTTCAGGCCCGGACCCCTTTAGAAGCTCGGGGTTGAACGGCTTTGCGTATCTGTAAATTACACGCACAGACGCGTGCAAACGCCATCGGCCATCTGTTTACAGACGCGCGTTACGGCCTTCAGTTCACATCCGAACCCCGGTGTAAGACTTCTGACACCTGCGTGCCCGACAGGTTGATAGATGCCTGCGCTGCTGATTCAAAAGCATGCCGCCATCTCAGGGGGAGAATAAAGAATAAGAGGAGGGCGGATGTCTGCAAGCGCACACTCTGAGCAGTATGCACACATTATAAATGCCAGTGCACACACGCCTAAACAAGCACGGCTGTAGATTGCCTTCTTGATTGGTTTGTCACATACTTCTGTGTGTGTGTGTGTGTGTGTGTGTGTGTGTTCCATTTAGTTTTCGATGAGCCTCTTGTTATCTCACTTGCTGCGTTCGGGGCTCTGGATATTGCTGCGCGAGTGTTTGTTGTCTCCCCGTACCTGCTCTTACACTCGAACAGCAAATTGGGATCAATAAAGCTGCCGGGTTATTGGTCCCTGGGAAAGGACAGCCGCTCAGTAAACACTTCTTATTTGACACCGCCTGTAGTGAAAACTGCATGTTGGGTCCAGGGCACTTCAAGTGGAATGCGGCTCCTGTTAAGACTCCCGTGGACCCGTGCTGCATGCGATGTATGATTTAGTGGATGGATCCACAGCTTGACACAAGGGAAATTTTGCACATTGCTCACTTGCTTTCAACTAGACAGGAAGTCCCCAGCACCGCCGCGCTCCCCGCCGGCCAAATCTTTGCTTGTTAGTTTTGGGTTGAGGAGAAAAGGCCGAGGCGGCCAGCGGACGTGATCTGCGCGCTGAGGCGCAGCCTTGAGGTAGACGTAGAAAGAGTCTGCAGCCACTGGCCGTTCTCAGGCACGCTAGTGTAGTGGCTCCTAAATATGTATGTATATTTATGCAATAATATATACACGTATACCTTTTACAGTATATCAAGTTTTCAGTCTCGTAGTAGCAGATCCATCCCGCCATGAGCACGCTGTGTAGGTACCGTGTGCGTGTGTGGTAGTTGCACTTTACCTGCATGGCGGACTTATTGTACGGAAAATCACACAATTATTTGCTCATAGTTGCTGACAGGACCTTTTTTAAGAACAAACTCCTCACCTTAATATTAAGGTTAATATTTTGGAATTGTGGAAAATTGATTTCCAATTTCTAACTTCATCCAAACCATGAATTTGAATTAATTGATAAAAAATGTATTTATCAAGCGGCTGCAGGATAAGGGGGCCGCAAGGCCAAATACGACTGAGTAGCTTCTCTGGCCGGTCGGTCCAGTCATACTAAAGCTGCGCCTGCAGAATACTGATGCAGATACACACAGACACACACACACACACACACTCCTCCAGGCCATAAGATCACATTTCCAATTCCTCCATCGAGCACACAAACACACAGACGTATAAACAGACTCTGGTGCTCACGCTGATGTAGAGATTTAGAAACAAACACACACTCGCACTTACACATACACACGCAGACACACACCTTTAAACTACAGTACGGATCTAGTATGGAAAAAGATGAGTTATTTCAGATAACATTACACACACACACACACACACACACTTCCACAGGCTGAATGGCTGAAACAAACACGGTTTACCAAACACAAAAAAAAGCAACGTCATCATCACACATTCACACTAATACGCGCTGAAGCAGTCACACATCCCTCAGCGTGCAGCTGAGAAAACAGATTGGGCTTGTTTGTTTGCCGGCTCTCTTCTCCATCTTTGTTTGCTGTGCTCCAGCCAATGGAAAACTAGCATCTCGAGGGCCATTAAGGGCCTAAAGAGGCCTGATTTCGATTGGCTGTGTTTGTGTCCACGACCAGCGCGGACCCCTTCGCGTCTGTCGAGGGGCCGCTCGCTGTGTGCGAACACGGGCGCGACGTCTCGTAACGTCTTCAACGGGCACAAAAGCCGACGTGATTAGCCGCGTGGCGGTGCAGGCAGGTGCTGCCACTCCATCTTTTGTATGTTTGTCCACAATGCATCACTTCCTGCAAATAGGCCGGCGGGGCCAAGCAGATCCTCCTCGACTGTGTTGACAAAATATATTTTGCTGCCAGTGTGTCGGCTTCCTCCTCTCATCTCACCGAGGCCCAGCTGTGGTTGAATAGCATTTCGGCGGAGGAGATGTATTTTCCCAAGCGATTGGACGAGGGTAATGTACGTCACAGAGAACAGTGGCGCTTTTGGTTCCAGGGCCATTACGAGGCGCTGCGTTATGTTAGATATCATTAGTGGGGAGTGGAGGGTGTGTAACGGCAGCGGTGGAGATTAAGACATCCCACTGTCGATGATGATTGCTTTTGTCAGTCCTCCCTGTTCAAGCACCTCCCTCCCTCCCTCCCTCCCTCCCCTCCCCGACCCCCTCTGCCTCTTTGTGCTTTCATCTCTCATTTACTTGCACAAGGCTCAGTCACTCTCTTCCTCCGCTTCCCGTCTCATTCGCCTTTTCTTTTTCCTTTCTCCCTGCGACGCTCCTTCGCCTCCCCCTCCCCTCCCTCACGCAGGCAGTTGTCAGGGAGCAGCTCATCAGTCGGAGACATCCATCCAAAATGGCTGGCTTTGTCAAAACAAACGCGAGACGTAAAGAAGCCACCGCTTGAGCTCAGAACAGATCTGTGATATGGGCTCAGGCCTTCGGCTGTGCCAACAACAACAACAACAACAAAAAGACGTCGTGTCTGGAGCGTTTAGCGTCTTTGTCCACTTCCGTGTTGTTGTGTTCCTTGCCAAGACAGGATACTCGGGCCCCGTTGGCAAACAAGTAAAGGAGCATTTGCCAATTAGATGAAGTTGCCAATTAATAAAGTCAAAGTGTGTGTGTGTGTGTTTGTGTGTGTGTGTGTGTGTGCGCCGGGTCGGATCCGGTCCAGACAGTCTGCACGAGCTCATATATCAATCAAGCCGGCGGCCGGCTGTCAGTGAAGCTGCATTTGGAATATTTATGCACGCTGATGTTGGGGTTGAATGACAATAATGCCGTCTTGCTTTGTGTGCGTTTGTGTTTCTCAGCTGCGAGCTCATGCAGTGGACATGAACGGCAACCAAGTGGAGAATCCAATCGATCTCTACATCTACGTGATCGACATGAACGACAACAGGCCGGAGTTTCACAACCAGGTGTACAACGGCTCTGTGGCTGAAGGGTCCAAACCAGGTAAGAGCGAGTGTGTATTTTTTCTCTCCATCCTGCTTTTACCTCCCTGCCTCCCCCTCTCTCCCCCCCTGGGAGTCAGCGAGCAGAGACCTTGAATGGTGTGCTTACAAACAGCAAGAGAAGATGCTGCATATACTCGCGTACATTGGGGATTTGTACACAAACTGTGTTATATAGTATGCAACCGTATCGTGTTGGAACACTGAAGACGACGTGAACAGAAAGTGCTGCTTCATTTTATAACAAGAGGAGAATATGAGCTCAGGCTGCACTTTTTGTTCAGCTCTGGATGGCAAATGGAGTCGTAATGGAAGCCATATAATGGATATGAATACAAGCATGTGATCATCTGCAATTGCATTGTTACACTTTAAAATGTACAAAGGAAAAACTAAAGTGAAGGAAAAGCAGCAATCCAGTCGAAGACATTGAAGACGGCCTCCACGGAACCTTAATGCTTCAATCTTACTCACAATCTCCTTGACGAGACTTGGAGTCGTTTGTCCAAACAACATTCTGACGTGTGAATTTGCCCGGGACTCAAGTTTTTCGCGTTGGTTCAGACGAGGGCGAGTTCATGAGATGTTTGTGTCACAGTATCTTGGCTGGATGAATCATTATCAGATTCCACAGAGCATGGAGAGACGCAGAGCTTCGCTCAGGAGCCGGAGACAGGAGCTGCGGTCAGTGCGAAGCCGAGAGCCGAATGCACAAGCAGCCCGTGTGTCTCGACTGGACGAACTCTTGTTCTAACAATCAGACCCCGAGGACCCCTGTTTGTCTTCACAGCGTTCACATATTGTTCTGTTGCGAAATTTAATCTCATGGGAATTTGTAAACAATATAGGAAACCATGCGTGCGTGTGTGTGTGTGTGTGTGCGTGTGTGTGTGTGTGTTTGCTGGCCGCTCTTCAGTGGAGCGTGAGTTTATGTAGCTAATTAGCGAGGGCAACCAGACTTTCCACATGCTACAGTACTTTCTTCCCTTTTCACTCTGATAATCTCTGTTTAGTTTCAAACGAGAGCCTGCGAAGACAAAACTCTTTGAATTAGATTTTGTTTTGAACAGAAAGGTAATCCGTGATGCCAATTAACAAAAGATATGTTACAATGTGTGCAGATAAATTACTTTGCTTTTCATAAGGTGATCACAGCAAAGCAACATTTGTTTGCAGAGCGCACAGTGTCAGGTGTTGACAGATGTGCGTACAGCTTCTTTTGCTTTTGCAGTCTTTGGTTTCTGAATTGATGAATTTTAATTAGAAAAAAGGCCGCAACGCCGTGTTGGCCTAATTGCCTGTTTAGCTGAGGAAAACAAGGAGTGTGATTCATCTTCAGTGTTGGTTTAAGGAGACATTTTAAACTTTTCTGGCCCATTTAAGCCTTTAATATATCCTCCGCTAGTTGAATCGTTTATTCACTAATAATGAAGCCAGTTTAGACCTCGAGTGCCGCTGAGCTTTGAAGAAGTTGTTTTTATACCCAGCAGCAGCAGCGTAGACGGTCGGCAGGTTACTTTTGTCTTTGAAATGTGACTTTTGCGACCGGATGCACCAGATTAGGACTCAGTTATGTGCACACATGTGCACACATGACAGTCAAAGGAGCGGATGCAAAAACGGTGGATTAATGAATGTTGTTTCCTGGTATCGGTGACCTGAAGATACAAACTTACGTCCAACAAAATGAATCAACCCATCTTGGTTTTTTTTATAAAAGGAAAAGTCATTGCTATTCATTAGCATAAACATCAACAAGCATGTGTGCCACATTTTACTGGTCACTTGTAATGTGAACACAGCATCACTCTCCCTCTCTACTGCATCAGTACACCAATTCAGCTTAATTCATTCAGTGATTAACACGTTTCTTCAAATGCAGGTTTGGTAACAAACATATTCGTTCTGACTAAACTTTTTTCGGTGCCCCTTTCTTAAACCCAATGGCACAATAAACATCTGATTTAATAGAATAAATACGTGAGTGTGAGGTCCTCCGGAGCGCAAATAACACCGTTTTTTTTTTTTTTCACTTATTCACTATATTTGACCAACTGCAGGTCCACAGATTCTTACATCAATCACTCTGTGGACTCCAGAAGCTCCCATGGACATCCCTGAGGTGTTACCCCGGGTGACACCCCCTCGCTCCCGCCTGCCTACGGGTGGTGTTTTGAAACCCATCACAGCGGTTGCGGTTGACAGGTGCTGCTCGGGGCGCCGTATCCAGCGATGCTGCTGGAATATCTCAGTTCTCTCTTCTCCCATCGCCAAACAGCAGGTTCAAACAGTGGTGAAACATCAAAGGATTTCTCTCTCCGCGACGCATTACGATCGACAACAGTTACTGTCACAAACATGTATTGTGGCCGTGCACCGCATCTACCGATCGGACCACAGAAAACTCGAAAGTTAAAAAAAAAAGTTAACAGAAATGTGCGATGATATTGTAAGGAGAAAAAAGGTATTTTCACCAAATGTTTTACGCCAATTTAAAACAGACATGCACATTTTCTCACTTGCTCCTTGACGCTGTAGACAACTTCTCCAAAAAAACTGATCTGCGTGTTAAGACGCTACTGGGTGTAAAGACTTTAATCTTCGGAAAATGTATTGTCAGCAACCACAATTCAAGCAAAAGGTGTGAAACTGTCCAAATCAATCCCAAATATTCTTAATTCATGCACTCATGGCTTGCAGCCAATCCTTCATTATCTCAAATAGAGCCGTAGTTTCACACTATCGTCGGTGTTTCAGCAGAGACGTGTATGTCAATGTGGCAATGAGGGGCAAAAATAAACTTTTGTTTTTGATTATGGTTGTCCACTAAAAGGTTTTGAACCCTATTTTTTTTTTCCCCGAAATGCCAAGCAGAGGCGGGATACGTGTAAAGCCACAGTGGTATCACCTTCTGTATCTACACAGCCCGATATCAAAGGTTCTCCAAAGCATTACAACACATCTTCGCATCTGGCGGCGTGTGGAAGCCATCAAAGAGGGGAGAGCTACGGGGAGCCGCCCTTATCGCCGCCACCAGATGTTAAGTAGTGAGCGATCCGATCGAGCCGTCAGCTCAGGATCAGACTGAAAACGGCTTCATTTGTTACTCTTTTTCCCCTCCAGGCCGCCGCTCCGCGCAGCGTGAACCTGTGACTGATGCAATTTGATTTGTGCAAGTAATGAAATATAACAAAACGGTGCGTGATTGAAAGGAGCTACCTGAGCGCATTCACCTCCCGTTAATAAGGAATGAATGGAATCGATATCAAACAAGGATCCTCCTCGATGGGTTGAGTATCGTGGGAACAGAGGAAGAGCAGCGCGGGGCGCGCGTGAATTGAGAAAACGCATTCAACACATTTGCCCCCTTCGAGGTCCCCAAAATGATCGTGACTTCTGTAAAATCGTCTCGACTGACATGTGAGACGGTCTAACGGCATGGCGTGAACAATGTCTGAACGCCTGCCATGTGGCGCTCTGTCCTGCTCCCCCCACCCCTCCACCCCTCCGACACTGACGGCCAGTCGTTGCCTTTTACGGGGAACCTTCCTCAAAACAGGCCTCTGTAAATGAGAGTGCATGATCAAAAGCGAGCCGCTGAGTGCCTTCTCTCCCAGCCGATTTGCCCTCTCAATGGAGGGACAGGTTCGCTGCCCCCCCTCTCCCCCTCCCTCTCCCCCTCTCTCTCTCCCTCTCACACTCAAGCTAACCGTTGCAGAGAGAGAGAGAGACTCCCCCTCTCCGTCTTGCTTGTAATTAGGGATCGACACAGGAGGGAGAAAAGGTGATGCAGGCGAGCCGAGCAACATCTCAATCAGTATTGAGCCTAAATTTAGCGAGCGGGTGTGTTTCAATGTGCTACTTTATTGTGTCCAATCCAGAGAGCACATCAGGGCCACACAAACAATCGTTTCATTTCATCATTGCTTTCACCTCAGTGCACAAAAACTTTGGGTCAGTTTACTTTCTAAACTTTCCTCACAGGCAGCAATGCAGCGCTGAGAATTCATCGCACCTGTAGGTGTCAGTTTTATGAATAGATTCTTTTCACCTAAAAAAATTATTTTCCCAGGCATTCCCATACAGTGTGTTCCTTTTGGAACGCTGACAAAACATCAGCAGACCTTTAGTTGAGCGCTACAGTAGTAGTAGTACACCACAATGACAACGCCGTAGAAAAGGTCAGTCTGACCCATTTCAGTTTTCACAGTCTTTGAAAGTTATTCCAACAAATTGGAGACTGGAGAGACAAAGGCCGAAAGTCTATCGACATTCGATGAATTCTAGAATGTTTCAAGCCCCAATCTTTAACCAAAGGAACTCTAATGGCATTGCCTTGAAAAAAAGCTTTTCCTGAACCACAAAGGGCAGGTTTTCTCGGGTTAAGTAGTTCCACCTCGTGGGATGCCTCCATAAAGAAATGCAAACACTGCTGCTCATCTTTTGTACGGGTCATTCAACCAGGTGCCTTTCAGGCCCAATCCGCGCTTTGGAAGTGCTCCAGCCAGCAATCAGCTGCCATTGTCCGTGCAGAAAATGAGCAGCAACTGCAAGCGGAACCCTTGACATCGTAAATAACTCCTCCCACGTGGTCGCTCCGGTGCCTTTCTGTGTGACGGTCTGACTGGTTCCCTTTCAAACTGGCTCAGCCTCTGCTTTCCTGCATAAGCAGGTAGCGATGCTCCTCGTGTGAACCAGGTAATATGCCTGCTCTTTCGCATTGATTACAAAGTGCGGTCTTTTTCTTTCCTTTTTTTAATGATTTGAATGGTTTTCCCCTTTTCTAACTTCCCTCCAGGTCCCTCTCGACCTCTACCTGGCCTCCTTGCTCTATATCCACTGTATTCTACCCTCTATCTTCCCTCCACTGATGAGAGTTATTATCCTCTTACACAGTCCGACCCCTGCCCTCGCGGCCCCTTGCTTCCCCTTCTGCTTTTAGTGGCCTTTATAAACCTCTAACCCCTGTTCTCGTCTTCACTTTCTTTTTCTGCTGCTCCGCTTCGTATCTGTGTGTGCGTCTCCCTCTTACTGCTGTCGATCTCGATCTATCTTCCTCTCACTTCCCCCTAATTGGGAGGCAGATGTTGACTCTGGCTAACCAATGTTTCTGCAGCAGATAGACCTCACCGGAGAGCTCTGGACACGTGAGCAAAATGGCCGACAGAACGTGCGCCCGCCACCGGTTCCGTTTTCAGCCCCAGCGATGTTGGCGGAAAAGCAATTAGGGTTTGGAATTAGTGTTCAAATTAGAGCGGAATTAAACAGGGGATTAACCCTTTCAGGCATGGCCGACGGTCTTTGGGTGTAAAAGCGCGCCGTCGCCACATAAGCAAATCCTCCTCGTTAAAGGTAAGGTAGCAGCGTTGACATGTGATGCTTCCCTACGGGGCTGGAAAGGCTGGTTATAGACACACTGATGCTTTCCTCGGTGGAATAGCCGTAATTGTTTTCAGTCTTATCCTTCCTGGGAAAAAAAAAAAGACAAACCCGGCTTTGAAACTTTGAAACGCGTTTGAAATGGGATTCGAGTCTACAACCATCCCCTCCGTCACAGGACCGATGGTGCCATCCAGACCCAATTTAGAATGGAGGCACCTGTAGCTGCTGGAACCCAGGAGGGACGGCGGGCTCTTGCTACCCGTCTAGCATCTCTGCTGGCTCGGCTGAGACGTTACATTCATGAGGCAGAGCTTACGTCTGCTGCACTCTAAAATATATTTTTTAGTGCGTGCTCAACATGGCGCCCACCTCCCACCGGCGTGCCCGCCGAGGCAACCGGAGTGCTCACGCATTAGCCGCTGAGGCGCTTTTTCTCGCTTACTTACATGAACACAGTGGCAGGATTTCCGCATTTTTATCAAAAATGTTGTAGGCGTTATAATTACCACTCTGTCCTTTTCCCTCCCCCTCGTCTTTTTTAATACTTCAGCAGCTCCCATGTCCTTGTCTCTCCCCTTTCAGTTTTTTCTCTACTTACACTGTCTTCTCCTTTACATGTTAGTGCTCCAGCCGTCTCTTCTCTCTGCTGTCCCCTTGCAGCGAGCTGACAGTATTTTTTTGGCTGCTGCAGCAGCAGCAGCAGCGGCGGCAGCGGCAGCCTGTAAATAGCTGCCTGATGGAAAGTGACATTTTCACAGAACCCTTTGAGAGAGGCGAGGTGATCTCTCCTCTATCCAGCACAAAGTGCTCCTAATTGCCTGGTCGCATTTGTGAGCTCAGCTGACAAACTCGCGCAAATCAATAATTCTGCTTGTGGGGGGGGATGTGGGGACACGCGGCCCCTCGTTCTGATTCGTGCTGTTGAGACACACACACACACACATGCACATACATATAGGTGAACACACATAAGTAAACATTCACACAAACACGCATGCTCTCTCACGCACACACGCCGCCCTGCCACTGCCGTGCTGCCTGCCCCGCGTGGCGGCGTTTATCCGTGATGCTAAGACAAATAGGGAGAGAGCATCGGAGCATTAAGGGCGGCCGCGCTGCGGCTGAAGGCTGAAATAATGGAATGGTGGAAATTGCTGAAGACCCAGCGCTGCTCATTACTAAATGGACTCTGCAGAGGTGGAAAGTTTGCAGCACCAGCTTTCTATTCAGATGGTAGAACAGAGCAGCTGGAAATCGGGTCTCGTTTCACAGCTTTTGTTTGTGTTGTTGTGTGAGAGACGCTAAAAGATGCTCGCCAGAGAACAGAGAACGTTACCGCAATTAGCAGAGTCTGATTGAGTTTCCTCTGAGCCCTCGTCCTTTTCTTTGAATATTTTTCAATGTATTAACAGTAGTGGGAGACCTTCATCGCGCCGCACATATGTACAGAAATCTGTGGGAGCAAAAGGGCCGTGTAAAGCAAACCCTTGTAATTTAATGAACGCCTCAACGCGTTTTTCTTTTGTCTCGCTCTCGACCCGACTTAACCCTCTCTGCCGGCGTGCGCGCCATCCGCTTTTCACATCATTCCATCTGGGCCTCTGCCCGGCTGACTCCCTCTCTCTCTCTCTCCCCCGCAGGCTCGTCTGTGATGCAGGTGACGGCCACCGACTCGGAGGACTCCACCACGGCGAACGGCATGGTGCGCTACCGCATCCTGTCGCAGACGCCCCACAGCCCCATCCCCAACATGTTCACCATCAACAGCGAGACCGGGGACATAGTGACGGTGGCCGCCGGCCTGGACAGGGAGGTCAGTGTCGCCTTTGCGTCTCCCCCCCACCTCCCTTGCCCCCCCCCCGCTTGCGTTCGATCATTTTGCGTCGAGCACGAGTACGAGTCAGTGGCGTGATGTTGGGTTATTGTACCTCTTGGCCTTCAACGGTCAGGATGATTCATTCAGGGGTTAAAGTGGAGAGACGAGCAGAGCAGATTTGTACAGAGAGGCAAGCTGCCCCCCCCGCGCCCCCCCTCCTGCCTCACACTTTGGCATCAATCTTCTGTCTCTTGGTAAGAACGGGAATAAGCATGTTTTTGTACATTTTAAACTATTTCTTATCCCTCCCCCCTCAAAGGTAGCAGGACACGCATAGTCACTCTATTTTGGTAACTTGATTTACGGTGGGACCCAGCCGCCGAGCTGCTCCCTAATGTGCCCCCCGCAAACAGAAAGAATCATATTATTTCACACGGGATTTTTTGCAGGGACCAAAAGTGCCACATCGTTTGCTCACACACGCACACAGAACTCAGCTGGGTCGTGCTTCACAGCACCACTGTTCCTCCCCCAGCCTTCCTCTCACACACGGCAGAGCTTCTCTCAACTCGCTGTGGTGAAACGTTACAAGAACATGTATATCTATTTACCAAATACAGGCAAAGGTTTGAATCCATATGCTGCTGTTACGAGAATAATCGCGTCCTCATAATTTAGTTGGCTGATTTTACTGGAAAGACATGAGTGTGTGTCTCATGTTTGTGTCCCACTCGACACCCAACTTGGCCAGGCAACACTTTTGAAATTAAAACTGCATTTTACAGCAAGGCGGAGCGTGTTTGGAGAATAATTACAGTTAAAATCTCAAGAACACAACCGGGTTTTGACAAACGGAAGAGTACAATACTGTAAATCAGTGCTGGTTCTTTATTCGGCTGTTTCACAGAGCTGGCACGGCTTGATGGCGCTGCGCATTTGTGGGACAAAATGAATGAGTCAAGTGAGCGCGCGCCAGCTCTGTGTCCCTGTTTCCAGCTTGGCCCCGGCGGCAGCAGCAGCTGATGTGAGCGAGAGAAAGCTCATTAATCTGGACACATCAAGCCGGGCTCAGTCCCACCTGCCTCTGATCCTCCCACTAAAACTGGGACACACCTGGGAGTTCACCCACCTGCTGTCAAGGTCGTCAACGCAAACACACAAACGTGCTCGGGCACGTGGGCACGTGCTCACTTCCACTTTACTCCCATGCAGCGCGGCGTGTTGGTTGGCCGCGGTGAGGGAGTGAGGGGGGGAGCAGCAGATAGGTTGAATTACATCCAAGGTGTCGAGCTGGATCCATGAGTGGTGAAAACACACGCTGAAAATAGGCATGTGCTTTTTGTATTGACACTGAACAACCTATAAACACCGTTGCTGCGCCTACATATCCCACATCTTTCCTCCTGTGCACTGCTCTTACACTTTAGCCCATCCTCGTCTCCCATGCCTGTGTCTAATTACAATATTCATGTGCTAATTAAGGGGTGAGGCAGGTTCTCTCGTGTTGAGAAGACCAGGGGGTACATGGAGGTTAGCCTGGTATCACTTACCTCTGACACCACTGAATACCAATTACTCTCCCTCAATCCCTCAACCTCCCTCCTCCCCTCACATGCTCCAACTGTGTTCCTGACCTCAGGCTAACTAGCCGGGCTCAGGCAACTACACGCGTGTTTGACTCTATACATGCGACAGTACAACATGGCTATTTACATGACAATAAATACTGTCTGAATCGTACTGAATTCATTTCATTTGGCATTTGTGTGTTGATTACATCCAGATGTTGATACACTAAAAAGGAACATGATGAGCTTCTGGACCTTCCATAAATCTTCTCTAACTGGACCTCTTTGCATAGTAGTTGAATACCCCTGGTATAAAGTATACATGCTGTACCAAAAATAGACCACGATGAGAATACATTTTTAATGAAGTCCGGTGCAGCAGGTAGCAGAGCGGGAGACGTCGGGGTGCCACAGCTGGCTTGGATGTTCTCCCTCCGTGCCCTCTCTCCACATGGCTGCTGTTCCACTGGCAGGCAGAGTTGTTGTCTTTCATTACCCCGGGCTGTCTCAATCTCTCATGAGCCCCCGATTGGAACGGCCTGGCGTGGCGTGGCGTGGCGGGGCTCGGCGCCAGGCCGTCCGCCGGGTCGATGCCAGCTCTAGGTTGGACTATCTCGCTGATGATTAGGACATTGCCTGGACGGCTTCAAGGACACGTGTGCCCACAGCCTGGCTCCATTAGGATCTGTAGGGCCCGACTGGATATAAGCGCCAGGCAGGCACCCTGAATGGGATTCTATTGTCTCATAGACCCCGAGGGATGTGCGTGTGCATGTGCAGTGCCTTGCAGCAAAACGTCAGGAGCCAGACGGTGTAGCCGTTGGAGAATTGTGAGCACGGTTGCTAAGTGGAGAATACAGAGGTCGATGTTGACGACTTATATTCAATCAAGAAAACATCCATTCATATGCACCTTATAATGTGCACTGAGGACCTTAATTGATTAGTTGCTCTTATGCCTTTTGTTTCAAAACCACGTTTCTCCACCCGCGCTTTTCTATTTTCGTCCAGGTCAGTTATTCAAAAGCTCTCTGATGAATATTCACTACCAGAGCAAAATCTTTACAGATATTTTCAAGTCCATTCTTTTGTTTGTTCTTATGGGTAATCCCCCGATGACTATGACAGCCTGTTCTTTAGGCTTCTTATTTCCATTGTATCGGCACAAGACATCCACGGCAGCATCACCAGGTCTCAAATCCATTTCATGTTTTCCTTTTCATGGGATAAATGTCAGCGTTTCCGTTCAGGAATAATACACATATTTAGTACTAGATGGACCTTTCAACATCATTTCAAATATTATCAGAGAAGCAGTGACGCCAAAACTGTTCATTGGTTTGTTCCGGATCTCGGAAAAGAAAAGCACCCGGACAGAAATATCTTCTATATATGCTGAACTATAATGGATGTATTGTCATCAAATATTGTATAGTTACGCTCCGCAGAAGGTGAAAGCTATTGACTTTGGTGACCCGCTGACATTACCGCTAGCAGATTCTTTACTTATGCTGTGAAATATCACTCTATTTAAAGAACGGGGAAATATTTGCTATATCCCCAGATAATACCCTTATTGTGGCACCACCATGAACCTGACATTTTTAGTGGAATGTCTTGGCATTGCCCTTAATTGTAATAATGTCATTGATCCACTCACAGGTCCCTAACAACGAAATCAGCCTATGAAATTCATTTTACTTTAGTTCATCGGCCCTTTGTGTTCAGTGCCGATTGGTACATTTCCAAACATGTGAGCAGCTGAGGCGTTTACGTTGTCGGAAAGTAAACCGTAAGCATGTTGGCATTGTCATGGTTAGTATGAGTAGAATCTCTGACTTTTCTTTAATGTGAGAGTCTCACAGTTGGTTTCTGCTCCCTTATCTTGTCTCTTAGATGCCCGACATTTACCTTTCGTTCTGTTTGTGGGACCAATTCTGCCAAAAGCATGCTTATCATGCCAGGATCATGTCCTGTCTGTTATATTGTAACGGTCCTGAACTGTGTGTTTTTATTCTAGCAGCTGGATTCATAAATGACTCACAGCTTTTATTTATCTAGTTTGTGACTCTGAGCTGTTCGCTTAAATGTGGAAGCGCATCTAATGGAATGGATTCTGAGCTTATATCTCAGATTCATAGTATCTGCGTATCTGAGTCTACAGTGACATTCAGACAGAAGCTTTCAGGGAACAGTGCCCTGCTTCATGTTCTCTTCTAAACCAGCTTTGAGCTGTTTGTGTCATCAACTCAACCTGAGAGACGTGGATGAGGAAAACGTCTCTGCATTTCTTTGGCCATAACAATGTCAACGACTGTGTGTAACTGAACTGAATTCAAATCCAAATCAGCTGAGACAGAGTTGAATTCCATCAAATTAAATTTAATAGAAGCAAACTGAACTGAACTGAACTAGTGGTCATTGACGCTGCGAGTAACTAAAGGAGAGGAAGAATGTGGTGGGAAGAAGGAAAGGAGCTGGTCTTCACAGCATTTGAGACAAATTGAAAGGGACAAGCTAATGACTGGGGTCACTCAGAGCCTGGCAGGCAACCCACAAACAACACGAGTGAGAGCAGGTCTCCTAGTCGGTGAGTGGTCCTCTACCAAGTAGAAAACGCAGCTCAGGTATAATTAATTCACCACTGTGCATGTTTCAGCAAAAAACACTCCTCTCCACAATGTTGTTCGACGCCGCCTTACATGTTTGGTCCATTATTTCCCCCACTTTGTCCCTTGTTCTTCTCACCAAAGAACGAGACCATTTGCTTCCTCCCCATCAGCAGTCGGGCTTCTCCACCGGTCCTGTCTGCTGCTAACATTGATAGCCTGAAGCCCTTCTCCTATTTCTTTCCTGGTTGGTAAATTCCCTCATTTGGTCTCGGATTGGGTTTTTATTGGTAAAGTTCCGCGCACAGATCTTACTGTGGTCTCTGATGGCTTTCGACTTCCGCAGTTTAGATCTGTGAGGCCTGTGGGTGCAGTCAGTGCTGTTGGTCCTGATACAAGGGGCTTTATTTCCTGCCAGCACTGGACTCTGATCAAACAGCGATTTTCTGCTCAGCACTTCTGTAGGACTCATTAGCGAGCCCTTTATTGGCTTGTTCGGGCAGATACTTTTGGACAGCAACAGTGTGTGTGTGTGTGTGTGTGTTCGGCGTGTGTGTGTGTGTGTGTGCGCGTGCGTGCGTGTGGTTGCCCGGTGTAAGAGTGTCCCACCTGTTCCCGCTCGCTGGATGTGCATGTGTGCACTGGGAGGGTCATAAATCCACTCTGCTCTCAGATGAGTGATATAACCCTGCAGGAGAGCTGGTCGTCAGCCACGTCTCAGACTGTGTGAGAGCTCCACCTGCTGGCTCAGCGCCACTTCTCCCGTCCGCTCACCTGACCAGAGACAAAGGCGCCGATCCAAGCTCCAGCCTATTAGAGCTCGACAGCCATCTGGTGCTTTCTCTAGATTGATGTCTGTGACGGGATCTTAACGAGTCTGCCGGGAGTCACATTCATCGCAGGCTCCGTTTACGGATGCGCTCTATGAAGGGAGATGGTATTGATATTTCATTACGAGTCTAATAAAGGGCAGCCAGTATTGAGTTTTCATTAATAGGGCTGGTTTGGTGCAGATTAACATGTCTACGCTGCTCATTATGACTTGGAGAGGTGCTAAATGACTCCGGCTGGGTGTTTTAACTGGCCTCAATGGTTTGACCGATCTAACAATCAACTGCATTCGTGAGAAAGTAGATAAGGAGACACAGACTGGCAGATAGAGAACAGACTGAGAACGGCGAGCAACCAATATGGAATCAAACAGACAGCAAAAGTCAAAATAGACACGGAATGTGAGTGAGTTAACAAAGAGAACCGAATAAGAGACAAACCCTTAACTACCAAACCTCTCTCTTGGTTGGTGTTGGGTCTCCCGAGCAGACCAGCTGGCTGTCAAGTCGTTAGCAAGTGCGACCCCACCGGGTAAATATCTCCAAACCGCGAGCAAACACGAGACCGTCAATCCGACGCGGTGTGGCTGCTCAACAATGCAGCTGCCCGTGTGCAGCGAACGCTGGCCTGTCCTTGACGGCGGCTCTCGCTCCGTCTCTTTGCTGTGACACAATGGCGGGTGGAGCCTCGTGGATTAATGGGGAGAGATGAGGTCGCAGAGCAGAGAGGCTTATAACGTCAGGGCGGAAACACTCCCTCGCACACGAGGGGTCTTCTTTCCAGGGGTGAGTCTGGGGGCAGTCTGAACTTTCAGCACCATGGACAGTGCCGCGGTGTCGGGACGTGGAGGCACATTCTCTCTGCCCCTTTGGGTTTGTGGCTGTGTTCCACACTAAGCCTGATGTTTGGTGGTGTTTCTTGTCAGGGCACTGTAATATTGCAGTGTGTGTGCCGCAGTACCCTCTGGAGTCACTGGACTAAATAAGGGCCATTCACCTTCTGGTATTATCTGCAGCACTTTGGCGCATCTTAAAGTGGCAGCGCCTCCATTAAAATGAGTGATGATCCAGGTCTGTTCCCACGGCGGAAAGCCAAGACTTTTAGGCATTAATGGATGAGCCTTTTACCAACACAGTGCTCCCACCCTGCAACTTTGTGCATGTTCATGTGTGTGGGTGCATGAGTGATGTTTATCTGTAATTGGGGAGATAAGGTTTCTAACAGATCTCTGCTGTTCCAGTGAGTGAGTACAATGAAGGGAAGATGTGTGTGCATCCATGCTTTTCATTTATGCATTCACTCATTTCTTCATTCATATGACATGCTAATGCTGATATTACAATATGTATTTTCTGCAGCATTTGATGTATCAACCCTTGGGTGTGTTTTCTGCTTCTGTTTACAGAAAGTGTCCCAGTATACCATCATTGTCCAGGCCACTGACATGGAGGGTAACCTGAACTTTGGCTTGTCCAACACAGCCACGGCCCTCATCAGCATCACCGACATCAACGACAATCCCCCAGAGCTGACAGTCAGAACGGTGAGTCCCAGACTTGTTTTTCCACAATCAATGTCAGCCGTTTCTTGCCGGTTCACTCATTTGTTGTGATAACTATTTATTTAAAAGCCATTTCTTCAAGGTTTATCATCTGGTTGTTTGCAATAAATTAACACTGCTCTGGCTGCTCTTCAAGCTCCAAAAGAAATCTTCCGTGGACTTTAAAATCTGCTCCACATGGAGGAGTTGATAGAACCAACGTTATTTGTAATCTGCATCATTGAAAGTGTGTTTTCTTTCTTTTTTGGATTGAGATTGTCAAAAGGAAATGCAGTGAAATATGGACTTCACAGACTAAAAAGTTCCTGCTCAGTAAATCACAGTTGTTTTACTTCAAGCTGGACCATCTCACTCAAACAGGGACATATTGAACATAGCTTATAATATATATATTGATTTGATTACATTAATGTGTCAATTTATTTAGAAGAAATTTTAAACTTTAAACTTCTGCCGCTGAGGGAATACCGCTTTTTAAAAGGACCTTTAGAAGTATTTGCACAAATAAAAGTCTGCAATTATCTACTTTTATTGTTGAATTTTGCGCCTAACAATTAATTAATCTCACAATAAACCTAGAATGCGATTAATAGCATATACAAACCTCTCATATAATCTCTCCACCCAGTTCTAATTCTTCCCCGGAGCCTCCTCCCAGCTGGCAGTGCCTGGAACGCCTCCCTAAGGAGGCAACCAGGGGGCATCCTTACCAGATGCCCGGACCACCTCAACTGCCTTCCACTTAAGGAGCAGCGGCTCCACTTGGCTGAGCTTCTCACCTTCTCTCCAAGGGAGACGCCAGCCGCCATCCTGAGGAAACCCCATTTCGCCCGCTCTTACCCCGCGACCTAGTTCCTTCGGTCATGACCCAACCTTCATGACCATGGGTGAGGGCAGGAATGAAGATTGAGCGGTAGATCCAGAGCTTTGCCTTTCTGGCTCAGCTCTGTTTTTGTCAAAACAATGCGTTGAAGCAAATATAATTCCGCCCCACTGCTCGGATTCTCCGGCCAAACTCGCACTCACTCTTCCCCTCACCCTTGAACTCCTTCACCTGGGATAAGGACACATTACCTTCCCGGAGTGGGCAATCCATCGGTTTCCTGCTGGGAACCGTGGCCTCAGATTTAGAGGTGCTGATCCTCATCCCAAACGCTTCACCGTTGACTGCCAAAGGCTCCAGTGAGAGTTGGAGGTCACATCTGCAAAAAGCCACGATGACATCCGCAGCCCCCCGAGCCGTAAACCCTCGTCCCCCCCGACTACGCCCCGATATCCTGGCCATGAATACACAAACTCTCACTGCCAGAAGAGCATAAAAGGTTCCACAAAGAGAGTTCAAATGTATAAATAGTAGTTAGTAGACTGTTTGCTACACACGATACTGTCCATCACCAAATTAGTGTAAATTTTAGTGTGTAATTAGTGTACATATAAAATAAGAATTAAAATGTCATTTTGAGGTCTGGCCCAAAGCTTAGCCCTGCATCGGCCACGCTGATAAATGCTCCTTTAATCTGAACCCCGTTGTCCCATAGAGCCACTATTCGACACACACAGTAGAAAAATACTTCAAAACAATGTTCTGCCTGTCAAGCACAACAACCATCCAACAGCGGCTCAACTGCAATATGTTTTCAGACAGCATTGAGACGGAGGGAATTCTAAAACAACGGCTGACAAAGATATAGATACGGTCGGCTAAAATAAGAACGTGAAACAACAATGACAGCCGGAGAAAAGCGGTGCGAGAACAACATATGGAGAGACGGAAAGGCGCCGCCGTCAATGGAAGTGAGAAATCTGACTGGTTTTGCTGGTGGGAGCTGCGCTGCTCGCTCCTTCCCTCTCTGGGTTGGTTGCTGCCAGCGGGGCCTCTGGTCCCCGATGCCTCCACGCCGGCCCACTTTACCACGGCCTTGTGTGTGCGGGGGGCTTTTGACTATAGGTGAGCCCACCGTCACTTCGACGGCCCGTGTTCTCGGCCTCTCTGACCGAGGATTGTCGCCGCTGCTCCTCGCCCGAGCGCTTTGGCTTTCATTCGGTTGCAGGGAGCTCAGAGGTGCAGCGTGCGGTGTGTCGGCGTCACGCGCTGTGACCCCCGTCCGCTCGGCGACGTGCGTGCGTGTGCGCCAGTGCGGTTCCGGCCGCGTGCTCTGATAAGAGCTCCACAGCTGTCGGGTTTACTGCCCACCGCTCGTAGCTGCGCGGCCCCCGAACAGAGTCCTCCCGCTGGCCAGACTATGGTCCTGCTGCACTCCAATAGTCACAAACCCCCCAAAATGGTGCTGCTCTTGACATTGACCGCACACGGTGATGTGTGCTCACACCCGCTGGGAAAGAGCGTCTGTCATCTCTCCGGGGCCCCGTTACTTTGCACCAAAACCCTCGTTGGCAAATGACTGTAGATTTGCCCGAGCTTGTCCATAAAGGAGCCGCTGATTAATTATTTCCGGTGTGACTCAAAGGTAATGAGTGGAAATGAATAAAAACGCGTTGTCATGTGTCCTTCACTTACGACAAGCAAGCGCAGACGTGAACATCCACGGCGAACAAATTGTTTCCCAGCCAGATGCCATTTCCGCTGCTTTGTCAATCTCTACTTTTTGTTTATGCTTCCCACACAAACAAGTAGTCCCGCAGCCGTTCCGTCATTATTTGTGCATGACAGACACGGGAAGAATTCATTGCTCTCTGCAGGAGGCCCGGGGAAAACATAAGCGAGCTAATTAAGTGAAATTGCCTGCGGGGGCGTAACCCGAGCTGATATATAGCGGCTAATTTCAAGAGGAAGGAAAAAAACAATCCGAATCTTTTATTTGTTTCACCACGTGGGCCTGGCTGTGCAACGTTAGCTCTGTGTTTCCCTAATCGAAGTATTTAATCTAGTGCATCACACCCCTGCCGAAGGGTCCGTCACTGATGGGGAGCAGGAGAAGCGTTTGGAAGACTCGATCTCACAGACCAGACTGGCTTCCACAGCTCAACAGAGTGCTCTTAGTGATTCACCCGTAGAGTTCCAGTTTTAAGTAGATGAAAGCTTTGGAGTGCCAGGTATCATTCACCCCCTGTCCCCTGATTCCCACCCCTTGACTTTGATTTTTTTGTTAAAAGAAAAGTAAAAAAGAGCAGACTGCTCGGCTAAGCGGCTTGATCTGTCTGCAACATGAAGAAGGAGACCAGCGGCAGACGGCAGATGCCAGTAGCTGTGTCTTTATTACGGCATAGTGGAGACATAACAGTGTCTTAAGTGGCCTGATGGCAGCCTGATATTAGTAGGAGTCCGTTGTGGGGACATTTATTTGTATATAAGGCTGTCATTACCCTTTGGTGTTGCTCTCAATGCCCCATTAAGAAAAATAAGAGCTCTTTCTGTCTTTTTGAGCTGTAGCTTTTCCGTCTAAAAAAGGACATTTTCATTTGCCGAGTCTGTTTTCAGTAAAACAGTAGTAGATCTCCCCTGCTGGGAAGTGCACCTTAATGCAGATTTATTTTCCAAAAAGGGCCGGTTGTCTGTGCAGTACTGGAGCCCAGCATTGATTTCCCCAGGCTGTGCTGCGGTACCACTCAGACCACTGAGGTCTGCTCGCGTTTACACACTCAAACGTGAACACCGGTCATTAGAAATAATGTGGCATGAGTTCCCCTTTTTGAGGTGGGTAATGTGTGTAGTGCACGTTTCTGATCAATGGGGATGTTGACTGCTCATGAGTTTGGACGCCGTTTGTCAACGAGGCTGATTTGATTGGTGAAGTTCTAACAGCCTAAAGTGTCCCGGCCTCCGGCCATCCTTGGGAAACTCCGTGTCTCTGCTGGCTTATCAATGGTTCCACAGTGCATTTTAGTGAAGGAGGCCATTTTGGAAGCGTCCTCTCCGACAGAGCGCGCTCCATTTGGCCGCCTGACAGCGCAGCCCAAACCAGCGCGGAAGGTTCGCGGCGGCGTTTGTTGCTGAAGCCCGAGGTGAAAATGAAACGGAGGAGCCCACACAGGAGAGTCTGAGAGTGCATATTTCATTTGTTCCGTGCTCATCAGCGCGGTCGTACTGCAGGCGATGGGAGAAGAAGAAGGGGGAGGGAGGGAGGGAGAGGAAGAGCGAAAAAGGGCAGTTTGGACACTGCTTCAGTCCCACGATGATGAAGCCATTAAAGTGAATGCGATCTGGCAGACACACCCCATAAACAGGTTTGACGCTTCGCGAGAGGAAAGGCGGATTATTGCCGAACAATGTCAGCTTTTATTGTGCGTCCCTCTGTAGCTTATAGCAAATCCCTATTGAGAAGGACATGCATCCTTCTGCGCAGTGAGTTTGTCTTCAGGCTCTGCAGCTGTAACCAAGTTTCCTCCTGAGTTAGTTCAGAGGGGAGTTGTTTCAGATTGCAATATAATGAAGATCATTAGCCAAAGATTATTCCTACCGCCGCCTTAATTACTGCACTTATCCAATTGCTTATTAAGACCTAGATTTGGTGAACGCAGAGAATCTCAATTAAATGGGTAAACACTTAATTGAACAAATCCATTAGTTCAAATAAGAGTTTCGTATGCGCGGACGCGGGGTGGAATAGGGGACGGCATTAACGTAATGGGAGATATGATTCTCTATTATCCACATTTAAACGGATGCGCCTCCTTCTGTCGGCTGTCTCCCTCGCCTATCTTTCTCATTTCTGCGCCATTTGTTTCGGTCTACATTCTGGGTGTAATGAGCATTATTGGCATAACCCTAAAAGCAGTTTGTTTTCATAACAACAGTTATGGAAAACGCTAAAAGATTGATGATGACACGAGCGAATGTTCAGAATCCCAATAAATCAACTCATTAGCATGCATTAGTCGACTCCTGGAGCAACAATTACGTTATCTCTCCCACCCCCCTCCCGCCCCCTCCCCTCCGTCCCCTCCTGCGCTACAGTTTTCCGGGGAGGTGCTGGAGAACAAGGTGAACGTGGTGGTGACCAACCTGACGGTGGTGGACAGGGATCAGCCCCACAGCCCCAACTGGAACGCCGTGTACCGCATCGTCAGCGGAGACCCTTCTGGACACTTCGCCATCCGCACCAACCCCATCACCAACGAGGGCATGCTGACGGTGGTCAAGGTGAGACCCTCCCCCTCCCCCCCACGCGTGCCGACATCTACCGTCTGGCTCGGCTCTCCATTATTATTCAACGCAGCATCTAGCGTTCCCACCTGCTCCGTAGTGCCAGATGCTGAGTATTTTGGTCTCACATTGTTTGTATGTCATTTCTCAAATTGGAACACAATTAGAGCTAATTTCTGCAATCAGCCAGAGTCATTTCCCTCCCTGTTCAGCTTTCGGTATTTCTTTCTCCGTCGCTCTCGTGTAGGCGGTGGACTTCGAGATGAATCGGGCCTTCATGCTGACCGTGGTGGTCTCCAACCAGGCCCACCTGGCCAGTGGCATCCAATCCTCGCTGCAGTCCACGGCGGGCGTCACCATCTCTGTCCAGGACGTGAACGAGCCGCCCGTCTTCCCCGTCAACCCCAAGATGATCCGCTTCGAGGAGGGCGTGCCCGCAGGGACCACGCTCACCGTGTTTGCTGCTCAGGACCCCGACCACTTCATCCACCAGATTGTCCGGTACTTCAACCTGATTAAATGGAGATTAGACGTTGGACAATGTCAACGTACATGAACAAACATTCCGCAGGAATCATCAGATCGAACGCCTCGTTGTCCCGGGTTTGCCTTCACCAACCCCCCCTCCCCCGGGCGCAGCGCGTTCTGCAATGTGTACTACCTCGCTGCATGTAACATAACATGACACAACACAAGCATACTCCGTAAATCCTGCTTGGCATGTTTTGACATGACCTGCTTGACCTGAAATATCAAATCTATCTTTAAAGCTGCATTAATGGATAGTTACACATTTCATCTTATAACACGACATCCAAAGCTCACTAATAAAATAAATACATGAATTTAATAATGTTTATGGGGGATGGTAAAGAAGTATTATAGCATAAACACAGTAACCCACTATTGTCTGCACTCTCAACCTGTCGTTTCATTTCTGAACTTGAAGATTCTTGGATACATTTGCAGCGAAGATACTGTGCGGACTCCTGAGCGCTTCTTGATCTTCTGTGTACTGTTAGACATTTCTAATACTTGGGCCTAATCAGCGTGTTTGTCAGCGGTTTCTTCAACGTTTATCCTTCTTCACTGGCATCGTCACCCCTCCGCCCACAGACTGGGCTCGTTACCTCCCCGTTGCCAGGCGACTGGTGTAAAGAGGTCATCTGGTAATCGAGTTGGACGCTGTCTGCCCTCCTCAGAACCCCATCTCGTCTTCCTCCTCATTGAACCCGTCCTTCACCCACGCCGGGGTAACGGACCCCGCAGGCGTCGTGCCATCCAGCCATTGCCCCAGCGTTGCCCGCTAAGGTCCAGGGGCCAGTTTTCCTAATGTCAGGGAGACGGCCTGACGAACCCAACGCCAACGTAACCGAATTGAAAGCGAGGGAGGGAGTGTGAGACGTGTCCGTGTATACGTAAACACTAACATCTCAAACCAGATTTCGGGTCTCTTCTCTGAAAAACTAAGCGGGCTCAGTTCCTCTGATTCTTTGCGGGAGGCAACTCCTCTTTTGCTCTCCTCTTTCCGCCTCACCCCTCTCCCTTCTCCCTCCCGCTGACCCCCATCGCTTTCTGCTCTGTCAGTCTGGGTGTCTGTTATTGATGCGAGCTCAGAGCTGCTGTCTTCTCCAAAGCTGCTGGCCAGCAGACACTAAGCTCCCGCTCAGACAGCCCGGTCTCTGCCGCTGCTGTGTTCCCTTTAGGCGACCTCGCTCGAACCCTCACTAATGTTCACAACAAACAGACAAAAAGACACTGGAAAGCAGAGCCGCAGACTCACAACATTAACACAAGCTCCCACAGAGGATCAGTGAAAGGCACTTTTCGGGGGATGGAAAAGGAGCCAGCTCATGTTATTTTCTTGCCTTTGGGGCACGGTTCGGGTTCGGGGTTGCCTCTGGGGGAGAAGGAAAGCTGATGCGAGGGCCTTTTTGTCTGCGGATTCTACTGTTGGATGTGATTCACGTGGCAGCATGAGCTGATGTAATTGCGTTTCCCTCACACTGCGGAGTGTGGACATTTGGTCGGTCCTCACTTCTGAGGGTCTTAGCTTAATTCCTGAGTTTTGAGAAGACTCAAGAATGACAAATTAGAAAAAGGAAAAAGTCAAAATCGAATCAGCATGAGTCGAGACATGGTGACATTTACACGATGGGGCTACGCAGCCTGCAGAGCAGAAGCTCTGGGGGGCTCGACAGGGTCAGAATGGCGATACTAGTCGTAAGTGCATTGTGCAGAGATGCACAGTGAGACTCGTGCGCTAAAATGGACATATATTTTTTCAAAAGGAAGAAAAATCGTTTTTATTTGAAAATTAGGAAAGGTCCAAAAGTATCACCGCTGATTTAACTGTAGTGAAGGGTATGTGCATGAGCTGTTGATGTGACCCAGGAGTCTCGCAGGCCCCGAGCGGACTATTTTGGGTTAAGTGTTAAGAGGATTTGCTTTGCACATGAAGACAGCAGGTGACATCTTGATGGCACAGGAAGGAGATGAGAGCGCCAGGCGCGACACGCAGGCGCCTGCAGGGCAACATCCGATCCTGACTAACACCGCGCGGCAGTCTCTTTCACCACAAATTTGGATTATTTTCATCTATTTATTCCAAGTGTGAGAGATACGATGGGCGGCATCTGTCATTATGTGCCTTTGTCTCCCTGTTTGCTGAGTGTTAACCAGCCTGGAAATGTGTGTCTGCAACTGGAAGTGGAATTAGTTTCCATTAGTTTCCTGTGAGGCACAAACTACCCGCCGTCGGCCTCCAACGCACTTTAAATACGTCCCCTTTCCCCCTCGTCACGTTCCTCAACCAGCCGCGCTTTCGCTCAGACACACGCCTCTGACCTCTCTCCCCTTTCCTTCTCTGTCTGCTCGGATATTTCTCCTCCAGCTCACGTCGTCGCGGCGACGCGTCGGCCATCTCACCTTCCAGTGAGACTTTGTCTTTTCCGTAATCAGACGTTCCTCATTAGACCCGCGGGAGAAGCAACTCTTCCTCCTTCCTATGACGCGTGCCGTAAGCTGTGACCCCTGAACCCTCGGGACTGACGTCACCTGGTGGGCGGTTGAGTGTGACTTTAAATAAATAAGTAAATATGAATGGCCAAAAATAAGATCCATGACTGAGGGTGGACTTTAATCGCAGCTGTCACTTTTTCCTCCGTGGACGGGTCGAATGGAGACGACGATACATCAAAGGTGCTCGCCTGCTATTTCTTTTCATGGTAACGAACATTGAACCTTGCGGAATAAAAGACGCAGAGCTGCCGGAATTCAAATAACAGTTTTGGGCAAAAGTCAACATCTGGATTAATGAAGCATCTGGCTTTCGTCGCTGACCCTCAGTCTTTGTGGATGTGTGCGTGCACAGGTACTCCAAGCTGTCAGACCCAGCCAACTGGCTGAAGATCAACAGGACCAACGGTCAGATCACCACCATGGCCGTGCTGGACCGGGAGTCCATGTACGTCAGAAACAACGTGTACGAGGCCACGTTCCTGGCCTTCGACAATGGTAAATCCGGTAAGTCATGGTGTGTGTGTGTGTGTGTGTGTGTGTGTGTGTGTGTGTGTGTGTGTGTGTGTGTGTGTGTGTGTGTGTGTGTGTGTGTGTGTGTGTGTGTGTGTGTGTGTGTGTGTGTGTGTGTGTGTGTGACTCTAAAGGTTTTGGATGGATGGACATTTGTCGGTTGACGTTTATGGTCCCTGAAAGACGAATCCTTTTCACTCTGGTGATCCGACATTTGTGCTTTTGACTGAACAATTTCAGGAGATATTTGATGGATTGAGTTTTTATCGTCATCCCTACTTTATTTTTTATCCAATACTTCCATGATCAAATACTTGTGCGTACCCATCAGCCTCATTGCTACTTTGTGTTTAGCGATAATAATTTAAGTATTTGAGCAGGTATAGTTTATGTCATTGGGGAACTGGCCTGAATTGAACTGAAGCCCTTGTTTTTTTATTTAATGTTTGGTGTAGATACATCCGCATGTTGGCCTTTGAGCATGCTGACGTTTCCAATACTTCCCATTTTACTTGAAATACTTGAAAGTTATTCAAATCATGCATAGACTGCAGCCTTAACAAACGCAAACATTTGTGGATTCTTGGACATTTTTAAATATGTCACTGTTACATTCCTGCCGGAAACAGCACTCATACTCTGTATGAAGCGCACACATATGAACGGAGCGTCTGATGGATGAAAAATGAAAACAGCATCTGCCAATGAAGGTCTTGGGCATCATCCCATCCGCCGCAACAAAGCTCAACTAAAGCGCTTCAAATGGAGGCGTTTGCTCTGTGTGGAGGTGGGAGGGACCCAGGTGTTTATAATGAGGGAACCCAACTTAAGCTCAATGTGTTGACTCCCTATTGATTGTGGAAACCAGTGTCAACAAGGGGATATATTCCACTTTGACGAAAGTCTCTTTACTTATTCTACTGAAGCGAAGCGAAAGAAGCAACAAAGCACCCAGCCAATCATAACCGACAAGGCGGTCGATGGGCCCCGGGGCAACCGACCTCGACGCCGTCGATGCACCAAGTCGCTGTGTGATGGAGGAGAAAAGGTTGAAATGGAAAACCGAGGGGCTACTGGGGCGCTGTACTGCGTTGCATCAGGAATCCGGATCGGCTTTCTGACATGTGGGCCGTGGTTGTCAACTGAGTATCAAGGCTACAATATATCACGGCAGTCTGTTTGTTCAATGATGCACTACACACACTTTCTTCATCTCAAGTTTGCAATGTTGCAAATGTGCAAGTGTCCTGCATTCACTTAAGTGAAAAGGAAATAATGTAGTTTAAAGTATCAAAAGTGAAAGTATTCATTTACCTTCACGTTCATATATTATTGGCAAAGTGTCACTGGTTACTATTAAATGTGAGGAACAGAACTTGGAAGTATTTTGTGAGAATCAAATACTTTGTTGTATCACGTTAAGGATTAAGTTAATGACTCTCAGTTAAATGTATTCACACACTACAAAAGCAAGTTGCTGAAGCTCTTGATTCACACGTGTTTGTCAGATGTAAAGTTCATTACATTGAATTTCAACTATTGTTTTCACATAAATTATGACACTTTTTGCTTGTAAAACCCTCTTATAAGTATCATCATGTACATTTCAATGGCGCTCGGTTATTTCTGTATTGCCCGCTTTAATCTGATTAATCAAGTCCTCATTTTGAAAGTAAAATCTATCTAGTGGCTTAAAGGTACAATACCGCTGAAATGTATTATTTTATCTAAGTATTGTGCTTTAGTTCATTTAAATTTGCTGATTGGAATGTTTATTTATTTATCTTTTTATTGACTCATTTTACATATTTTTCCATAACTCGAGAAATGAAAATCCGAGCTTAATCACTTAAGTGCCGTTTGTTTTAAAGCACACTTGAGTCTGTTGATCATTTAAATTCCTGCCATATGTTAGCGTCAGTAATTTGAATCACATCCCAGTGGAAACAACCACTAAACAAACACTAAGAGATTATCAACTATAAATCTTCACATCTTATCACACAAAATATTAATGACTAACTAAGAACCAATTAAAGTGAGATTTTTCAAGAAAACGTCTGTGTTTATAAGATTTTAACACACAATAACTCCAAAGAAGCTTGGTTGTATAATCAGATTGGATTTGAACGCAGTCTGGCAACATAAAAAAAAAAAAAACCTTCCGTCTTCATTCAGATGATGCTGAATCCAGATTGGTCCGTATGATACACGTCATTGCATGTCGCCAGCCGAGGGACAAAGAGGGAGAAACGCAGAGAATACGACATGTGAAACCACCAAAGACTTACGCTCAAAGTAACAAACTCATTGAGAAAATACGTTTTCGCAGATTTGAAATGATCCCTTCAACAAAATCAGTTGGATGCATTCAGTCGGACTCACGCGGGAGTTCATCACAAAATGAGACGCACCAGCAGGACAACTTTTAATTCACTTTACTTTTTTGAAAGCAAGCGGTGCCCTAAGTAAGAACAATTATTCCCAGCACCATATTGTGCAGCACCGAGAGCAACAGAAACAGTACGGCAGAAAAACAACATTTCTCAGTCAGTAATTAAAGCACCAAGGAGATTTGCTGCAAATGCATAAAACATCAAAAATGTGTCTCCCATCCTGACGGTTCTGTTTTGGCCTGGTAGCCGTGGGAAACTTTGAATAAGTGATGATGAGCTTGTGTTGCCGGGTGTCGTAAAGGGGTTGGCGTCTTTACCCAGTGGGCTTTTCCGGAGTGCAGATAACAGCCGTTTTTGTGTAAGAACGAGCCTCACTCTCTTTTCAGGAAGCAGCTGCATGGAAACACGAGCACCGGAAGAAATGTGCGCGTCCCTTTCATTTGTTCCCGCTGGTTCTGTTTGGGCACACGGTGTTGCCCTTCAACTTCCAGCCCCTCAGTAAACAAAACCTCTCCTCATCCCAATTGTTTATTTGCCTTCACGCCTCATTTTCCCTCCTCCTCACATGAATCAGCTGGAGATGTCATTGAAATTGAAAGGATCGTCTCTGCGTACGTCTTTAGCTTCCTCATCACACTGTCTCGCAACTCCCCATTCCTGCATTCCTGGCTCCATCTTCAGATCACCTCCGTTCTGCGCTCATCCCTGGGTACGTCATTATTCGTCCTCTGACGATGCGCTTCCGCTCCGCCCTCAGGCTCGCCTCAAGCCAGCGGGACGGGAACCCTCCAGATCTACCTGATCGACGTGAACGACAACGCGCCGGTGCTGATACCCAGGGAGTCCCAGGTGTGCGAGCGCGCGCGCCCCAACTCCCGGGTCAACATCACGGCCTCAGACGCCGATGCCGACCCCAACGTGGGGCCGTTTGTCTTCGAGCTGCCTTCTTTCCCCGCCAGCGTTCGCCGCAACTGGACCATCTCCCGACTCAGCGGTACTTAAATGCTGCACTCTTGTTTTTACCGCCGCTCCGATTCATATTGCAAACACACACACACACGCCCTCCATCTCTGCTTTGCCCCTTGTGATGTATATTTTAGGAGGTGTGTGTGTGTGAAATGATATATTTAGCTTTCCCAGCTGAATTAAACCATAAACGTAACAGATGCGTCGCAAAAGCCCCCCGCAGAATAACTGGCGACATCAATCAGGGGGCCGGGGATTGCTGTAAGCTGCGAGAGAAGTCCAAGTTTAACTAAATGTCTCACAAAGCCCACAGTGAGAGACACGTCTGGCATCCAGCGTTGACGTACGATCCATCGTTTGTGACAAATGAGATCCATTCGTCTCTCCGTCCCCCGAGCGGCCGGTCTGTCACCTAATCCACCCAGATGGATGTATCACAGCAGTTGTCTTGAGGACAAATCTGATCACATACCTGGATCCTTCTCCCGCCGAGGCCCTTGTCTTGGCTTGACTGAGTGATAGATGCTGAAGGTCATACGTTGTGTTTTCTTTTTATATCCGTAATGCATCATCCCCGCACAGCGCTCCTTCTGATACATGCCAGAGCGATTGCCGTGCACTCGGTTTGGTTGCAGCTTTTATTTAGTGTGTCACTCCCTTGTACCTATGACAGGATATCCTGGAGGGAACAAAATGTAATTCCTCCACAGTACACTGTCTAATCTTATGTCCCTCCTCCTCACTTCCCTTTGTCCCCCATAACCCCCCCCCGGGCCTCCAGGTGACTACGCTCAGCTGAGGCTGAGGATCCCGTACCTGGAGGCCAGCGTGTACGAGATCCCCGTCATCGTGTCCGATTCCGGGAACCCTCCTCTGTCCAACCGCTCCGTGATCAGAGTCAAAGTCTGTCCTTGTGACGACAACGGAGACTGCAGCGCCACGGGGGCCGTGGCGGCCGCCGGCCTCGGCACCGGGGCCATCATCGCCATACTCATCTGCATCATCATACTGCTGAGTGAGTACAACGTTTTTGTGGATCGATCAGTGAATCCAATGTGCGTCACGCTGGTGAAACGAGGATTTGCAGGTAACATCTTTCTGTTTGACAGGCATGGTTCTGCTGTTTGTGGTGTGGATGAAGCGCAGAGAGAAGGAGCGGCAGGCGAAGCCTCTGCTGATCGACCCCGAGGACGACGTCAGAGACAACATCCTCAAATATGACGAGGAGGGCGGAGGAGAGGAGGACCAGGTATCGTTTGAAGCTCATGGATGGATACGTAATTGAGACGTTAAAGGCTGTAAAGACGGCACTACGGTGGTATTATGGAAGGTTGGGAATGTAATAATAGATTATAATACTTTAGTCTGCATAAGGGAAACTAGTCTGATCAAGAAGAACCAAAAGTGACACAAGTCAAACTCATGTATATTCCAAGAGGCATTAGCATAGTTCAGGAGTCTGTCTAGCCACTCAATTAAAAATCTATCAAATTTATCATTTAATCATGGCGGCAACTAATGACTATTTTAAGTGTCAATTAGTCTGCTGACATTTTCTTTATCAATAGTTTTGTGAAAGAATTACACTCGTCGCTCATTCCCATCGTTCCCAAAACAAATGCATCATCAAAGCTGACAGATCTGAACCGGGAACAATGAAACGAGTCCCGAATACGAAAACGATATCCAAAAGTGAGACCATAGATTCTTTTTTTTTTTTAAATAACCGTGAGGATTCAGGTGGCCAATATGTCGTTTATAAAGAATATTCCTTTTTAAGTGAGTTAGAAAAAAGTTTCCCGTGTGTCAATCTGCCCTTTGCCCCACAAGCAAGTGCTGGGACTGAAAACGCTGGCCGGCTTGAATGCCAAGTACAGTCTGATGTGCAACTCTTTCCATGCGATGACTCCAGTTTCCTCTGTAGAAATAGATCTATAAGTCATAACCACACCATTCCTCTTTATTTTATCATTTTATACATCCCTGAACATCCTCGTTTCAAGCTGTACAACACGAGGAATTGTGGGTAATTCCCTCAAGGAAAGGACTGCAGACTCACAAAAGGGCTGAAAGTCTGTCGGAACGCCCTGCAGCACAGATGTATCTGCAGGTCAGACCTGAGAATGATGATCAGAGTCAGTGAGTCGGTGAGACGGACAGTGGGAGCCGTACCCACTGGGATTCCAACACCACGCATGTCCAGCGCCGTCGACACACCAAGGGGTTCAGGATGTGTGGTTATTTGCTACGGGACCCTACTTAATACATTTAACTAAAGAGCAGTCAGTAGATAAATTAGATAAATGTCATAGAACGAGCAAACGTGAAAAGATTACAGATTAAATCTTGATTTTCTTTCCCTCTATGGCCGCCGTCCAGGACTACGACCTGAGCCAGCTGCAGCAGCCCGAGTCTTTGGACCACATCATCAGTAAGCCGGCGGGGGTCCGCAGGGTGGACGAGAGACCTGTGATTGCTGAGTCACAGTACCCCGTCAGACCCAGTCTGCCCCACCCCGGAGATATAGGAGACTTCATTAACGATGTGAGTTCAAGGGTGGAGGGAAACTGTCTGTGTGTTTTACTGTGTGTAACCACAGGAAATGCTCTTATTGCACAGAGGAGGTTGTGCGTCCGTCACTCTTTGCCCGTCTCTGTGTCTTCAGGGTCTGAGAGCAGCAGACAACGACCCCACGGCCCCCCCCTACGACTCCCTGCTGGTGTTCGACTACGAGGGCAGCGGTTCCACCGCTGGATCCTTCAGCTTTTTGAACTCCACCAGCTCCGGGGACCAGGATTAGGATTCCTTCAACGACTGGGGCCCCCGTTTAAAGAAGCTGGCCGATTTTTACGGGGGAGGGGAGGAGGATTGAGACGGGCCCGGAGGGTGGGGGGGGGGGGCGCGGCAGAGGAGGCGGGGTCCGTTGGATGCCCCCTAGAAAACCGGGCGTGGGCCGAGAACATGACGCCGCCTCCATGGTGGGCCTGCGGGAAGCGGACCCCCCTCCCCCCCCACAGACAGCGGCCGATGCACCGCACTGCAGCGCAACTGTATTCTGGCTTTATATTTCGTAGTGGCGAGTTTCTAGTGTGACGTTTCTTCCTTTTTTGTTTTGTCGCTCTCTCACGGCGCTGGACCCCCGGGGCCCTCGGCGGGCGAACCAAGGCGGCCGTGAGAGACACCAGTAGTGAATTAGTGCCGGTTTGATTTTCAAAACAAACGTCCCTTGCTTTAGTCTCACACTGAAGAGAATGTTTTTGGGAGCGACGCTCTCCGACTCCTCTCTCTCACTCTGTCGACTTGAATTTCCTTAGAACAGAAGCACTGTCATTTTATAAAGTGCCTTTTGGGGGGGTTTTTTGGTATCAGATCCCGTGTTTTTCAGGATGTTTCCCAATGGGGGCGTTAAAGGGGGGCGTTTTTTTGTGGACCCCCCCCCCCCCCCCCACGCCCGCCGTCCTCCCCCCTCCCCCCCCCGCCCGCCCTCATCACACCAGCCCCGCCCGTCACTCTCCCCTTTACAGCTGTGCAGACGAAGAACCCCAGCAGCCGGTCCCGGGAGGGAGGGGACGTAACCCGGGGCCGACACTCGGACATCATCACCCAATGAATTACGGCTTAATAGACGAGCCGGTACCCGTTGCCGTGGGGATGACAACACCCTTCCCCCGAGGACCCGCCCCCCGCCCCCCCGGTTTGACTTTACAGAAGCATCGCCGGTCGACACGCTGACGTCGCGTGAGAGCGTTTTTATACGTGTGGGGGGTTTTCTAACTTAGTGGAGAACGCCTGCCTTTCCTCTGAGGACTCACGAGTTTCGCAGCCTTCATGTTGAGATGCTTGCCTGCCCTGTTTGGTTTTGTGTTGCTCTCTCCACAGTGTAAAGCTTCTGTAGGCATGATCTCCGAGCGGCCAGGCGGCGAAAGAAAGTGCAACCGGAAATGACTCGGAAACAATCTGAAAAGATCTTTTTTTTTTCTTCTTTTTTCTGTCGCCTTGAACATTCCCGTTTTTTTTTTATAGGCCAACGAAAATATTAAAAGGTGCATGATTATTATTATTTTTTTCAAAACGTTTTACTCAAAGCACTTGTTACTATGTGGTGAGAATGTGAAAATAGTCAGCGGTAACTATATGAGTATACTCTGTATAAAGACACTGAGAAAATAAAAATACTGTAAGATACCTATTTTTGAAGTATTGATGACATAAAAGTTGCTGCTCTTTCTCTGGCTCTTCATCGGGCTTTTGGGGATTTTTGGCCCGTTCATTCTTAATATTATTTTGTTTATTTGTCTTTTGTTGAAGCATCATTCAGCTGTTTTAAAGATTCCTGCTTACACGTGTTTTGTTTTTGCTTTTCTTCACATTGTTTTCTAAATGCTTTGTTTATACTCCTTTTATATGTGAAAACACATCCTTCCCCTTTTCACTCTCTGTTGTCTCTTGACGGATGTCCTCCTCCTGTCGGGACAGGGGACGGTTCGTTAGCCATGCCTGCTGATAGTTGTTATATTATTCAGTGTCCTGGAATTCTTTTATTCAGTCATCTAGATACTGGATGTGTGCTTCAGAAAATAAACAAGATGTGTTTTGAAAATGCGCCATGTTTTTTTTAGATATAATCCCTGCAAATCATCCCTTAATCATCCTCGGGTGGATGCTGCTGCACTGTGTGACATGGCAAATATAATTAGACTCTGGGCTTTAAATCTTAACGGGTTGCGTCTTGTATTTACGATCATTATTAATTGAGCCTTGACTAAAAAACGCTGTGTTGGAATTTCTGACCCCCCCCCCTCCACATCCCATCCATATATATACAAATTCCACATAATAGCTTCAGATTATCGCATTTCCACCTTTGTTCATGAGATGATCGGTTTGTATTTGCATTCTGAGTGACCATCTCAACTCTTTTACAGTGACATTTTAGTATTAAATGATAAGCGAAATAAACTCCCTTTGGAATTACTCTGCTAATCTTTGATCCTATTGTTCGCAGATGGCGTCGTTTTCTAATAAAACACCCGCTTATCTGTGCTTTTATTGCATCCCAGAAGAGGGAGTTGGAGAGGTCAGGAAGTACATTGGTGTCCGTTCCTTTTGATTTCAATTAGTCAGCTGAAGCACCAGAAAACCCACTGGGGAATTAAAGGGATTTAATACTCTCCGGCTGTGTGTCTATCAATTAGCCACACCATTAATCCCCACGGCGTAATCTCATTAGATAGAGCGCCTTTAATGAGACACCCAGAGAGAAAGCAGAGCGGCAGCCAGCGAGAGAGGGGGAGAAAAATGAGGCGCCGGCGAAATGTAGGTAGGCCGTGTGGAGAGGTGATTAGTAGGATGGAAGACCGGGTCAGCAGAGACGTATAGAGAGACGGCGGGGGGGGGACAATGCATAACATTTAGTCAAATGGTTTGGTAAAAAATGGTCGATTATGAGGTGGAGGAATAGCGATTAGTGGGTCGTCCACTATCAGGACTATTTATTACCAAAATGTGTTTTGACTTGGCGGTCAAATTCCTTGTATGTCTAACAGATTTTGCTGGGACTTGTCAGTGGGTCGTCCACTACGGCTCAACGTTGGAGGACTGGGTAATGTGGGTAATGGAAAGGGGGGAGGATTCCTCCACCGGAGGGTCCCAGTAATGAGGAGACGTTAACCTTTGCTGCAGTCAATGGTGAGATCTGCCATGGAGGCAAGAACGTGGACCTGTGTTGCTGTAATAAGAGAGCCATCAGAGGTGGCCTCTGATGTAATAATCAAGTTGGGTAAAAGGTCGTCTTGCTCGTCGCCGGTCCGCAGATGAGCGGATTCGTTTCAGGGGAGGTTTCCTTTGATGGGCTGGTTTCCCTTTGGCAGAGGGAAAGAAGAACGCACACTCCACTTGCTCCCGTGATAAATGGCGTCTGTGGACTGAGCTTTGCTGCTGGATTGCCGCCAGTGCCTTGTGCGTTGTAAATAAAGTTTTCCTCTTCAAATATCCCCGCGCCTGGCTCTTTTCATTTCCTCGCTATATCGACAGGGAGTCTCTTGGGCTGCTGCTAGGACAAATGTCCAATTGGAAAAAATACCAGCGGATGTTAGTTCTGATGCCGGCCGTGTGAGCAACTGATTCTGCTTCAGTGTTGATGTTGCTATTTAGCAAAGGTGGCGCAGCAGTGCGAGCCGCCTCTGCTGCCCGCTTTCCTGCTGACGCCACTCTGAGCCTCCTGCTATTTCAGGACTTTTAAAACGAGATCAAAGCTGCAGAATAAATTTGATGTTCTCGCTGCAAGTGCGTTGGGGGAGGGGAGGCCGGGGAGGGGGGGTGAGGGGGGTGAGGCGAGGTATCTACTGTTTAACGACCAGCCATTTACGGATGGCTGGTCAACGAGAGACACTCTGCTATTACCAAGACAGGCCGGTCATATCAGGCAGCGCAGAAACGCTCTGTGCATTTGGAAAAGAGCATTTCCCACTAATATTGATTGCTTTTAGACGCAGAGTCTCTTATCAATAAAGGGTTCCTTTACTACCCTACATTTATTCAAAAAGCTTCAGCTTTATCTCAAGTAGATGCAGCCAGTGAAGGAACTATTGTACTGGCACAATACGTTTTAGTGGTGTAATGTGCTGCAGGGCTGCAGGGTTTTCTTTTGTTGTTTTAATATGTGTTTTGTGCTAAATGTGTAAGGTGCCTGAAATAAGCATATTTTTACTTTATCTGCGTGCTTCTTGTGGGTCAGAATAGCCAGAAATGCAACCAGGTGTGGGACTTTTTTTTTCTGCATAAGACAAACTTTGTCTTGGGACTTACTACCTTTTCTGAAGTCCTAAGCGGTTCGGTAGTTTCGGTGTTGGAAACGGCCCCGGGGCCCCGAACCTGCAGTGGCCCCAAGAAACTTACTGTGTCGTTGCACATGGATTAATGAATTGCTTATTTGCAACACTTTGACTTGTCGGTACCTTCAACCAACCAGGAATTACTCGATTAATGAGGCGCTCCAGCAAAAACCATCCACGTCAGTGTGTTTAAGTGGATATGAGTGTACTTCTTATGATCAGGTTTAGAATATGATGTTTGTGTTTCTCAGGATGTGTGATCCAAACTGGGATGATGACATGGATACCCATGTCCATGTCGCCGCACTCAGGGGGACAATGAGTCCACTTTAGCTAGTTGAATCTATTCCTTAGAGGTATATACTGGGAATTATGTAACCCCAGTACAAACGTGAGGGATATTAGACAAGTCAGTTGTTAATAATATATAATAATCGAGCTTAAAACCTGCCATGCACAATAAATAGTTGAATGATGTAATGTAATGGTCCAAAACACTATTGCAGAGAGAAGACTGATCTCTGTGCCTTTAGTTAGTACTTAGTATCTATTTTGTGGGATTGCTCGCTGTAGGTGTGAGTCAATACCAGCTTTGGTATTTTTGTTGCTCAGTGTCTGGACTTGTGACTGTTCCAAGTCAGGAGTCTGCATCTGGCCAAGAACGGTCAAAATGAAGACTCATCCCGAGGTTGTCATCTGGTTTGATGAAAAATCACCAATCGGATGCGACATGGTGGCTGATCGGGAAGGACCGTTGGAGCAGACATCACCAAGACGTTCCCACAACCGACTGTGAGTTGAACGTTTTGTGTTGTCGAGGATAAAGATGCACAGCTCGGCCTGCAACTTGCGTAACTTTTTATCTTTGCGTGGGTGGGTGTGTGTGGTACCACGTTAGGGTCCGTTGGTCAGTTACCTGCAGTATGTGTGTTCACACAACTGGAAATGGAAAACTGTGAACGTTGCATCATCTCCATCCTCAAACTGGGGGACGTTTTTCTCCTCAGCCACAGGTGGATTTTCCTGGGACACTTGCTCCATGTCCAAATGGTGTGCGATGGTTCCTTCACAGCCAACTTAGTGTGTGGTGCCCTTCAGGGTACAATCAAGCTTCCATTCCCGTCTGCCCGAACCATTTCCGCCCGTCAGCATCACTCCAGGAGGACAGACCAAAGCGTACCGTGAATAATGGATGTGTGGCTCACTCATTAGTATAAATAAATAATTCACCACCACACGTGAAGCAGAATTAATCTTGTAAATGTGTGATGATGTTAAAATAACATGACGGGATGGAAGGACAAGCTCAGTAAGAATCTCGCCCTGTGTTCTTTGTAAGCTGATTAGCTTCAGCTCAACGCCTCTGTTCTTGTGTTTGTGTGCGTGTAAAAATTCCTTTCACTGTTCCGGTTTTGTCTTTTGGAATCTTCTGAAACAAAGTGCATCATGGTGAGATGAATTTTTGGGCCTGAAGTTCATCTCAGTCATTCACATTTGATTTTAGTTTTTTCTCTGATCCACAATTTGCAGACATTCAACGTAGTTCTTTATTTGGCTGAGTTTTTTAGTTCTTTTGCGACTATTCGGATGATTGACGTTGTTGAATTGAATTGAAACATTTGCCGTCGCTGAGATGGAGCCCAGTGTCCCAGAACCTGGTGAACATGCAGCCCATAAAATGACTCCAACTGCCGGGTGGAGCGGGTGAGGGAAATACCCACGGACCATTGCTTCCATTATGGGAACCAAACAATGGATTTAGTCCACTCCCAGCTCCCCGGTACCCAATTCCGCCCATTCTCATCTGGTCACCTGTAGTGTTGCTATGCTAGCACGTAGCTCAAAGCACCGCGGGGCCCAAGTAGCGCCTCACAAAGCCACCAGCGTACCCGTCCTTGTTTTTCAAGGACCCCGGCTTGTTTGCTCTCGTGCGTGTTTCTCTGTGTGAGGTGTGTGTGTGCGTGTGTGCGCACATTTTCACAGCCCGTCCCGCCTCATAGAGGAGATTACTTAATAAACGGAGACGTTCTGTCCTGTTGGCTAACAGTGCCTCCTGCTTGACCCGATTCGACTCCATTAAAGAGGCCAACAGGCTATTAACCCCCGTGTCAATACCTCACAGGTTCAGCCACACTTACAAACCCATTTCAGCAGCAGTCATAAACAGAGGCCTTATTATAGCGTCTCCTGGCCAAAGCAGACGGGGGGCCCGTAACAAAAGAGTCCCAAAGTCAGCATTAAACCGGGTGGAACAAGGGCACACAGGAAACATACAGGAAATGGACTTAAAGGAGGTGCAAACTAATGAACTGTTGTTAAATGTTATATTGCAGGGTTTTATTATTCAGGAAAGGCTGAAAATCATTCATTCATTTTGTGCATCTAAATGGACAATAAAGTGCCACATCAGTTCATCCAAATCACATTCCCGCGTTCCTCCTCGGGGGGAGTTTTATTCATAAGCTCCGAGCTTAATCAACAATATGCAAGGAGGCGTTAAAAGGGATGAAATTAATTAACTGACTTTTAGTATTGCATTAGTCTCACAGCCTGAATATGGCGGGATTACAAATGGAGTTTTTGAATTCATTGGTTTGCAAAGTAATGTCAATGAACGAATGTCACAACCCTGTTCTTTGTCTTGCTATGGGCGTCTTACCTTTAATAAAGATTCTCATAAGCATCTGATTCATGTGCGTTATGGGGGCAGGGGGGGGCTTTCATCAGCCTCCAACCATCATTAAAACCCAGACCCTCTGTGAGCGTCAACAAGCAATGATTTCCAGACTGGAGATTTATCACAACAGGGCGATGCCCCCGCTGAGAAGCACTATTCCAGCCATCCAACCGCATCTTGGATCCAAACAAAAGAAGCCGCAGCAAAGACACAGACCAACAGACGCAGGGAGGCACAGTCCTGCTGCCTCCCACTCACACACGAATAATAACTTCCTTCATGTATGGTTTCTTATATCGTCTCTCACTGGGAATGAAAACAATGGAACAAACAAATGAACAACGCCCCCTTTTAATAAATGTCTTGGAGGGAAACTGATGTTATTTCTCTCCTCTTCCCACTGGCAGAGTCGGGGTGTTTACCCTCAGGTGCAGCGACTGAGACGTCGCTAGGCAACCGCACCATCCCTGTTGTTGCTCTGCCTCTGGCACTCAAGTGGGAGCTTATGTGGACTTAACTTTGAAAGAGCAGCGGTGTTGAGGGGTAGGAGGAGGATTACCAGGAAAAATATATTGTATCGGGCTGGAGGCACTAAGGGTCGAGGCCTGACCAGTGTCACCAGCACCACCAGCAGCCAGACCGTCGGGACATGCCAGCGACGTACTCATGACAGAGTCTGGGTTTAAACAAGCAATCCAGGCTGCTTCTGCCTGACAGACTCGCTTTGTGGCCTGTATTGTCCAGCAGAGCAGAGCATGAACGCGTGAACACTAAACCCAACCAAATGTAACAAGAGCATTTCAGCTGCAGGAAAAACCCGTCAGTGTGGTAAAACTGCCCCCCAGTGGCTCCCAGGCGCACTTTCATTAGAGAAAATCAAGCGTGGCTCATCACCACTGATGGCTCCATATGTACCCTTATTGTTCCTTTTTGGTCAACGGACATGCGGAAGCTGCTCGCAGTCACGGGCATCTGTGCCGGTGCAGAGGGGCCGAGTTGTCCCCCAGCCCGGGGGCCTGGTGGATGTTTGCAGCAGACGGTGCAGCTGTGTCGGGCCGATAATGGAGACGGACTCGAACAAGACGCAGAACTGCACAAAGTGTGTGTGTGTGTGTCACGCTCATCGGAGGTGTGCCCAATAGATGTGCCCGGGGTGGACACGCGGTGTGTACTACACGTGGCTTTGCAGATGTTGGAGGATTAAGAGGTATTATCTGTGAACAGGTAACAGCGAGAAGGAATTAGGAGGCGTTCAGCTCGTCCATGTTCAAGGCCTCCGTCTCGTCGGTCCACATGGAGTTCCCAATGGTTTGATGATGGAATGCTGCCCCCTAGCGTCAGGAAATACAATCACACAACAGTTGAACTGCCTGAAATCGCTTTAAACACCAAACCATACCAGTTACTGTAAAATTATTTATTCAAACTATTTAATAGAGAAATGATTTCTTCTTTATGCAGGGTGGATAAATTCTCAATTATCTACAACACAATGTGTAAATGTTTAACATGTATAAATATACAAGAAGATTGTGTTTGTGTCCTGAAGAGTCAGAGGACAAAGTCAGTCACTATTGAAAAAGTCTAAATGTGTGTTAGTGGGCGGCTACAAAAATAGAAATCTAGATGCACTTTAGCCATAGCAACAGGTTGAAAACTTTCTGAAACCTACAATTTTGGAAATCAATACATGGCAAACTATTTATTTTAACAAACAAACTCAATGAAATCTATACACCTAACAAAAGTGATCTTAAACATATCCTATGCAGGTAAAGGCATTTTAGAATAAGGATTTAATCTACAGAAAACACATGAAATTAAATAAACCAACCTTCATTTAAGATGGAGTTTAGTACATAAATATATTGAACAGGTGATGGAGATGACAGATACAGAGTGAACTACTGCTTCATGAGTTACAGCAGGGTTAATTGCTATATGGCTTATTCATAGTTAGGAAGGCGACCTTAAATGAATGCAGTAAACAAATAAAAAATAAAATCATTCAATTAAGATTAGTCTTGTCCATTAAAACAATTTGATTTAAAAACTGATTTCAACGCACATACAAATCTAAAATATACTGTCCTGTGAGACAGTGCATAATGTACAATAAGTAATTTGTTCTTAACGTACATAATCCATTACTGCGCTTTTGGAAAGGTTGCAAAGGGACAACGACAGCATCAGTCCACGAGCGCTCTGAAGCTAAATAGGCATCATAAAGGGGAGGTAGAGAGGCCGTCCAACGGGGTCACTACTGTACTTCAGCGGCATCTGAAAAGCCTCAAAACGAGCAGAGAAAAAGTCCTCCTCGTCACTGGGAAGAGACCCACATTGAGTTGGACACGCGCACACACACACACACACACACACACACACACATCTGTCCAACGTGGAGCCTATTTGAGGAAGCCCTTGTAGAGGAAGTGGGAGTGACTGGTGGATCGCTCGTTCTCCAAACAGAAGAGCAGGTCCCTGAGATTGACGCGAGTGATGCGCTGCCGCGTGGGTCTGGAGGCCGACGGGCCGCCGCCGCCCGACAGAGAGGGACCCGATGCCTGCAGGAGGAGGGACAGATGGGCGGGAGAAAGAGAGGTCAACAGTGACGAGGTTAGGTGACATGTCGAAGAGGAGTAGACCAAGGCTGTATTTGTGTGCATTTTGTATCTCCATCACAAGCAGCAGTGACCGTTTCTGGCTGAAGCCAGGCATCGACACACGGAAGCTTTTGGGAGTTTTGCTGCCTTGTCGGCTCCTTTTCTGCATTGTCATAAACATTGAGGAGTTTTTTTTACCATTATGACTCTGCCAGAGTAGATGGGTTACTGCAGAATAAATATTGTGTGTTGAAAATAAGAACTGTAAGCAAGATATTTGACAATTTCAGTATAAGCAGTTTCTTGTTTCAATTGCCATGAACCCTTCGAATTTTCAGCAATGGCATATTCAGGAAGTCCTGCAGCCTCTGTTGCTACAAGAAAAATACCGTTAATGTTATTTTTATGGATTGGACCGAACAGAATGCAATGGAACTCGGAGATATCTGTACTTCTTGTATTATTCAATAACAATGATAAAGAAGTCTACATGTAGAAAACTAACTTAAAGGCGTGTCATTTGGAGACCGGGAAAGTGTACAAACAAAGACCTCCTTTAGTTTACTGCAGCTTTTGTACAAGTAAACAAGTGTTTCCTGAGGGAATTCAATTATTGCAGAGTGGTTCAATGCTTGTTTCAGAGAACAGCATCTGCTATTGTGAATGCTCCCCAGTGAATCCAAACAGTAAAAGACTTTATGTGGCGAGTATGAAACCCCCAATGCATGTGGATGTGCGTGTGCATGCATGCATGTGTGTAGGTATGTATACACACTTACTGTGAAAAGGAATTTGCCTCCTTCCTAGCTTTTTTTTTTGCAGAAATTTCACACTTAAAATGTTTCAGGACTTTATCCAGCTGGCCCACGACAAATAGCACCACGTGGGAAGCGTAGTGTAACTAGTGTTACCTCGGCGGCGGAGGAGGAGGATGGGGAGTCCAGAATCTTCCTCTTCTTCCTGGGACCGATGGCTGCCAGAGCTGTCAGGTTGGCCTCCCTCTGCCTCATCTGAGCCAGCTCCTGCTGCTGCATCTGGAGAGGACACACATGACCACGTGAAAATCCCGGCATGCAATGCTAAAACGTACAGAAGCCGACACTAGAGGAGCGTCCTGCTCCTCTCATCCTACCTCCTTTGCCTTCTGCTTCAGACGCAGCTGCTCTGGGTCCTCCTGCCGAGCTCGAGACTGCAAGGAGAGAAGACTCATTAATAACCGATGTAAGCAGCTTATTCTGCATCGACCTGTGAGTCTCATGGACATTTAGAAATACAGCATTTCTTGCTATACATTTCTTCAATAAAATAACACACACGTGTATCGTTTTTTGATATATCGCACAATTTGTTAGAAATTGTTTAGTTACGTCCCAAACTTCCTGAGGGTGACTCCAAATCAATCGTTAGCAACATTAGTCGAACTCTGTGGAATATGAATGCGTCTCTGGAGAAGACATTAGCTGCTGCATACCAAAACACAAAATGTAGGCCAAACAAATCAGCACTTATGACAACTGCTATTAAAAGTAAAGCGGTTGATCTCATCGAGACAAAGATGCAACACAGGCCTTGAAATGAAAAGGAAATATGGATGAAACTATATTCCATCCCAGAGGATCTCCAATGCCTGCTGCATACGTCATGAGAACAAAGTGCATGTTTTGAAGAGGACATAAGATGCTTCAATCTTACACCAAATATTATATCTCAGTATTAATTCAAGAAAGGAGTGGATTGTAAAACGACCATTACCTCTTAGTCAACATTTCTTTACACTCTATTGGACACCAGGTCTCTGAAACTACAGCATTTCACATCCTCTCCCCCCACATGACCCTTTTGTGTAACGTGAATTTCACCAACAGCCTTTAGAAATAGATTTATAATCATGATTAGCTGTGAGTGAAGGTGCACCTTTGCTGCCTTAAGGAGGATCTCTCTCTCCTGTTCCTCCTTCCGTTGTTTCTCCAGCTGGTCCAACTGCTCGAAGAACTTGAGTTGAGCACGAACGTTGCTGCTCGGTTCATACTTGCCATCCTCCTATCGACACACAGCAATGCAACAATGTGAACTTTCATAGAAGGGTAAAAAAAAAAAGAAAGGAGCAGAAACAAAGAACAGTGTACGACGTATCCGCCGTTTGCGTGCTAAAGACAGCATCGTTAATACAGGGGACTCCCGATCTAAACCGTGTGGAGAAAACATTGGACGAGTCTTAAACAATGCCGTGAGCAAACCTTGGAGTTGAGGTTTTTCTGTAGAGCCACTTGGGAAACCTTTTCCAACAGGTCCATAAGCCGATGCTGAGTAGCGTGGGAGACAAAGTTCACCACCTCTGCACCCAGGTCTGTCACACCGTGCCTCCGACCTGGAGAAGAAAGGTGGATGAGTAGATAGATGGATGCCGTATTGTCAAAAATGCTAAAAGCATCTCACCTATCTCCTGCATTGTCTTCTGTAGAACCGAAAAGGAGAGGAAAGCCTCGTCCTTACAGGAATGTGTCACCACTCCCACTAGTCGAGAATTGGTTGCGAGGATATTGGCGCTTTCCTCAGATAGGTTCACTCCAGCCATGGAGGCCACATCGTTGATGTCGTCCTCATCTCTGCAAACAAAGGTGTGGCAAAAGACAGCTCTGAAACTCTGATAGACCACTATGAACTGTTTTTAACATTTATAAGTATTCTTTCATTGAGATCAGATACAGTATTTATTTTGCCGGCCGAGTTCGACGAGATCTCGAAAGGACATTTGCCACCTACAAAACTCTTAAAAAGCATTTGCATTCTGTCGTCTTTGGTCTTACTTGAAAGTGGCACCCGGCTGTTTCAGCTCGTTCCTCTGAGCCAGGCTCAAGGAAGCAGCGGAGACTTGTTTAGAAAAAGGAGACGACTCCGGCCTCACTAGAACTGGCAAAGAGACAAAAACATCTCAATGAATACTAAAAGGTCCTCCAGTGAAAGCCAGACAAGCGTGTGATCAAATGGACACCCTCACCTGGCTGCAGCCCTTTCAGGTGGACCTGTTGCTGTCCCAGCATGATGCGGCCAGGGGCCTGATTCCTGAGAGTCCCCATGGGGGTTGTGGGTAAGGCTACCTGAGGTTTCAACATTGCTCTCGGCTGCTGGGACTGAATAACCTGCATGGATAAAGTTCCACATAAAGATTATGCTTTTTTTTTTAAACATGGATGTTAAAACATGTATGTTTTCTTGTACACGGTCATGGAGTGGAAACATAAATGCCACTGAGAGTTTTATATTTGAGTTAGTAATAGACATATTGGTTCACCACTGGTTTGCTTATGCCCAGCTGGAGAGGAGGCCGGCTGACCGGAGCAGTGAGGCGGGGCGCCGGGCTGCCCAGGACCACCGTGGTGGGGACGGGCGAGGTGGAGGGGACGGGACCCGAGGGCGTCTGGGGAAGCTGACTCTGCTGGATGAAGGCGGCGGAGTCTGGGGTGAGCTGCCTTAAAGCCGGGAGGCTTCTCTAAAGTCAAGACAAACAAGTTGTACGTCACAGAATTGCACTCGAATCATTTTACCTGGAAGGTAGATGGGTGGAAACATGACAATAGAACCTTACCTTGAGGAAAGGCACGAGGTACGGTTGGGGTGAGGAGTTGAGCTCTTTGTACAATCTGCTGGTGAATTCCTCCGCTTCCAGTCTGCCCTCCTAATACAATATTTAGAGATAGAGCTGAGAGAGAGAACTATCATTTGCAAGTAAAGATGCTGCTTACACTTTCAAAAAGGACAGCTGGGATTTACTTATTTGAACTTTTAGGTCAATTGTATTATTTCACTGCATCTACTTTAAAAGAGAAACCGACCATAGCCAGTGACATGTCCGTGTGCGTCTCCTGTGAGCAGGTCCCACTCACCAGCAGTTCCTTGACCAGCTCTCTCACACTGGCTGCAGTCTCTGTAGATTGCTTCCCAGTGGAGGCCAGCTTGATCAATGTAGACAGGAAGTTCTTACATTTCTTCACGTTCTCGATGGTCTCCTGCAAAAAATACAGAGCATTCAGATTACAAACAACTTGCTGTTCCATTTCTGAACACCCATGCTGTGCATCTTTTTCCTTTCCTTTGTGATCTGACATGCAGACAGCCAACTCTACCGGATCTCTCGGACCAATCCACTACTCACTTTGCTCATGGTAATTGAGGCAACTGTGGTCCCGGCTGCTTGGCTGACGGCCCTGGGGGTGATTCCTGGTACTGCAGCCCCAACTGGGCTCTGAGAAGACATACATCTCCGCCGTGAACATGTTATTTAGGACGTTCACACGTTTCCAAATGCACGTTTCAAGTCGTCACAGCAGAGTGTGGGATTTAGAGTTGCTTCAAAGTCGGTCATGTGTATCAAATGTCAGGTACAAAATAGCTTAAATGCATGTTTTTAAAAGGACCGATCTCAAAAACATTTATTCACACCATGCACAAAACACGGCTTTTAAAATATGAGAGTCTGCGTCGTTTCCATTGACGCAAAATGCACTTATGAGATCCTTCTGCTGTCATTATGATAACGTATGCATGATATTAACAGTTCATGTGTCAAAAAGGGGAATGGGGCAGTTTGTTTATCCGTCATACTGAACAATGAGCAAGTTACCGACAAACAAGCCAAGGGACCATAATAAGAATTACTTTGACACCAACAGACAGACGCACCTGAAGGACGGGCGGTCTGTGAAGAGTCGTGGTCGTTGGGGCGGCGCAGCTCTGGCGGATCGGTCCGGGGGCGACTTGTCTGCTGATGTTTCCAGGAGCCTGAAACAAGACACAACATGTGATGGTCATCACACACACAGCTTCATCAAACCAGAAGACATCTTAAATTACAGAAATAAAAACGCTAGTTTTAGCATTAATCACAACTTATATAATGACAATTATCTGCATTGATATATAGATTTATTGATCGGGGATTGAATATAATCAATGTTAATTGATAAGGTTAAATACATATCTTTAGTTAAAAATGTCACTTCGCCTCATTTCTATAAAGCTTAGTGCTGGAAATTGCTAAATCTATTTTGTTGCTTTTTGTGAGTTCACTGATTTTATTAAATGTGAAAATGATACGGTCTCCATCATTTTCCAAAACGGTACCGGTACCACTTGCCCCCCAGAGAGAGACGGCACTTCCTGAGTGGCTTGTTTGTCGGTAAATTGTTGAAATGCTCTTGAAATAATTCCAATTTTAAAAATTGTATTGTGGAGAACTTGATAGTAGGACATGTATGGTTTTCCAGTCATGTTCTATACCACTTACACTTAGAAGGTCCCGGGGAGGCTGGATTCCATACCAGCTGACACCAGGCGAGAGACAGACAACCATTCACTCTCAGTCACACAGCTACAGGCAATTTAAAGTCACAGAAGAACGTGACCCCCAGAGCGAACCCTCGCAGCCACGAGGAGAACATGCAAACTCCACACAGGAAGGGTGGTATCCAGACAAACAGACAAGCAGTCGCCTGAGCTTTAGGCGGGATGGTTTGCTGTGCAGGGACTCACAGACCTTGGCATAAGTAACACAATGGTTGACGGCACAAAGCTCCACCAGGGCAGACAAGGGGTTCCTACCTGAGCGGGAGGCGCGCTTGTTGGCGTAGCGGCCCGAGGTGTCAGGCCTCCCTGCGCCTGCGCCTGCATCTGGGCCAGTGCCTGCTGAGGAATCATCAGCAGCTGTCCACTCTCGCTGCGGACGAGCACCATCCCTGAACCATCAATCAGAACAGTTTAGTGTCATCTTAGGGAGTCTGAGAGGAAACATAATCATTACACCGCCGATCAGAGACAAGCGGAAATTAAAAACTGATTTTGTGAATCGGTGAAGTAAGCGAACAAATGACTTCACTCACCTGGGGGGAGCTGGATGTTATGCAGGCCTATACTGGGCTGTCCCGGGTTGGTCTGGGGGAGCCTCGGGGCCAACATCTGAGGCATCGGACCCCGGATCCCGCCGGGACCGCCGGCCGCCGCCAACGGCATCCGGACGGCGCCGATTGCCCCACGAGCGATCACCGTTGCGGGGGGTTCTGCCTTGATTACGTGCGACCCTACGCTCGCGGACACCGGCTGGGACGACGGGGGATTGTTTACAAGCGGGGATTGCGAGCCCAAACCCGGGTGACCCGTTGCGCTGACCCCGCTATTGTTCCCGATAACAGGTGCTCCGGAGCCCGCGGTCTGCGCAGGCGGCCTGACGAGCGTCACGGGGGGTCCCGTTGCCCGGATCGCGGGCTGAGCCGCCGCGGAGGGAACGCTCTGTGTCTGGATGACACTGCACGGCGACGCCGCACCGGACATCGCCGCACCGGGGCCGCTCGCGCCACCGAGGGAGCCGCCGCTTCCTGAATCGTGAGAGTTCATAATTTGGCTCCCATTGCAAGTCTGCGCCAAGCGGGGCGACGCTTTCCGCTGCGCGTCGGGCAGAGAAGTCACGGCGCCGCTGACAACAGGTGTTTTGCCGGGGTCGCGTGCCGTGGTGGAGTCCGTCGACGCGTCCATGGCCGAACCATGGGGGCGTCGTTGTGACGAGACCCACCTGCACTTCAACTTCTTCAGCGGGGAGCAGGAACGCGCTTGAGAGTTTGAGATGTGGCAACACGCTGACACTGTTGTTTTTTTGTTTTGTTTTGTTTTGTTTTGTTTTCTCAGTAAGCTCGCGCGCGGACACTCGGCGAGACAACGGGGACAACAACGTTAGTAAGTCACAGCGTACCTGCTTCCACAATCGTCCTGAACCGAGTCCCAGCTGGACATTAGCTCGCGCTACCCCCTTGTCCGGGGAACTACATTCATGTAATTACCGGCTGCCTCGTGCCTACACCAGTGGTTGTTGTGGCACAAGAACGACAGTTGTGACTCTACAGACTGTACGGGACGACAAACCACCGCTTTATTCACCTCTGTGTGTAAAAAAGGCTCATCCAGCGGATCGGAGTCTATCGCCATCTTTACTCTCCTGCGAGCGTTGTGAGAAGTGAGGGACTTACCGCCTGACATGCGCATGCGCACCACAACCAGAACGCCCCCGCGCAACGTGGTTCGGCGAGCTGTGATTGGCCGCGCCACATTCCGAGGGGCGGTGCCAATGGCCTCAGCTGTCATTCCGGGGACGCGTGAGACGGAACAACACCGTGCCGGAGACCAACTGCCTTCGTCAAATACCACACAGTGGCCGACGGGTTTACGCTGTACCCAAATGCCGGCGCGGTTACAGAATTGTAGCGCGTCAGCATTGGTAGAGTTCCAACGTGGTTCGGCACAAGTCAACAACCCAAATGTTTCAGTTTACTCACTGTCGATGCGCGGGGCAAGATGGCTGCAGTGTTGTGGCCAACAAGTGAAGCTTGGATTCACTTGCGTGTTGTTAGGAGGCGTTGGAGGGCGCCACACCTGCCTCACTGCAGCCCACAGGGCTGTCAGCAGTCATGAAGACTAATGATGAGGTTAAAAGGACTTTGATAAAGAAATTGGTGCACACTCTAGATCAGACTCAGGGAACATTTATTGCCATAAAATGTTCGACACGCAAGAAATTTGACTTGGTTGGTGCATAACAGCAGACGGCAAGACAGCAGTGCAAGAGGGATAAAATTAAATATAATGCTATGGGTTAGTAATATAAGGCCGTGGTTAGTTTAAAAATAAAGGAGTAAAAGCTAAAAGTTTATATTTAAAAATTAAAAATAAAGTGCACCAGCTAACAAAGAGACAAGTGAAAGTGACGTGTGCAATTCAAACTTTTTTTTCTTTCTTTATATATATATATATATATATATATATATATATATATATATATATATATATATATATATATATATATATATATATAAGGCTAGTATGTATCATAGTATAACAAAACAAATGATATATGATACATTTATAGCATATGTATAAAGTTAAATGGACATTAAACACCTGGAGTGGGTAGTACTTGTTCCATTTCAATCGTGGGTAATAATTGAAGGTGATAATATAATATATAAAAAGTGTATCGACCAGAAAAGGACTTTATCGTAGAATTGGGTCTCATAGCCAAACCTCTTCCACTGGACATTTCTAACTACACATTTACATTTGGGATATATATATATATATATATATATATATATATATATATATATATATATATATAGCCCTATATATAGGGCTATATATATAGTTATACAGTTGGACATTAACTGTACAGTGTACATTAAACACCCGGAGTAAGTCAATTTTTCCAATATCTGTTCTAATTTACTTCTCTTTTGAATACCCAAATGTACCTTGAATACCTCGAGTAGTGTAATATAGCCTCATATAATACTAAGTATATACATAGTTGGTTCGCATGCGGTCTACGTGGTGCAAATGGATCAAGTGTTGATAATTGTGTCATCGAGAGAATTAAATAAAAGTGTTTTAAACCACTTTCCACCGCTGCGGTCTCCCTCAGGCTCCTCCACGGTTTCCACGAGCCTCTCCGGACGTGCGCGCCTTCACTGCAAGAGGAGTGTCCGGTTTTATCAGGCCTCTAAACTCCACCAACTCCACCTCGTCTTTATTTTGCGGTATACGCCGGTGAGCGAAATAAACGAACCCAATATCACACGCAGGTGCGCGCCTGACAATCTTACAAAGGGCGCAGGTGCGCGCTGATTGATCGCACACATGCGTGAGGGTTGCCGTGTTTTTTTGCTGCTCTCTGGTTTAGCCGCTGTATTCTGAATTTGTAAAGGCATTTTTTTTGTTTGGCTGCCAACATGAGTGGCACCCCGTACATCGGCAGTAAAATTAGTTTGATATCCAAGGCGCAGATGCGGTATGAGGGAATATTGTCGTCGGTCGACACCGATCGGTCCACCGTTGCCTTGGCTAAAGGTGGGTTAACAGGCGATGCAACACGTGCTTTCTCTTTTAACGGTCGCTTCGTGACGGTCCTAATGTTAACGGTATGCTGTGTAGGCAAACAACTTTTATTTTTACCATTTTTATATTTATTTTTCCAACAGTTAAATCCTATGGGACGGAGGACCGGCACACAGATCGACCAGCGCCGCCTAAAGATGACATTTATGAATACATCATCTTCAGAGGAAGTGACATCAAAGATATCACCGTGTCTGAACCACCGAAACCTCACCACGGGCTACCTCGTGACCCTGCTATTGTACAGGTGTGTAATTGCCCTCCGCGACATGGAAATACAAAGTCACATATTACTCAATTGATAAAACGGGCCGCTTTTGCTTATCTTTGGTTCCAGTCATCCGTTGGCAACTCGTCTGCTGGTTATCACCCGCGCTGGAGTTCATACAGGGACATGATGCCCACCTACAACCAGCTGGCTGCTACTTCTCTACTCAACCAGCAGTACAATGCAGCACTGGGCTTAGGTGCAGCGGACGCCTCAAATATCAGTGTTTTCTTAAATGTTGATGTGGCTGATTCTCACTCTGCTGTTGATCCAAACCCATCATGTACGTTCCTGCTCCCTCCAGTACCAGGAATTCACGGCATCCCGGCCAGAAGGGCCCCCATGGTCGAGCAGGCTGTCCAGACGGTGCCCTTGGTCAGTGCCTCCCAGAAACGAGGGAAGACTTTGACCCAGCCACCGGCGAGCAAACCGCCCGTTCGTCCGAACCAGCGCGCCGGCCCGGCCCAGAAGGAGAACGTGCCCACCAGTGAGCACGCTTAAACACTGGCTCCTAACGTTTCGTGCCTTGCTTCTGATCCTCTAAAGACTCAAACATTACGTTTATTTGCGCTTAGGTCGGGCGCCCCCTCCGCCAAGTGCAGCCAAGGTCCAAGCCCAAGGCGCTGAGAACCAGAAACAAAGGCAAAAACAAGGTATGAAAAATTGAAATTTACTGTCTTATCGGAAGGAAGGGTCCAGTTTTGTAAGTAAAGTCCCATTATGCCGCTGTAAGACGTATGAATATCAACTTGACTAACCTGTTTTGAACGTTTTCAAAAACTGTTTCATTGTATTTTGTCTAAAAGTGTTTCTGGTGCTCAGGTGTCGGCAGTCGAAGGTCCAGGAATCGCAGCAGAGGCCAACTTCTTGTCAAAAACTCAAAAGCCACAACTTTGCAGTTTGAGTCAGATTTCGATTTCGAAACTGCAAACGCTCAGTTTAAAGATGAGCTCACTAAGGAGGTTGTGGGTATGTTGTCTTTCAAAGAATACGTCGCGTGACAACAACTCATGGCTAAATTTGGGGTGTGAACATCTGTGCGCGCGTGTGTCTGTATGCATTTAGCTTTTTTCATAAATCGTTGCAGTGGAGAAGGTGGATTCTGGGGAGGACCCGGACAGCCAAGGTGCGCCGGAGGAGGATGAGGCTCTGGGAGAAAAGTACTATGACAAAGCCAAATGCTTCTTCGACAACATCTCCTCCGACCTTAAGCCCAGGTGACAATGTAACTGTTGCGGTTTGTCTGTGTTACCTGTGTGTTGTCATGCTCAACACTATATATTTAACCTGGGAAACTTTAACTTGCAGGCGAACCACCTGGGCGGAGGAGAAAAAGATGAACATGGAGACGTTTGGCGTGCCCGGGCGCTTCCTGCGAGCCAGAGGATTCAGAGGTCGCGGGCGCAGAGGGCCGAGCGCCGCTGAGCAGCGACCCCTCCCAAAAGATGTTAGTGGGAGGGTGTGAGGGTGCTTCTTTATGTTGACCTTTTCTGTAGATATTGTAGTTTTCTACTTATTTAAAAAAAAAAGTACCTCCTGTTTTTTTTCCCCGAATTTAAAGTGGAAACATTTTTTTTTTTCCTCAATCCCAAATTTATGAAGTTTTATGTGAAATGGGAGAGCAATTTCTTTTAATCAAGCAGCTGTATGCTCGAAGCAAATTTATTAATTTGCAGTTGGCTTGGTGAAATGCAATGTGGAATTTTGTCTTCCAGCCAGCCAGCAGGCACATAAATGAAGTTCTGCTTTTTGCTGAATATATTCTGTCTGAGGACTTCTTTTTTTTTTTTCTCTCCCTTGTAAAATGGAAACTGTGGAGGACTTTAACAGTTGTTATTAAATAACATCATTATCAGAATGCTTCAAACTGTTTTCCTTGGTATCAACCTTGAATCCACAACTTGTGATGGCAACGAAGTTAATTCATTTGGCTCTTCGGAAAACCAAAGCTTATTTAGTAAACTTTTTTTACGCAGCCAAACTAATTGGATTCCTCTTGTGGAATAATAAGAAATGTATATATATATATATATATATATATTCCCTAGAAGATGAAATGGACATTTAATACAGCAAATTTAAATTAAAACTATCAATGACATTCATTGACATAAAATGTCTGGAGCAGGAAGGCAAATCTCTTCTGCAGCGTTTAAGTTTTATTTCCCCCGGTAGATTACCCGAAATTTCGCGGGGGCATTTACCATCTTGGTGTAATCGGATTCTGTCCACCGCAATTGTCTCCTGAATTTGCCCTCCAAGTGTTCTCTTAACCCCATGACTCTTTCCGTAGTCCAGGAAAAGGGGTGTGTTTTTTTTTTGTTAGGTTTAGTTTGTTCGACTCCTCGAGCAAATGTTTTTTTACGTGTGGCTTGCAAATAGAAGCCAGTTGCTTGAGCTTGTGGCCAAAGCCTTCAGGTGTTTTCTCCAGCGAATCCTCGTCCGGAATGTAGATGTCCAGCTCTGAGGCCGTCCGTCCCCCTCATCTGCGTAGAGGTGAAACTTCAGGAAAGGAATGTTTGTTTGCTACGGGGCTCAATTTGTTATCTACAATGTTTCAGACTTGTGCTGCTCGCTGGGGAACAAGTTAATCAATGGAACACATTTCCACGGAAATGATTGTCACAGTGGGATGCTTTGCAACTTGTGTTTGACCGTACAGAATATTTGTGTGTATATATTGTATCAAGGATACAAGGATGTCAATTTTACGCCACTGGCTCACTTAAGTACTTCTGTGGGAAGACGTTGACCTAATGGAGACATGAACTTACACAAGCAGACTGATGGTAAATAAACAAGGGGTAAGAAGCGACTGATTTTTATAATCAAAATCCTAAAAATGTATTTTTGTCATTGCATTATTTAAACTATAACTTCAAATCACTATTAAAGAAAATTCCTTTTTAAGTAATGCTGACTAATTTGAAATGGACACATTGAGAATGAAGCAAAAGACAGATTGTTTCACTCTCCCTGTATTTGATTCAACGGTTTAACATCTGCTTTATGAAAATCATGTGGAAATTGTTAGCGGACTTTCATGAGGCCGCCCAACGGGTCCTTGTCTCCTCGAGCTTCTGTGGAAGTAGTGAGCTTTTCGAAATAACCAGGAACTGACTATTAGAAATACATTAATACATTTTCCTTTCTTCCTTTATTATTAAAACAGATCTTTAAGCATTTTATTGCCAAATTTACTTTTAGACAGCTGCTAATTATTTTATTCTAGTCCCTGCCTTACTGCTCTGGGTTGTTAGTTTTTTAGAGTCGCTTGGACACATTTCTCAATACTTAGGTCACTTTTTCAAAACTCTTCACACAGTTCTAACCAACTTTCAGCTCGCCACATCAGTTCATTTCCCATTCAAAATGCACTAAAACTACCAAAACACTTCATTCATGTCACACGAGAAAAGGTTGACAGCCAACAAACACACTTTGTGACCCACAAAACAAAACACTAACGTAGCATTATACAATGTTTTTTTTTATAATTCACTGTATTATGTTACTGGAATTAATCCCACATGATGCAGAATGCTTCAATGTATTTCATGTCCTTTATTCATTTTTTTTATTTTTTTTTTGCACTGAGTAATTCCAAAATACAAGACTTTGTATACACACCGTCCACTGATACAGATACAATAGTAATGCTAATCTACTCAGTCTTCTCTATTTGGCCACAGGTTCTCATCCACATCCCATTTTATGTGATCTAAGGCAACACACCTGGGAAGGAACCTTCTGGCATGCCTGATCCATCCCTGGCCATCTTCTGCTGATATGTCCAGGCATCCAGCAGTCATTGCGTCCAGGAGGGACATTTGATCACATTTGATCAGGTGGTCATGAACCTTCCACCTCCATGAGGAAAAGAATCCCTCTATGGGGTTGAGGAATGGAGAGTGAGGTGGGAGGAAAGGTGACACCATTCTGGGATGGGCTGCAAACCACTCGGTGACTGCACGGGAGTGGTGGAATAAATGTTGGCTGATTTCTTCTCTCTGCATCCCTTTCCTCACCTGGCACAACCCTTCCACAGAGATCATGCAGGAACGCAAAGAGACGTTCAGTTTTGCATGATGTTATTGTTTTAAACATAAGTTTAACAGTTTTGAAAACGGTATGTACGCATGTGCAAATTGGCCTGTAGTTACACAGAGTTTTGGCGGTTGTTGTGTCTGAGTGAGAAAAGATATAAAATTTGAAAGATGTAGTCATTGAATGCATTTTGTGCCAAAGCAATAATAATTGATCCTCAGCTTAGCCCACATATACTTCTGTTGTGCTCACTGTGTGAAGAGTTTTGAATAAGTAATCTAATACTAAACAAAATGCACAATTTATCGACTAGAAGTCCCATGTGGTCAGAAAGCAAACCTTATTAACTGTAAACATGCCAAGACATCAGATTAAAATGTAAAAACATCCATATTTACAGTTCTAAGTCTCTACCTCCTAAACCAGTACAGAGCAAACCTCATAAATCAAAGGAACGGTTGAAAGCAGAATGTACAGTGTGTATGTACGTGTGAACCGGTGTGTCGTGGCCGAGGAGCGTCCCAATGTCCACTCCTTTCCCCCGTCGAGATGTCAACCACCGCCGCGCCGCAGGTGGAGCCCCGTTTTGAGGAGGGTGCTCCCTAGGATGATGGAGTCTGACCTTTCACCCTCTCTATCTCTGGGGCCACGGCTCTTCGCCTGACCGTGCTGGTGGCATTGTCTCCTCCGTGGGCATCGCTGGTCTGACTGTCAGAGGAGGAGTTTGAAGATGTGGAGGACGTGCGGGACTTGGTGTCAAGGCCCTCAAGGACGTTTCGAAGGAGTCCATTAGTGATGACTTCGTTGTTGTTGTTTCCTTGGACTGTGGGTGAGATACAAAATATCATTAAGGAGGCATCTGCACCGCGCTTCTTTGAATGTCTGCTCTGCTTCTGGCTTCCATACCTGGCAGCGGGGAGGTCAGCACCCCCTCTTCTCCCCCAGAGCTGTAAAAGACATCCAAGGCCTCATGGTCAGAGATTTCAACCAGCTCCATCTGGTCCAGCAAGTCCACGTTCACCTCCATGGACGAGATGCTGCCGATAGGAGCTGCAGGAGAGCGGAAGCACGGGAATCATCTGCATCTGTGTACGAGCATGCGTCGTGCGCAATGGGTTTACAAAAACCAGTCCAACTCACGCCTCTTATAGTCTCGGATGCACAGGTGCGCCGAGGACAGGTAGACGTCCACGTCATGCTGGAAGACCTCCTCGAAGAAACGCTGTCTTTCTCGTAGCTTGAGCTGCTGTGCCGCGTCCACATCTGGGAGCCTCTGGCCTCGCTCGCCGTCCGCTGGCAATCACAAGCACGTGCCGTTAGAAAGCAGTCAGGGAAAGTGTAACATCTGATACCAGGAAGCTGCATTTCAATCAAGCACCATACAAGGAGATTTTTGGACGTAGGTGTGCTGGGCAGCGAGATAACACGGTGTTGTATAACATGACGTATAGTTTGAGACCGATTTTACAGTCACTCAGGGGTCAAATGTCGATAGCCAGAAGGGGGAGCCATTGAGCTGTATGTGTGCGACACCAGGAGGCAGAATCCCCTCTTTGTGTAGATTTTGAGTATAATGAAAGGGGGTCACATAGATCTTGATTATGAAACATTACTGTTGATCAGTTGTTGCCATTTTCCACTGAGGTTCCATTGACAAGCTGCTTTTCCGTCTCGTCAGGACGCTGATAAAACATGCTTGCCAAAACGTATCAAATATTCAACAGATCCACAGCTTGATTTGCAAAAGCATGCTGTCAGGTCCTTTGCTATTTTGCATCAGCATCATTTCAATAAAGTTGAGTGCAAGTCCAATGTGTGCGAGCGGATGGATGAACTGCAGCGGTGTGACTGCAAGAGGAATGAGGAGAGAGGACATGCTGGACGGCAAATGTCTGAAACTATAAACACTTGTTTTGCACAGATTGAAGGTGTGAAGAAACGTTAAATTACTAAGCAGTTGTACGACTATAAACTGACACTTGTTAACTAGTTGATCTTAGAGGGTTTGTGGACAGGCCAACTAGAAGTTAGCCTAGTCATGCTAAGCTAAGCTACGGTTCCACCATTTCCTGGCTGTATCTTCATGATATGAGATATCATTTCTCATAAAAGAAGAGCGATCCATCGTCCATAAAAGGTAACTACTACACACACCCTGACTACGTGCTGACAAACTTTGAACTATTTTATTATCTCCCCTTGGTGAGAGGTTATGTCTTCGGTCATGTGTGTGGATCCATGACTGAGTGTGTGTGTGTTCACGTCCAATCTCGCACTTGGCTATGTTTGCACGCTTGAGTACCTCTCATGATTGGTGCGACTCCTTTTATTGCTTTTTAATTTTCTGTCATTCACTGCCGGCTTACCCCTCACCCCTCTAGCCGGTAAGGGCCGATAGTGATAACACAAGGCGAGTGCATCGGCGAGCGCCGGTCTGCAGCCAGAGGCACGGTGGGAAGGAAACAGTTTTTGGGCGGTGTGGTTTGGCCAATGCGGCGACCGCTGAGTGCCCTTCACCCACTGTCTTTTCTTTTTTAACGTTGTGTTTGGCTGACTAACCGCTAACAGAGCTGTTCCTCGCCACCACTCGGACACTGCCGAGAGGCCGGACAGCTTGGCGAGTTGGTCTTTGTGTTTTTGCCGTGGTCCCATGTAGTGTACCATAGATTAACAGCAGTGGTTGTGTTCATTCAATCACACAATACGGCATTAGTTGAGTGTGTCTTTGTAAAGTGCATTTCTATCCTGTTTCACCCCTCAGCTTAGAAGTGATATGTTGCATGAGTCATTAGAGCCAGTTTTGAAGAGCTATTACAACTTCCAGTCATGGATTGAGCTAATCGGATGAGACTTTCGAGCCATGTCTAAACCGGGAATAATATAAAGATTATCCAGGCTGTGTTGACAGCGGCAGTCCCAGCAGCTCTATAAATACACGTTTTCCATACCAGGAAAGGAGAGAATTCCAGGGCTCGTCTTTGGCCGTCTCTGACGACGTGAAGAGACCCCACTTGCACCAATGCACTACAGCTTATACCTTAATAACTGCCTCAGTCAGGGTAAAGCTGCAAAGTTGGTGATACGCGGCTACAAGTTGCGTCGGCGCAGTCCTCCCCCACAGGCCGCGTCCACACATCTGTGGTGACACGAGGACGCTCGCCTGCCACTGCAGCTCTGCTCCGTCCTGCTGGACAGCCCGCCCGCTGGGTGCAGGGACCTGCTGGCCCTGGGATCCGCATTCGGAGGGAGGACGAGTAGTAGAGAACTCGGGCCCCAGCGTTGGACCGCCTGACCGCATGCGTGAGACAGAAGCCGGGATTCCCCAAGGAGTGAAAATGCGCAGGTCCACGAGCAGAACTGACAGCAAAGAGCGATGAGTGGAAAATGTCTGCACCGACACGGTTATCATGGTATAACTGTGTGTGTTTGGTTAAAGCCACTGAGCTGGAATAACAGACAAACAAAGCCTCGACGTGTGACTGTATGATCAGGAGGATTTTGCTGTGAACGGACACATCGTGAGTGCTCATAACAAGCTTTTTAAGGTGTTAATATGTTAAGATGTTAATAGTGCTGTGCCGCCTGACAGAGTAGTCGTGTTGTTAATCAGCAGAATCAATAACATTATCTGATCAACAAACCTCAGATGCCTCTCTCTGTATTGTCAGACAAGTCCATATCCAAAACTCCTCCTCTCGCCCTAATTTGTCCTCCTTCTTGCTTTTATCCATTACAAAAACATGATTAATTTCCTGTTCCACGTGAACATCGATGCTCCTAAGAGAGCAAAACATATTGACCGCCTGGTGAATACCAATGTCTTATATTTCCAGATCCTGATTTACAATCGAGGCTTTTGAGATTTGTAGTTTTCAAACCCATCAGATGATCCCGAGCACATCAGTAATGGATTATTGTATGACGGCCTAAAAGAGTGCAAAAGGTTTAGCATTATACTTTAAGAGCTTTGGATTCAAAAACTAAAACTGGCGCCTACATAATTCACCTGGAACATCAACAGTTCGATCCGAGCAGCTCCCTCTAGAAACCTGTACGCAGACTTTGATGTGTAAAATGATTGCATTTGTTAAGTCATTTCCATCACTGCTCATAAGAAGCAGACACAGGAAGTCTGTGTAGGAGGTGATGTTAGTGATTACAACAATGCAGTGAAGGAGTCAGATCAACATGGTACAACTGCTCCTACACATTTTGTGTTTGTGCACATTTCCGTGTCTCGAAGTAAAAATCAGAGGTTGTGTGATGCGTCCTTTTTCCTGCACTGTTGCACAATCAGAAACGCTATATTGCCTGCAAGAGTCTTTCGGAAGCAAAGAGGGGGCAGCGCTGACAAAGCAAGATGTCAGTCACAATCAGGAGCTGGCTGTTTGAGGCGCACGGCCAAATGAAAAGTGACCAACCGAGGACATCCTGTCAGACAATGCACTAGATTTGTGCTGGACGAAGGGCGATCCTCCCTTAACTTTAAAAAAAAGATGGGCAGATTTTAATAGAATGTTTGCCGTACAACCAGCAAAATCCAGTTTTTAATCAAATGCTACAGGTTTACACAAATTGCTTATCTTGTAATTTCCCCCGCTCAGTTAAACACTGATTGATCACGACATTGATTGTTTCCACTTAAAGGCCGAGGCCTTGAGCTGAAGTTTGGCTACAGATGCATATCCTCACATCGATTCGTCTTCCCTATCAAGTTCTTTTTTCCCATTTAATCACCTTGATCAATACATCTTCCCTCCCTGCCCTTCTCTGTCGACCCCTGGTGACCTCTGAATAGTCCGACCACTCCACCGCTGATGAGATCACATGTACAGTCCGTTACACCTCATTCGGACCACAGACTTTGGCGTTTCCCAAATGCTTCATCCTCTTTCCTTTTTTTGTCTTCCTTTCTTTATGTGTTCTTCATTCTTTCTTTGTGTCTTTCTTTATGTGTTTATTTCTTTGTCTATATAATCTTCATTCTTTCTCTGTGTCTTTCTTTATGTGGGGATTTCTCCCCTATTACTTCTCTCTCTTTAAGTTTTATCTGCTCCTCCTTCCTGTTCTCTCTCTCTTTCCCATCTTTCTATTTCTTTGTTCCATGTTTTTTTCCCCCCAGACTTCTTCTTCTATCGTCTTTTTCTCTGTAGTTATTTGTCCATCTCTCTGTTAAACTGTCCCTCTCTCCTGCTTCCTCCCGCTGAGTCGTCTGAGTCCTCGTGGACTGGAGGGAGAAAAGGTCACCGCTTCACACCCAGTTGGAACGACTGGAGGAGACAGAAAGACAGAGACGGACAGAGCGGGCCTGACGTGTATGTGTGCTACTCGGCCTCCCCACATAAAGACAAACCCAAACCCCCCCCCCCGCTCAGGAGGCCGAGAGAGAAAGAGCCCATTGAGAGCTGGACAAAGGCTCAGATGTGAGGGAACGGGCCCGGCCGCGCTGCTCACAGCCTCAGCCTGTAATGTGTTTAGTTAAGATAACGCATCATCCCAACAGTCTGATGTCCTCGGCTTGACTGTACCAGCACGCACGCATGTTATCTGAGAATCGGCTCACTTTCTGTGCCCTGAAACGCCGCCTTGGAAGCCCGCGACCGGCAGAGGCAACGCATTGATCCGAAGGCTAAGTGAAGGACTGGCAGGAGGGCTCGGTGTCGCTCGCAGGCTGCCATTAGCCCGTCGCTGCGCTTGAACGAGTACGTGAGCTTCCCCCGGCTGGCTCCCCCGTGACCGGCAAAGAGAAGGTCAGGTCCCGAACGGGGGCAGAGGACGCTTCCTCTCCAGACGGAGACGCTTGTCGGTTGAAGGAGCAGCTCGCGGGCTGTAACTCCAGAGTAAACACTACCCAGCGGGAACTATCACCGCGTCCTCCAGCAAGCTCTCCAGACGCTGCGTCTATTCGTGGCAACCCAATACTGGATGAGGTCATCGCTGTTTAAACGGCCGTGGTGGGGGTGTAACATACGTAATTTGCTACGTGTCTCCCTCACACAGACTCTCACCTCTTTGCCAGAAGGGCGATTTTATTTCCCATCGATGAGTTCTCCAACGCAACTTAACCGAGAAAGCGCATGAAGTAGAAGATGGTGGCTGTAAACACACAACAGCAGAAACAAGAGTGATGAAGGCCCGGTGGAGGAAGGCAGGAACACTTGCATGAAGGCTATAAACAAAGAGGACGTCTAAAAGAATCCAGTGACTGACGGGATAGCGGTTAGCTGAAAGTGAGTCAACACGAGGGTGTGGGTGACAGAATGAATTCTGCACGGGCTCATTAGTTAAAGAGGATGTCTTGTTATTTTTACTGAGAGTCTCTATAGCTTCCAGCTACACTGACGCCAAGAGCAGGCTGTTTCAAGTCTACATTGGTCATTAGGATCCGTCTCTGTGGGCTGGTAATTAATGGGGTCTGAGGGAAGAATGGTAATGCGCCTGTTTGGCTAAAGGTAGAAGATTTATCCGGCTCCAACAGCGAGAGCACAGATGAAACTATGAATGCAGTGTGCTATTTAATCACTAACATGACCACATCCTGACGGTTGAAGTACTCCGCCTCCCCCCCATATTAGGTGTTAAGTGTTCTATTTTCTAGCCAGTCTTTCATGTGAATCTTTGCTTTCGCCTTCTCCTCATTCCCCTGAAACGCACGGTGCTTCGAACTAAAGTGGAACAGACAAGTGGCCGCGCTCGTGAAATGGACCATAACATCTTTGGAGACGATGCACTTCTGTTCTGTCTCGCGCTTTTATTTCTTGGGCTGCCGACAAAATCCCTATTTCTTCATTTCCAAAAACCTGCCGCTTACTGGGGTGTCGTTTAAAGCAGCGTAAATGACGTATGGGCTGAGTTGATGTGTGCATGCGTTTGCATGCTGTTATTTGCATATTAGATCTGTTTTTGCTGGGACAAAGCAGTGTCCAGCCCCGTCACCCCGGTCCCTCAAGACAAACAATGATATCGGTGTTAACCCCCTCCGTCCTCTCCCACGGACAATAGGGCCGTTTGCAGTCCAGTGTCATGTCCCACTGTCCTCCATAAGCCTCCAATCACGGCGTCATGACTTCTGATCAACACAGCCGGCTTTACCAGCTGACCAAATAGAAGGAGAATATACATCAATATATCAGGATTTGTCATCCTAGACGCCCTACTAGAAAGAATATGGTGTTAATCGGTTTGTTCGGATAGTTGCAGTAAAAGCAGCGAGCGTCTGGGGTGACGGCATCGACAAATAAATCTGTAATTACACTCCAGCGCTCTTTGGTGAAGGTTAGCCGAGATCTTCCTCTACGTAAGGCTCAAGGTCAGGGCCTCAGAGCGTTCGTGTCCCTGGGAAGGCTGCCTCGCTCTGTGCTGCTGAGGCCTGCTTAGAGCTATTTTCACTCGGAAGGACTTCAGACGTGTCTGCTCAGACTCATGTCTCAGATGTTTGTTGAGATTTAGGTGGGTTGGTCAGCAGATGCTGCTGGTTCCAAAAGAGGAAATGCACTCTTACTGCACTATAACTATTGTTAAATTAATTTTCTATTCTTGTACCTTGATGGATTTGGTTTCCCTGCACACCCACACAAGCCCAAACACATTGATCATAGCAGCATTAGCTTCCAACCTTTTTGTTGTTGTTTTGTTTTAGTCTGAGTCATGATGTTTCCTCCTCCTCAGCAACGCAAACGACACGCGGAACAAACTCAAAATCGTCGAGCGACCAAACGGAGGATTCAGCTGAGTAGATGGATTTGTTAGAGGACTAATGAGAGGAGGTGGATTATGTCCCCAGGGCTGCAGAGATTAGACCGGTTGAATTGATGGGAACCTTATTAACCCATCTACCCACGGCTGTTTAATATAATCATTCACAAGCACACATAGAATGTATTTAGTCACATGGAACAGGCCACACTACACTGTTTATAATAGAATATTCTGTGCATTTTCCGTATGTGTCCTTTGCACAATTTGATAAGTATGAGTATTAACGCTTCTAACTGTAATCAGGGCCTATTGCTTTAACAATGAGAGACATCAGCCATCTATGTTTTTCACCCTTTAATTAACAATGAATATTTAATGTGAAAAAGGTCATTTAGGACCTCTTTACCCAAAGGACGAAGTCAATAACTAGAGGATGAACATAACGGAGCATTTAGCTGCTAAAGAACTGGGCATCGTACTCAGCAGGTGGTTGAGACCAAAAATGAGTTGGTTATTCATCAGGTGATAAAGATTTATTCAAAGACCATGACTCTTAATATTTCTCTGTGGTATTTGCTAGATGTGTAATTGGGCAACTTTATATTAAGTTCATCTTTACAACTTTATGGTAAAATTGTGTTTATAGTTTTTTCTCTAATAGATGTCTCTTACTTCTACAGTATTTAAACAGGTGCTTAAGAAAAACAAATGAGGACAATGAGTGAAAGCTTGTGAATCCAACTTAAAAAAAAAGACAATTCTGAATAAACTAAGGGGGTGTGGTAGAATTTTAAAGTGGTCCAATTTGGTCCCGTTTGTATCCCATCCGGGTCTGACATTAAGCTCTAATGACTTGATAGCGGAGCAGCACAGTAGATATTCATTGTTGGGAAAACTTAAATAATGTTTTGTATTAGTCAATATTACTTTCTCACAGAGACACTTTGTGTCTAACATACATACTAGATGGAACCTACTGTGCGATCCAGTAAAGATGCTGATGGTACATATTGGGGATTTTTAGCTGACTAATTAGCTCATTAAACAGAATCCACTCCTTATTTCTATCTATCAAAGGGGATTACGCTAAGAATACGTGGAGAATATAGAATTGCTTCTCCACCAGACACCCTGCTGTCTGTGCCACGCTCCAAGCAGAAGGCCAGTCCTTTACTCCTCAGCTCTGACACATAATGACCCACAATAATCAAAATGTGGCACGAGTCGACTTTGGGCAGAGCAACAGATGGGGGACGTCTATCTCTGGAGTCCCAGCCCTGATTGTTTTTAGCCTCGTGAAATCCCAAACTGATCTCAGTCAGATCAACTAACTCAACTTCATTTCTTGTGTGTTCCATCTGGGTCGCTGTGTCTGTGGAGCCGGATGCAGCAAGTCAACTACGCTGAGATCCCGTAAGAAGAGGGATCTTTGTCTGGTGGGCCTAATCCAAGGATCAGCGTGTGTGGAAAGAGTGTGTGTGGAGGAGGGGGGCTTGGAGGGGGGGGGGGGGGGGTGCAAAGAGAGTGTGACTCTCCACTTGGTGCTGGTGGTGTATTACTCAGGGTGATGATTCAACATTCCTGTCTGATATTTGGCTGGTGTTGCAATTGCAATTGGACGATCAATGACACAACATATACGCCTCATATACGTTTGGTTACACATCCTAAATAAAGACAACTTCAAATAAAGAAAGCTCTTCTTACTTGACAATGACCACCTGACATGAAGCGCTGCACTTCTGACACGTTAAAGAGGACTTTCATCGTAGCTTGAGTTTCTGTTTCTTTGCCAAATATCTACTTTTGACGACCAGCGACGGAGAATCATTCCTCCGCCCCGATGCCTCGCTCTACATCTGCACGTTGACGCTGTGTCAATGGAGCCAGCGTGCTGCATCTCAAAAGGATCCACCTGAACTCAAAGACGACCTCCTGACACAAAGTTTAGAAGTTTTGAAGATGACTCACAGGGCAGGCGTTTGCTGCGAGGGTTGGCTGACGAGGAGCTCATGTTGCTTGGAGAGATAATCAATCAGAGGTGATCAGTGGGAGTCCAGCAGAGGCCGCTGATCATCTCCCGCGTCCTCTCTCCCACTCGGACTGCTCCAAGGTGCCGGACGCCGGCCGCCAGCACTGCTGCTCTGCCTCCACGCTTCCCCTCTTTGCCTCGGTGGACTCTGAGCCCCTCGGATGAGGCGAGAACAAGTTTGTGGCTTTGTGGAGGAGCCGACCGGCCGACCAATGACGGGGAGGAGGGAGGAGCCGATGGAGGCGGAGGAGAGGACTGAGGAAAAGGAAGGAGGGGTTTTATGTAACGGAGTGGAAAATACAGGCAGAGACAGGCACATGCCTTAGTTATTTTTACACTCTTGCCCCCCTGCCCCTCCCTCCCCGTTCCTCTTCTTCTGTCTCTTGTCCTTGTCCTGCTTTTTTATTATTTAAAAGCTCACTCTTTTGGGTCAAGTGATGGTCAAGAAATGGTCCATGAGCAAACAACAAATACGTCTTTAATATTTGGTTTTCTTTTCCTAACTGGTTTGATAATAATAGAATAAAAGTGATGCCTCTGGACAATTGGCATGCTTGTGTTTTCTCTTCACAAAGAACAAGTTGGCCCTTACAGAACAAAACATACTGCATGAGGGATTCATGTTAGAGTTAAATATGGATACAATCTGTCACTAGCTTTTTAAGAAGAATCTCAAAATAGATATGAGAGATTTACAGAGGGACATCTAAAGGAAAACATAAAAACTTAACTCAAATTAGAGCTATTTGACTAATCAAATGATTAGTTAATTTACAGAAAATGATGCACCTGCACCTGCCCACATGCAATCAATAGAGTTCTTATTTTTAACTAAACACTTTCTCTGGTTACAGCTTGATCCAGGGAGCCTCTACAGCAGTTCTCTGTTTTACATTTTAATAAATTATGTACCTTCGGTCTGATTCCAACAAAACTCAGTTTGGACCGTCCAAAACTTTACTCAAAAACAAAATCTTCAAAGTAGAGTTAAGAGTATCACAGATTAACTGTGTGTCTTAGACGCCATCTAGTGGTCAACAGAGGGTAGTTCCTGTGCTCCCCGGTTTCATTGCTGATTACACATCCGCATGCAAAAGTCTCACAGAGCATCATTACATCATCGCCTCTTTGAAAAACACTGCATCAGCGTTCTAGAGGGCCCTTGAATAGGTGCCTCAGTCGCAGGCCGGAAAAGCTTCTATGGTGAGTCATTGCAAGAATATTAGTGACTTTTTTCGTCAACACAACACACAACAACTATGGCTCAATTTCACTCACACTCACAGTCACACTTGGCGCCTGCACCCCGCCGAAAAGTGAAACTTCAAATACAAGCTGTAGTGCAGCAGTCGGTAAGTGTTGTGAGTGAACGTCGCTTTCTATCTATAAAAACAGTCCAAAATGTAAATGTCGGGGGGGGTTGTGGTTGTTGAGCCTAACTGTGCCTGAGGTGGCAGCATGTGTGTGTCTGTGTAAGTCCGAGGATAAAGAAGACCGAGATGCAGGGAGGGAGAAAGAGAAAGAGAGAGTGGGCAGAGGAAGCATGAAGTGACTCAAAGTGAGAAATTCTCTCTACCTCAAACCAGATTATGCGTGGGCTTTCTCATGACTGGGGGTTCACCTGCTGAGGCCCTGCAAAATCAATAGCTGGGCTTCTGTGCTGCCGAGGCAGGCGTGAACCAAAAGCCAAGTGCTCTTTCTTCTGTTTTAAAATGAGATGAAATGGGAAGCAAGAAAGCAAGTGAGGAAAAATATATAGAAAGCAAGCAGAGCAGGGGTGAGAGGGTGGGAGCGAGGGGGGGGGTCAGGATGTCTGCACGAACACGAGGAGCCTTCGCGCTTAGTGGCGAACCTTGAACACTTTGCTCAAATGGGATTGCTTGCCGTTTTCCAGGCATTCAAAGAAACGCTATTATTCTTCACGCTGAGGTGAGAAAGCACATCAGGGCTGTTTTCCAATCCCCGTTGCAGATGTGACTGCCGGATTTGTGGTTTTTGTCGAGCCCCCCCCCCCCCCCTCGTGTGTCAACTCTTCAGTCTGAAGCAACGTTTTTCCCGCCCTCACTCCGCCAGGCCGAGTGCCAAAGCCATCAGGCAGTCGTACGCCTACCATCAGATGAGGAGTTGCACAGCAGTCACATTTCTAATTATACAACCACCAACAGAGCGCTGTGGAGCGAAGGAGAGAGCGCGCGGAATATGGAGAGAGGAAGAGGAGTGTGATTACAAATGGAAGCGAGGCTGAGAGTGCTACTCTGCTGCAAACACGAGGGTGGGCAAGTTCAGATGAGAGAGACAGAGAGAGAGAGGGAAGCATCGAATCTGTCTGAGAAAGGTTAACAAGACTGACTGACTGAGTAGAGTGGGAGTGTAAAATGTAAAGGTGAGTAGGAGGGAATAGAGAGAGAGAGAGAGAGGGAGAGGGAGAAGAGGAAGGGAGGAGAGTGTCTGATAGACAGTCTGTTGAGCTCGTCTGGGTGCCTGATCATTCTGCTTCCACCTGCAGCCTGGGAGCGGGGACACAAACCGGGCAGGTGTGCGAGTGGGCGTGTGAGCGTGGAAGGTCTGTAGAACATGGATGGACCCGCGTTGTGAAGATGGGTGGCTCAAGGAGACGCACGGACGGGGGGATGGATGGACGGGGGAACGCGTAAGTAAGTCTTGTGCGGACGTTGGTTTTCCCTTGATTCACGTGGCTTGTTGCTGTCTTTAAGTCGTGAGAAATGCATTGTTTTCACTCTGAACGCTTGTTGACGGAACTCTTGGCGGTCTGTGGGGGTTATATTTGGTTGTGTTGCGTTGCACCTCCATAGATAGAAACATCAGGCCGAACAAGTGACTGAATGCAAATGAAGGCGTCCTCTGGCTGGTTATCGTTCTTGTGATGGCACTGGACACTGCAGTGTAAACATTTTATTTCCGTAGATAAGCGACCTGCGGTGAACTTATCACCTCATAAGGTGATTCACGATGCACGGCATCACGCATCAGACCTGTGCGTCGCCCGTTGTGCGTTAGCAGCACACACCTGGAGGCTTTTGGAATACATTTACATTTTCGCTGCATGCATATCTAATGTGTGTGTGTGCAATTCTTACTGCACACAAATGTAAGTGTGAGGGTGTTATCTGATCCCCCCCCCCCCACACACACACACACACACATACAAGCACACACACACACGCAGACATAATAAAGAAACAGCTCATATCAGAGACATGCCTGTCGGGCAGAGTGAAAGAGTTCCATTGAGCGGCGGTGCTCAGCTGTGATGATGATGACATAATACAGGGCACAGGGATGAGCTTTGCATTGACTATCTATAAAAGTCCTACACCGCTCCTTACTGAGAAACTATGAAATGACTCACTATTGCATTGATTGAAGGGGGATGATAGCGTGAGTTGTTAGAGATCACTTCAGACCCAAGAGAAAGAAACAGTTTCACATCCTGCACCTTTTTAGTCACTGAACACAGACACTTTCCTTTGTTTCCAGTGAAAAATGTCGTCCTGAAAACGACAAAAGTGTTTTTTATATTAAATTGTGTGATTAAATTTAACTTTGTCCCTCCCCCCCAACCGCTTACTCTGTATTGTTCCCCATATACTTCCTTCACAACCACACTGTGCAGTACAGTACCTTGTAACCATAGTAACTTTGTCTTTCTCTTTGTAAATGCCCATTAAGCCGGGCCCATTCAGTACAACAGTTGGTGGCTGGCATGCCTTTGTTCAAAGCTGATTGTGAAGGTATTGGTGTTCTGTCGAGCATAAATTTATAGGCAATGAGTTCACCAGGTGGTGCATTCAGAGGAGACGGTCCATTTATTAGTGAAAGAAACAAAAATTCTGAACAGAGAATCAGAGGTTTTCCTACAGAATATTAAGTGCACTTATATTTGTTTCCTCAACTTTTTCAGATCGTGACGACCTTGGACCAAACTGTCCGCAACGCCTGCCAAGAGACTGGAGTCTGCGTCACGTGCACACAACACCTCCTCACCCTCCTGCGGGAGGGCATGCAGTGCCAGCGTGAGTGACACGCAGCGTGAGCCAATGAGCTTCACGCCGAACTCAGCTCTGGTCCCAGAAAGGGACAAACTCCCGCTCAAAAAGAGGGACCAAAGGCCGAGCTCACCGTCGCAGCAGCAGCGGCAGCAGCCGCAGCAGTGTGATGATGCGACATTCAAGGTGCCCTACCCGTACAAGGGCCACGGTGAGTTTAAGACGAAGCACACGGGCCCGTTCCAGCCTGTACCGAGGCGGGTTCCCGCACTGTACCAGCCCTGGATGCAGACTCACTCATCCGCCAGGCCCAAGCCTCATGAGCCCTCTGCATTCAGAGATCATCGCGGCTGGGCAGAGTGGAGACAGTTCAACCCCCCGCAGCCCGGGTGGGCCTTTCCTCCCCACTACCAGCACCACGGCCACCTGTCTGGTACGTCTGCGCTCCACCTCGGCCATCCACACCTCCCCTCCAGATTCGGCCCCGTCCCACTCGTCGCTGAGGGTTTGCAAAGGGTGCTCGGAGGGTACAGCTGGGAGCAGCTCAAGACATTGAGGTGCAAGAGTTTGGAAAGTGAGAGGCAGAGCAATGGAAGGAACCGAGCGCCGTATGTGAGGAGAAGAGACAGAAGAGCCGAGGCTTCTCCCAGGGATGGAAAAGGTAGTCCTCCGTCACTGAGCACATGCCTACCTCACGCCCCACACGAGGACCTCACGCTGCAATATGACGACTCGCGCAAATCAGCAAAGGTTTTCACTCCCGCTTCTGGATATTCCTTGATAAGGGTTTCCCCCGACGATCGCTCAGGCAGCACATGCACCTCCGCGAAGGAGGACGCCTTGAGATCCTCCGCTCCCCCGTCTCCTGAGCAGGCATCTACCTCCTCTCCCTCTCCGAACAATTTCCCCTGGCTGCTCCCTCACTTTGTGGCGGGCTCTCTGATCGAGCTCGGAGACGGGCGGCTGAGGAAGGTGGAGCACCTGCGGACGGAGGACTTCCTGCTGGGATCACGGGCCTGTCCAGACCTGCGCCTGAGCTGCTGCACGGTGCAGAGCATCACCCCTTCGGCATCCTCCTCCTCCATCTCGCGCCTCCTCATCCTGCTCCACGACCAGCAGTCCCAGGTGAAGGAAACTCCCTCGGTAGTTTTCACCGTTCTTGACAGGCGGTTAACATGCATCAAATGTTTGCACCATTTGCGTCATCGGGGAGATGCGGTGCAATCTTTGAAACTTGACATTTACTGATTGAATGAGGTCAAAATTTCACCACTTTCAGTAACGTTTTCTAAAACCAAGCTGGAAGTAATGCAACCTCTGAAGTAATGGAAGCTGTTTTTGTCATGAGTACGAAAGAAGATGTTAGATAGTGTTTTATTTAAAAAAAGATTATTGCATATATGTATGTGTACAATTTCACTTGGAGAGCCAAGTCTTTAAAGAAGGGTTTACAATTTCTATAATTATAGCACAATTTTCAAAATAGATATTTAATTCTTAGGGCAGAACCTTGAACCTAGCTTTGTGTTTGACATGAGTTATATCTCAGACACTTCAGTGTGAAATCTCCCCTGCGTTCATCAGAGGTCTCCATCGAGTCTATAGAACGCTTCAGATAAGTAGCTTACATTAAAAAACAAGATTCTGCCAACAGTAGCGCCCCCTAGTGAACAAGTGAGTAAGCTGCATTGCTGCGTCTAATCCTGCTGTCCTTCTGCAACGTCCTCCTCCAGGAGCTGGTGGACGTGTACGCGGAGTACCCGTTCTTCGTGCGAGAGGCCGGCTGGTCCTCCTGCAGCCCCCAGAAGACTGCCCGTCTCTGCGGCCTGGACTGCCGTCAGCTCAGTGCGGGGGACGTCTGCCTGGCCCTCACCCCGGTCTCAGCCTCCCACCCTCCACCGTCGGCCACCCTGCGGGCAAAAACCTCACCCAGCAGCTCCGAGGGAGGATGCGAGTGGCCCCCCGGGGGGCCGCCGCGGCCAGAGGGGGGGCGGAAGGAGGTTGTTGTCCGCAGGAGACACTCTTCTGCTCCGGAGTTGAGGAGTTCGGGGACTGAGAGCACGAGGACTGAGGAGGGTTGATGTCTGGTGACAGGAAGCATGCCGGTGGCTTTAAGGCTCCACTATACTCAGCCTGTTTCTTTTTGCTGTCTTTCTACCTCCTCAATTCTATTTTTGTGCTTGACGTTCAATTTTTTGGGTTGCACCTAAGAAGTTCCAGCTGAACAGGATGAAAGGATAAAGTCTCAGGGCTTCCCCGGAGGGTACTTATATTAATACATTTGTCAGGGTAAGTCAGGAATAAAACACTGACAATGAGGCTGGAGGTAAACATCCCAATTTCTGCAAAAGCCTCAAGCAAGGTTGCGTAATTTATTTATTTTTAGAAGCCGTTTCAGGGACAGTAAATTTGAGAAATCTATTATAGGTTTAGAAAATATTTTCTGGGTTTGTTCGGCACGTTTCAAGCAGTTTCGACGTAATCAGCCCACGTTCCTTGAAAGGCACTGAAGAATACTCCCTCAGGTTTCCCACTGCTCATCATATCGTCTAAAGACACATCTTTTCCTGCCTGCGATTATGTAAGATGTCTCTATGATCATCACTGACGGTTTCATCCAAACTAATGTGTTTCCTTAATTCTGGTTGGATAGGGAATTCTTGCATTAACCTTCAATACCGCTTTGATTGCGTCACCGGATTCACGCTTCTACCTCTATTTTCTATTTAAGGTGGCAGATGCGTATAATCTGGTTTTAACAGCGTGGGCTGTTTTGTAAAAGCTCAGCTTCCCAGCGAATGTCAGTGTGAATGCTTTTATTTGCCTGGTTGTTACAATATAGCTGCTTTGCTCTTTTCAAAATGTCTGTCCGATTGTTAAGAGTGGGGGCTGCTTGGGCCATTCTAAGTGCTTTAAAAGCACAAACATGTCATTGGTGTACAATTTCATATGTCAGCGCTGTAATGTGATTTCCTTCTGGGTTCACTTCTCATTTTCACAAACGATTAAATTGTACAGAATTGAAACGCAAACCATGTGGGCTCAACTATGATGTCACAATTAGAGCAGACATGGTTCTGTACCTTGTAAAACAGTTTCCTCACTGTTTAACAAATATACGTTCTGCATCATTTTCACATAAATGTCCCAAAAAAAAACATTAACACTCACAGAACATTCATTCGCCGGCCAGCGGTTGATGACGCTGTGAGGAACATCAGTGAGGCCAAACGAGGTAAAAACACACACCTACTTCTTGTTTTATAGTTTCCATTTATTAACTTTAATCCGACTAAATAAAACGACAGCTTCCCTTTTCTCATCAGAAAGCAGCTGCGAAGGCGCGCACATGTCAGCCCCATGCCGATGAATCACGTCTTGCAGAGTCCACGGGCCTGCGGTGTTTGGTCCGCGCGGTAAACCAGGTCCAACGTGCAGGTCGTCCAGTCTCGTACTGTTATTAACATTCTTCACAGGCGTTCTTCGCTTTGCTCCCGGACATCGGCAGCACACACGCAAGCTGCCAGATGTTCTCCACCTGACCTGGTCCAAGTGGCCTGCTGAATAAACCAATTCAGCACCGGCTGTGCCAAAGGGAAAGGCGCAGTGGTTCAACAGGGAAGATGGAGATTTAGAGTTTTGTGAGCTGTTGAATCAGTTCCCAAATGCACATTTCCACCCAAGCCGTGTTTTATATTCTAATGCCCTACGGTTGGTGCCTGAATTGAAACGCAGAGGGATGTGAGTTGCAATTACAGAAAAATGTAGCCTTTTAATTTCATGTTTCCGGCACTGACTGTTCTTTTTTTTGCCTCTCTGAAGTAACTCCACATTGCTTGGTGTCCTTTCTGTTTGCTTCTTCTCATCGAAAAAGAACAGAAAGCAAAAGAAACCCCTTTGTTCAACCTTCCTCTGTTACCAATACTTGTATTTGGTTTGTGGTAGTGGTTAGTAGTACTGCATCCGAGGCTCACGAAGACGGAACACCAGTTTATTTCCAGTTTGTTCTGTGGCAAGAGCTCCGTGGTGACCAGCCAGTCAATCATCTCTTGTCTCTGGTTCCTTCACTTACGCCTTTATTAACTGTGGGGGGGTCAGTGACAGCCACATGCTCTGACCACCATGTTGCGATACTTCTTGAGAATGACGTTGGAGCTGTCGTCGAAGTAGAGCACAGAGATGCCGTGGAGCTGCGTGGGGGCGCAGCAGGGCTTGGGCACGGTGTCTGGGTTGATGAAGTGCACCTGTGGTCAGAAGAAGCATCGCTGAATCGTCACAGGAAATGGGGGTTGTGGTGAAAGTGCCCGTTTCCGTGGGGCTGTCTGGGACTTACCAGCGTTTGCACAATGGCATGATTGGTGGCATTCATGTAGGAGTTGAGAGGGAAGGCGCATTCCCCCTCACAGTAGAAGGCTGCGTAGCCCTCTGGTGCTATGATCCAGTCCTGCTCACATCAAAACCACCAGCAAAATCTCATTTAAATGTCGCTTTGGGACGTGAAGTGAAGTGAAATTATTATGGCAAATGAGATCAAAATAATGATAGTATACCTGCCATCCCAAGTCCCTAAAGCTGACATACAGCTCATGCTTTTTACATCCCTCTTTGGCGACGCCGCGGTTATCTGGAATGGGAAAACACGCAAGTATGAGGATACACACAGGTATCAAAGGGAACAAATAACTAAGGATCTGTTGATCAGAGTCATTTAATCCACAACCCGAGTTGATTATAGTGCGATGTGAAGGGTTTGGGCACCTGTTGCCGCCTCCACTGCCTTGAGTGCGTCCTGGACAGTCCTCTGGGGTTTGGAGCGGTTGGACTGGCGCCCCCCCTTGTGGCCGTGGGCAGAGCGGATGCTGCGGAAGCGCACCTCGTTGGCTTTGAAGAAGGCGACCATGAAGGGCTGCTTTTCCTGGGGTCCGCCTCCTGTCACCAGCCCCGCCAGCCTGGGCTTCCTCCTCTGACCTATAACGAAAAGCAATGAGAGACTCAGCCGAACAACCAAGATGAATATAACACACATGGAGCCTGTATATAGCACATGTATAGTACTGACTAACCTTGGCTGTCCTCCAGGACCAGGTGCAGGCCGAGGTTCTGCTCAGGGTTGACCAGCCAGAGGTTAATGGTGTTGCTCAGGTCAAAGACCTGCCAGCCCTCCTCTGTAGCCCACACCTCTCGCTGTTCCAGCAGAAAGAGCTCCACTTTGCTGAGGAGAGGACGGCGTGGAATTGAATTCAAGGCATTTCAAGGTTGAAAGCAGAATGAATGGAGTATCCTTGTTTGGCTGCAGATGTACATATTCTACATTTCTCCCATTTGACAAAACGTCTACTGTGATTTGTTACCCACGTCTTCTTTTTAAGTTTCTGCAAATTTATATAAAATGGTCAGCTGTCATGCAATTTTCATCAAAATCAAAAAACAAAATGTGTGGTCCCAGTGTTTGGACGACAATGCCAACACCTTCGGCTAACGATGAAACAATTAGCTTTGGTTGTAAAAGTGTTTATAGCTACCGTGTAGGAATTATAACTATAACTATTTCCCCATTCATCTAAAAGTTGAATGTTGTTCTTAAACCAAGTCAGACACCTGAATTCAGTCTAACTGAGAAGGTATTTTATTTTTCTTGACAAAAACAAAGATTAATAAGGCCTGATGGTCGATGTATGTGGGCTGCAAACAAACTAAATTTAAAGCATGAAAAGATAAGATAATCCTCCGTCCCTCGGGGAGGAAGTTCGCACCCAATCACTTTTGATTAAGTTTACTTTAACTTTTCCAATTGTCCCCTACAACTGTTGATGATATAAACATGTGGGCATTCCAACTTTATCAGGTGTGGATTTCAACCACTTCAAAGCAAAGCTGAGAGATCCCTCTCTGAAGCACGGAGCCCAAACAACAGAAAATGTAACATTCAAACAATAAATTCAAATAAACATTGACGGCATCACGTTTTTTTGAGGCTGTAGCGTACTGAACAGGCTGCGCCGTGTGAATCGTGTATCCGCCTACAAACCAACGGCCACCATCAAAAGCAGCACCTTCTCGACGGCCCGGAGTAAATCTCCCACACTGACACGTTGTCGTCTTAAGGGCCGATTTGGCAGACAATGGCTTTGTTTGCAGACTCAGCTCGGGGCCCTCAGGCAGATGCCGGCCTTCAGTCCTGCCGGCTGCTCGTCTGAGTGGATTGGCCTTTGTGTGTCTGCGAATGACAATGGCGTCGCCTTTCACACCGTCGTCAGCGGAAGGTTTTTTTTTTTTAAATCCGCCGCCTGCGGCACATGACTCCCTCTGCTCGGGGACTCCGTAGTGTGGGTGGCGTGGCTTTGATTTCTGAGAAAGCAGCCGATGTGTGGGGGGTCTGGCTATTCTACGGCGGGATAATCGCTCACGCTGTTATCCAATTACAGAAGCGCTCCGAAAACGGCAGGCCCCGGCGGGCAGGAACATGGAGGAGTGACTGCCTGCGTTAGAGCAACAGTGAGTGGACGTCTCGAGGGTTGAGAGCCCCGCGTTATAAACGCGCGTCTCCTGGGGAACCGTCCCGTTCTGACTGCGTGAGAGTGAACTCCCTCTCTGCAGAGAATAATTGTGTTTCGGTAATTGACGCTAATGTCTGTGTAAACAGCTCGGGTGCTGACAGTAACATCAGCAGGAATAACCTGCGGGGGAAATGTAGAGAGACATCGGACAGCTGAGTGCACACACGGCGGCCGGACGAACACACACAGCAGCAGGAGGCGTCTGATGGAACTCAACGGTCACGAGAGGAGAGTCCTGTGCGTCGCTGGAAGAAGCTTTGATGACTCTATTGGAAAAACGCTTTGACACTTCAGACTGGTCCGGACTGAAATGTCTCATCGACGGCTGGATGGATGCCGTCGCACTTTGCACAGACAGACATTTCTGTGTCCATTCTAATGACTGCACGGACCTCCAGTGTGTCTCTTTGAAATGTATTTTCTTGTGAAATGATTTCAACAAATATTGGATCGGATGTCCATGAAATATGAAGAGATATCAATTTCTCCCATGACAGATAATCTCGACTGCGATTATCACACGACTTTGAATCTGGCCAACATTTTTGGTTTATGGCCAAATACCTGCAGGAAAAAAGTATATAAACCATTTGAGTTAACTGATCCCTTCATACCACGGTGGAAAGTATATTTGGGGTACTTGTACCTCACTTGAGTATTTCTGTTTGCTCCATACTTCCACCTCACTACATCTCAGAGGCAACATTGTATTGTTTGCTCCACCATGTTTATTTAATATCTCCAATAACTACATATTTTACTCATTCAGATGAAAACGTATTATTACCGTGGTCTCTAATTTTGGTACTTTGAAGTATATTTGGATGCCAATACTCTTGTACTTTCCCTTGAGCAACAGATTGAAATGGGTTCTGCGGTATTTGAGGTTGTGAAGAAAACATCCGTACCTGTTTGGGGGCTCCTGCAGGACCTGGTACACGCTCACTCTGAAGGTCTCGTTCTCACAGCGTTCCCGCGTGAAATCTTTATAAATCCTGAACTCTGCTGCTGTGACAACTTCGCCCTCGGGAATGCGGGAAAGATCGAACCGAAATTCTCTTCTGTGTTGCTGGTGCGAAATATCCTGATCGACTATTGGGAAGACAGAGAAACAGAGGAAGCAATAGAGGTGATAACTCAGCATTTGACGGATGTGCTTTATCAGGATACTCCGTTTATAATCATCATTAAAGATAATTATACACACATGAGAAGTGATCTAGTGTTGCCGGCCTCAGCTGACACACACACACATGTCAAAACTGTCACCCAATCAAATGTTGCTCTGATGTGTGTTACTCTGCCCACATCTCGGAAGCACTGGGTCAGAAATAGGAAACATCCGGCTCTCCGAGCCATTGATCTAAACATCGGTTAAGTGTGCCATACGTGCCAGTACATGTGGGGGAGCAAAAGGAGCTCAGTTTGGCTCCCTGTGTAAATTGCACACATGTGCAGACCACAAGAAAAGGCCTTTTAAGGCCCTGCCCGGAAAACCGCGGCTGCCAGCGTGCTTTTACAAACACACTCACATAAAAGTATCGCGACGCACACAAATGTATGTGTGACTTAGCCGCCAGAGTCCGTACCACCCACAACTCCCTGATCATTTCGCCATGTATGTGAGCGCAGAGGATAAAGTAAAGCAGCGGTCGACGGGGGGGGGGCACCGCGGGGTTTCCGACCCGCCCTGAGCCAGCTGAAGCTCTCCGGCTCTCCGACTTTCCAGAGGAGCGGTGGTCAGAAAGACCCCCGAGAGCTTCCTGAGGCTTTCCAGTGTCGTGTTTTTACAGCGTTAGCCAATGTGCCAAGAGCAGCGGAGGTCTCCGGCGAAAGGTGTGTGCGACGGATTAGTCACCTTAAACACATCCTGCTCACTGGCGTACATGATGACATCGTCATCATGACGTCAGCTCCCACCGATGGTCCTCCATTGTTTGAGTGCACCGACAAGCAAACACACAGCACCTAAACACTAGGAACACAACCTTTTTTTCCACGAAAGGGCACACACACACACACACACACACACACACACACGTACACGCTGACTCACAGTCTTCTAAAAACATTTCTAAGGGCACAGAAACACACACAAGCCGTTAATCGTTAAGAGCAGTGCATTCTGAGCCCTGCTAGTCATTTGTTTGACCGCAATTAAATGGTGGAAGGGAACGAGGGGTGTTTTTATGAAAGCAATAATTGCTTGTAAGGACTCGGTGTGTTTATGTTAGGGACCATTAGCTGCAGAGATCAGACCTCAGATATGCAAACTTCCCTCTGGGAGGCATTTCAACACTTCAGATTACTCCTCACACTGGGGGGGGGCCACACAGCCACAAAGCTAACTTTAACTTATTGCAATTTTGTGGTAAATTCTATATTTCACCCGTCAGCATGAGTATGGGTGGTTTAATGACGTATCACTAGATCTGCACGAAAATACTACATTTTAGACAAAAATATTATCTTGTGTCACTCTATGCCTCATTCAAGCTCAGACTTTCATTTTTAAGTTAGTTTAAAAGTGAAAATGTTTCAAGTCCATGACTGTTTGCATCCACTGACAATGTTTCTTAAGCAGTTCCTTTGCAGATTATTGACGCCACCGAAAAAAAGAACTTTGCTGAACAAATATTTCACTTATGCACACGTTCTTATCAACAGAATGTAGCATGTGTATGCTGATCAACCACCAAACCAAAATAATTTGCTCTTGGTCGCGTCAGAGAGGAATTATTCTGCACACGATGTATAAATAATGAGACGGTTAATGGGATTTTCTGGTGGGGGGGGGAATTCTCAGTACGATCTCCTTAGGCTTCTTAGAGGTGAGCTTAACAGGACAAACACATTTCTTCTCGCTTTTTCTAAAACACACAATACACACACTGTTCTCCAACGACACGGCTGATTCCTCCAGCTGCAAAGAAGCATTGCGTAACCTTTTTCATTTAAGCCAGTGATGTTTCTGCACTTTTTCCCATGCAGGTGTGTTAACGTCAACGCACCAAAGAAAAGCCCGAACTGAACACCTGCAACAGCAACAGCTGATATGATTGAGCGTGACGTCAGTCCTCTGCACTGCATTTTCATGTATTTATTTATAAATAAGTATACGAGAGGAACCACAAATGTGCGATGCAATAGCAGCTGCCTGGTCTAATGTTGCATGACAGTGAGTCAAATGCTTCCTGCTGGTGTTTCTCAAGTATGACCTGTGGTTTGGCGTTCTAAGCAAACACACGCAGCCACGTATGTGTATCAGCGTGCGGCCATGGACAAAGGGTGTAGACTTTTTAATATGACCGGCTATGCAAATATCGTCTAACAAATGACAAAAGGGAGGTCGATCCTTTCACTCTAACCGTTCCTGATTTTTTTCCTACCCCATAAGCGATGTCATACTGGGTAGATGAGGCTGAATTATCTAAAACATGACTTGATGCATTGTCCACAAGCGGTCATCAAGGACCACCAAGAGTCACTGCGGCTAAAGCCTGTGCCAATCATCAGGAGGGAGGAGGACGCGGTGGGCTCAAGAGAGAAATATTGCACACTCGTCGTCTTCGTTGTTTCCTTCGCTCTTCAGATGTGGAACATCCGCAGTCTGCTGTGTGATTTTAGAAACATTGTTTCCAGATCTCGTTTGCCTCGGTCCATCAGTTAGGTTGTTACATGCGCACATGAAATGTTCTGTCTCTAATCCTTCTAAGCTTTCAAATGGTTTGTATTAACTCCACATTTAAGGGCAAGAAAACAGGTCCAAATGGCTTTAGTTCCATTTCAATGCCATACAAACACAAGGGAAAGGATTGCAGGTTTCCTTAAGCTGTGTGTCAGATGAAAAAACCTCATCTGTTGAGCTTGACCTACGACCCTCCTTCTCGGGTTGAAGTGGGGCACAAAGAAGACACCGGTTGGTTCTGGGTGTAACCACATCCGGACAAGAGCCGCAGGCCATGCCGTCTGCTGCAGGGACATTAGAGCCAACCTTGAGTCTCCAAGGGAAACAAAGGAAGGATTTGCCTCTAATAATTTCAGTTTTGTCCGTGTCGGCCCAAACTCCCACCTGCGACCACCGTGATTTACCAAACAAACACACACACACAGACACACAAGTGCAGGAATGTAGTGAACTCAACACAAGCACCTGCACCACGATTCCAACAACAACAACAACGACGCGTGTTTTGATGCAGTTTGTGTCTCACTCCCCAGAGGTTTAGAAAGGCCCGTCCAATTCCTTGTCATGCGAAACAAAGCTATGCTAAAGCCTCTCCCCCAAAAGCTTTGAAGGGATTCTGGTGAAATCGGATACAGGCATGTTGTCATAACATTTACGGCTCGGAATGCATAATGCCTGATCTCGGGTATAAAGAAAGTGCCCTAAAAGCCACAACGCTAGAAACACAGGCTCAACACACACACACTTAACCAATGCACTCTGTGGTGGCTGAATATCAACAAGCAGGAAACAATTTGAAATCGGGTTCAATTGGCTATAACTTTGAATGGTCAACATTGTAAGAACTCGATTATTTTGGCATTTTTTCGCAAAGAACACTGCCATAGACTTATAAGAAAAAAAGGCATTATCGCAGTAAACCAACTTCACGTGGTAATATTTAGTAAAGCCAAGACACTCAAAATACATAACCGCAAATATCAAATGTTATAATCAAATTGAAAACAAGACACATATGTCCATATTGTAAACTTACCGAGATTGACAAAACTCATCACTGTGTCTGCGTCATCCAAGAAGCGGCTGTCCTGGGGGGAGACCATGGGGGAGACCTGGGTCGGTAACACGGGCTTGTAGTAGGAGTACCCGGGCAGCTCCGAGTCCGCAGAGATGGTGTTGTAGAGGTCAAGCATGAACATCGGCGCTGCGTTGTATTTGGTGTGAGCGTGCGGCCGCGGACGGTGCGGCAGCCCCAGGATGGAGAGGATCTCCCGCTGCATCTCCCTGCGCTCTTGGCCCCGCAGCCGCCGCTGGATGAAGCTGGAGCGCACCTCGTTGTCCACGGAGAAGTTGGAGAAGGCGACCTGCGAGGCCATCACGCAGCAACCCCACGACTGGAGGATAGTTATCGCCGCCAAGGCGCTTGTCACCATTTTGCCCATTTTTACGCGCGGCTCTGGCTGAGGGTCAGGATAAGAAGTGGGATGCGCTTCTTATGGACGCAGTTCCCTTCCTCGTGGTAGTACAACACTATCCTCTGGCAACTCAGAACAGCATTCCCGCATCATCTGTTGCTGCGCGCTGCGTTGGTAGTGTACTCCGCTTGGTGGGAATGGATTTTATCGAGGCGCTGCGTCAGGGGAGGGGCAGGAGGGGTTTAGAGTGGGATAAACCAATACTGGAAAGATTGGGAGAGTTGGTACTGGTGAGTCACCGAGGGGGGGTCGGGTAACTCGCTGTCCTATCGTGAAGTGCACTTTTATATCTTGCTAATACCCTTTCAAACCAAATTGTCCCATGCGTTCTGTTGGGACATTAATGTTTGGCCACTGATGAAAGCGGACCATTTTTTAAATCGTTTCTAAGTAGTAGCCTGACAGCCATGAACCCATGATTCGTCAACATTGCATTTTTTTTTAAAATATCATTCCCCATTATTTTAGATGTATTGTGTCGGTGCTTAAACGCTGTGAACATTGAATGTCCTCATGAATAAGTGTAAAGCTTAATGATCAGTCCAAAGGTAAAGTGGTCAAATCCTGTAATCCCTCCACCTTTGAACTCAAACAATAAACACAGGCCCACCCTAATTGTTGAGGGGTTTGAGCGATCAGCAGGCACATGAAGGGACTTGCCAGTAGCCCCCCAATAAATTACTACAGCAATGTGCAAAGCACTCTGCAACGGGGTGGTGGTGCCAAGTGAATGACAAAGTACAACCCCACACTGAATGTGCGCTTTACTGAGTTGAGAGGACGGCGATGACTGGATCCAAATGTTAAATTGGAAGTTAATGTGTCATGAAGCCACAGAATGACTGTTTTGTTTATGAGATTTACTACAGAACCCAAATCACAACCAGATCTCCACACTGTACAAGAGCCATTTTTCCAGCCGAGGTCACTTAATGACTCATCCCATACACACTTTTAAGAATAACAGTGCTCTCTTCCTGCTAAATTCATCTGTAAACATTGTTTGTAACAATGTAAGACTATTTTGTTTTGTTAAAGGACCGTCTGTAAATCCGAATCACATCCCACGCATTATGTGGCAAAATCTCAATATAAATATAAAAAGAAAACCGACATGGTTATTTCCAGCGTTAACAGTACTATTAATAGAAATGTTTAGGTCTTGCACTTGAGTATTTCCGATACATTTAATTTCACTACTCACCAAGACTGTACAAAGCATCTTCATCGTATACTAACATTCTTAAATATTTTTGTAGTAATCATTCATTATAGTTGGGACTATACCGGTTTACAGCGGTATATAACGTTAAAGTCAAAATCCTGAATCACAATGTGATTCTGATGGCTGTTGGCACATCATCATGGACACATTTGACTACTTTTGCATTTCTTTGGCAGGCAGAGAAGGTTCAATGTACGGACTATTGTGGCCCATCGGTTTGGATTGGGATGGTAATCCAGCCTTGATTTTTATTTCAGCCTATCTAGGATAAACTAAAGCTGTCAACCAGAAAAAAACACAATTAAAAAAATGAAAACATATCGAAAACATTCTGTGTGGCAGTTGATGCCATACAGACTCTGAGGTAATGATCTACACCGCACTGAAGATAATATTCAATATATCTGAGACACTTTTTAACGTTTTCATTTTACACTGCACTGTTTGTATGAACTGTATTACGCTGCACTATTTGTACAAGTGGTTTTATTTTAGTAACGTTTTTATTCCTTCTTTGTATTTTTATTTGTATCTATATTGTTATTGCTGTTTGTCGCTGCTGCTGTTTGACTAGGGGCTAGCGAACGAAATTCTATTGACAATAAATACCTCATATTTTCATTTAAACGACTTCCATTTACTGCCTCCAGGCGGTTGCTCGGGACATTGCATGCGTTCACGGGCTCATTTACGTCATCAAACCTCGACGCACCGAGGAACTAGCGCCACTTTTTTCATGCGCCAAATTATTTAGGCATTTTCAGCGTTACGGAACATATCTACAGTACAACACATTTTGGGGTATGTATATTCATGTAGTTGTGAAACTTATCCGGATATGATACGATAGTTATCACTGGGGAGTTGTCCTAACTGCGGGAACATTGCATTAATAGCTAACGTTACCCACCACAGCAACTCATCTCTGAAACAAATTCAACGCTAGCTACCGATAGCTAGCGTTGAATTACCACGTCATTTTTAGAACCACAAAACGACTTGGGGGAGAGAACGTTAACGTAACAAACGCTCTAACGTATTTGATGCACCTTCCGCGGTTGAACTGCCCACATGCTGTCTTGGTAACAAGCTAGCTGACATTAGCGTATGGAGCTAGCAACGTTAATGATGTGACGTAGTCGAGTGGCAATTCTTCTGCTTTAGCGTTGCACAAGTTATCTTACGGTTTCCTACAATCTAACCTGATAGTTTATCTTCAGTGATAACGTTATATTTAGGTTAGGTAGGCAGTGTTTTTCTGCAATGCCTTGACGTTCGCAACCCAGCGCCACACGCGTACCCAATGTGCTTGTTGAGACGCCCTTTATTAGATCCACCGCTACCGCAACATCCCCGTCCGTGTGTCTGGCATCAGATGCTGCTACCTGTACCCCGATGACTGTGCGATTCATTCAGGATATCTGCCTTGCCTCGGTCTCCTCTCTTAGGCGTGCAGGACGAATAACGTTAATGTACGATGAGTTTATTTGGGGCAACCTCCGGGTTCGGAGCAGCGGGTGCCGGTGTGTTTGGGAGCGCAACGACAGACAGCCACAATCCCATGAAGGTAAAACCAGCAGAACACAAGACGGCATTTTGGATTTGTATAACCTCCAATGACGGCTTTTAACTAACACGGTGAATTGTTTGCATTTGTTGTTTATTTGTAACAGGATGTTGAGGTGACTTCCCCTCCAGATGACAGCATCAGCTGCCTGGCTTTCAGTCCCCCCACCATGCCAGGGAACTTCCTCATTGGAGGCTCCTGGGCCAACGATGTGGGTTATACACCAGTAGACCGAGGATTATAATTTTAGTATGAGATTTGAGTCCTTCTGCACCAGATAAGGTCTATCACACAGAATTCTAAACGGTCTACCTACGTGGTGTCATGTGACCTTAGGTCCGGTGTTGGGAGGTTCAGGACAATGGGCAGACTGTACCCAAAGCCCAACAGATGCACACCGGCCCGGTGCTGGATGCATGCTGGAGTGACGTAAGTCTCGTCCCACACAGTGGTTTGAGCCCAGTAGATTCTCTGCCACGGAACCGTTTATGACGCGCTTCTCTTTTTACCAGGATGGGAGTAAGGTCTTCACTGCCTCTTGTGACAAAACCGCCAAGATGTGGGATCTTAACAGCAATCAAGCTTTGCAGATTGCACAGGTTGGATGAGAATATACAAAATGAACAGCAGGGTCAGTTGTGAAGCAGAATCATCTTACACCTCTCATAATTTCTCCTGCCAGCATGACGGCCCGATCAAATCCATCCACTGGATAAAAGCTCCGAACTACAGTTGTATCATGACCGGCAGTTGGGACAAAACGCTGAAGGTACAATAGGACACAGAACATTTCAACACTTTTTGATTTTTTTGCACCTAGGAACCAGCGTATATCTCTGAAAAAGACCAATGAATTTTTGAGTAAACTTAATATCAGTCACACATGGACCATCAGCATCCTATTAATCTATCTTTTTTTTTTGTTGACATTTTTGTTGTACTTAATTGTAACCATAATAATCTGTAGTCAGACAGCGGCATGTTTAAAATCTGTAGTGAAGAACTGAGAAACATGACAGCCTTTTGTTTTTCTCCTCAGTTTTGGGACACCCGGTCTCCAAATCCCATGATGTCTCTGCAGATGCCAGAGAGATCCTACTGTGCCGACGTTGTAAGTGGTTTACGAGGATAATGACGAACTGTAATAATTGATGAAGAGATGATTGAAAATTTGACTTTTTGTGTTTTTCTTCACCTCCCTGGTTCTATTTAGGTGTACCCCATGGCTGTGGTTGCCACAGCCGATAGAGGCCTGATAGTGTACCAGCTGGAGAACCAGCCCTCTGAATTTCGCAGAATAGATTCTCCTCTCAAACATCAGGTGATTAATTGTCGTCCATTAAATATTTCCTCTTCGTCTTTGCCTAATTCCAATACTTATTTGTGTAAATTGAGCAACTTGCTCTGGTAGTTTTATGTTCATGATTCAATGTTACAGTATATCTGTTTTTATCTAACGCACATTTCTTTTCCCTGGTCCTGCAGCACCGCTGTGTTGCCATATTCAAGGACAAGCAGAACAAGCCCACCGGCTTTGCACTGGGAAGCATTGAGGGCCGTGTGGCCATCCATTATATCAACCCTCCAAATCCGTGAGTGTTGAAAACAAGTGAATGGATGACTGTGTCTGCGAGCATAGCTGACATTTTGTTTTTGCATAAGTAAAGAAACTGCTATCACTGTCAAAATCCTGAAACAAAATCTGACATGAATGTTTTCCCTTAATCCATTTTAGGGCCAAAGATAACTTCACCTTTAAGTGTCACAGGTCAAATGGAACCAACACGACAACTCCACAGGACATCTACGCCGTAAGTGGTTTGGTTTTCTAAAACTGATCTTTTGTGCTCTTCAGTTTGCTTGTACTCATCCCACCAGTTTCTGAACTTGATTATAAATAGTTTTAATGCAAATTCTTACAATATAACTTTTTGTCGAAACAGATATTCTGTTTGTTATAGTAGGAAGGTCCTAAGTGGAACTAATGCACTTGTGTACCTTCTGACGGACTCCATCATTGCAACATGGTCATGAAAGCTAAACTAGTTCAAATGTTTCCTCATGTCTCAGCTAATGATGTTGTCCCATCAGGTGAATGCCATCTCCTTCCACCCTGTCCACGGCACTCTGGCTACTGTGGGCTCAGATGGGCGCTTCAGCTTTTGGGACAAAGACGCACGCACAAAGTTGAAGACCTCAGAGCAGCTCGACCAGCCTATTACAGCGTGCTGCTTCAACAGCAACGGCAACATCTTTGCGTATGCCTCCAGTTACGACTGGTCAAAGGTAGGCGCTAATTATTTACAAATATGGTTAGCGTGTGTGTGTATTTCCCTGCAATATTTCCAAGCCGTGGCTTTCACCTCATGCTGGAATCCTCATGTTAATATTGTGCTCTCATGTGAATTCTTCAGGGCCATGAGTACTACAACCCCCAGAAAAAGAACTACATCTTCTTGAGGAGTGCTGCCGAGGAGCTGAAGCCCCGGAACAAGAAATGGTGAGAGAAGCGCAGCCGCTGTCTGTAAACATGGGGGTGCTCTTGCCCCCCCCCCGATCCCTGGCCCGCACAAACATGGCCACTGGCAACAGACATGAGTCAGTATTGCGGGCATGGTGCTGTGCTCACCTGAGGGAGGTCCTTTCGAAGGCATTTGGACAAGGAAGCTTGTTGGTGGTTATGCCTATACTTTATACTTACTTATAAAGTATAGGCATATACTATAGTGGGGGGTTTTGGCCACTAAGAGGTATAATTCATGTAATAATGGAGATAATCAAGGCAACACCGGCAAGCAATGATTTACAATCAATCAGCCACCTGCAGTGATTTAGTTTTTGTTTTATTTTTTCTGCGAAGAGGGACACTTTTTCAGAGAAAAAAAAAAGAAAAGAAATTGTGACTGACTGCCCCCCTCCCCTCCTGTCTTTAGATTCGTCGTGCTGCGCCGCGTCTGTTGTGAGGCAATGCGGAAGACCTGCTGCGTGTGTGTGTATGAGCTCGAGACAGACTCCTTCCTATCGGCAAACACCAGGACCAATGCAACGGTGCTGCGTACCGTGCATGGACCAATGTGAGGGGCCCAACCTGAGACCGCTGTGTAACAATTGATCATACAGGTCATCATAGAAAGCGAGGGCTTTATTTGTCTTTCATTTTGATGTATTTTTGTGTTCGGCTCTCTTTTTCACTGCTATACAAAGACCTTTTGATTTTGTTATGATTTTCTGTTATTCTGTGGTTTAGCTCTGTGACTAAAACTGGGATGTAAAATAAATAACCAAGTGCACACTGTTATATTTGAACACGTTTATTCAAACCTGAGGGTTGAAAATGAACGTATTGTTAGGTGTTTTAAGGTTTTTTTTGGATTCACTGAACGGTGACGTGCATGCAAAACTATTTACTACTGTTGTTTTCTCACATTGGAATCTTCCCAACATGATAAACAACGTAACAAACGTGTTACAAAGACCCCTCCTGTGTGCTTGTTTTAACCAAGATTAACCAGCAGGTGGAGCGTTTTGTCCCACGGAGTCTTCACTGCTACAGTAAGCTGAAGAAAGGGCAAAGAGCCGGGGTGGGAGATCAAAGCAGGGCAGCGGGGTTCTCCATCCAGGTTCCGTCCTTTTGGCAGCCGTTCGTGTGCTGGAAATGGGGGTAATTTATCAGCAGGATATGAAAGAGGTCGCATGGGCAGCTACAAAGGCCACGTGGGGGAAACGTGAGCCAGTTCATAGAGAAGAAGGTGTGAATTAAATGCCTTTTTATTGAGGTCATTAGTGTGTCACCTAACTGTTAACTTGACCCTTGGTACTTAGCGGTGGAGCTCCAGGGCAGCGGGGGCAGGAAGGCACGCTGCTGCTGCCGCACTTCAGCGGCTCCTCTCCGCTTTCAAGGGGCGACACTATACTTCACCTCTAGACCAGCGTCTCCTGTTCGTTCAGCACCAACAGGTTGCTTTCATAAAGGTACCATTTTTTTGTTTAGTTTTGGGCTGTTGGATTGAGCTGTTGCCATGGACATGTCCATCACTGGTTATCAGTGTTTCATGGCAGTGCACTACAGGGTAATAAGGTAGAGTAGTCATATTTTACTTTAACCAGTCTATTTAACGAAAGGACAGTTTTGTATACCTGTCTGGGATAAATACAAATCCTACCCAAAGAGATTAAGAAATAATCAAACCAATATTATACATCATTTACGCAGTTTTAGATGAATATTCCATCTATATACTCTGATTTATAAAAAGACAAACTATAATAATGACATTTCCCATGATCCCCATTTTGCAGCCCCGCAACAAACTAATGTTAAAGAGGTTATTGTGTTTTAGATAACCATATCAAGTGTTGTTCTTTTGCTTCAGCTACATTCTGAGACATAACTGCATCGAATAATCCATGTATTCATGCGTTCTGTTCCCCAACGTGCGCGCCATGTCACAGCAAAAGCACAATAAACGCACAGCAATGGTTCCCTTTTATAGTTGGAAACGGCGATTCTCGTTCAGCAGCCGAGGTGATTACTTCCTCGTCGCGGTAGCACGTCGACCGTGCGGCGGAGCCGCGCTTTCCGCCCCACGTTTCGGCCTTTTTCTTTGTGTCGTAAAAGGACAAAAGCAGGTGCAGCACAGCGCCGCGGAAGGCGAGCGAATGGGAGGAGCCGCGGCCCGAGTGGCCGCTCACCGGTGACGCCGATTGGTCAAGGGGTTCTAGTGGGCGTGGTTTTAATCACGGCGTATAAAACCTCCGGCACTTCCCCCCCCCCCCTCCCTCCCGGCGTCAAAGAAAGAAGTTTGGACGCCCTGCGCGAGACGCACTCCTCCTCCTCCTCCTCCTCCTCCATCAGGTTGCTCCAACTTTGAGCGAAGGTCACAACACGCGAGGGACGCGACAGTGAAAGCCTCCTCTTCCTCGTCCTCCTCCTCCTCCTCGTCGTCCCCGCCGTTCGGATGCCGGCACGCTGTTAGGCGCTCACTACGTTTTCTCCGCTCCGACCGACCAATGCTTCTGCATCAGTTCGTGAACGGAGCCCTGGAAGTCATGCATCCCTCGCCGCTCCAGAAAGACACCACGTTCACCAAGATCTTCGTCGGCGGGGCTGCCGTACCACACGACCGACGCCTCGCTGAGGAAATACTTCCGAGGCCCTCCGGGGAGATTGACGAGGCGGTGGTGATCACGGACCGGCAGACCGGTAAATCCAGAGGATACGGCTTTGTGAGTACCGACATCCGCCGTTCGACGCGGAGCTCCCGGTCACAACTTCGCATTAGAAATGACGACTTTTTTTTTTTGGGCTGCAGGCTTGTTTAGTGATCGTCTGCGCAACACTTGTGTGTGTTGAGTGTGAAGTTGTGTGAACACATATTCCCTACGAGGTGCAGCTGCTGCACGGGGGTCCTTCTTTATCCGCGTAATACACCCACGAAGAAGAAGCTTACTCGCATAATTTAAACGGCATCTAGCTTTAATTTCAGCTTAATGATGAGAAGGGGGGGGGGGGGTCACACATGTTGATGGATAACTGAGATTATATTTCAACATATGTCTATGCCCCCCCTCCCCATCCCCCTTTACTCACCCTCGAGCAGCAGCAGCAGCTTGTGTGTGTGTGTGTGTGTGTGTGTGTGTGTGTGTGTGTGTGTGTGTTGGAGTCCGTGTGCACTCCCCTGCTCGCTTTATATGGTTACTTTGGAGCAGTGGGGAGGTTGACCTTGCGCACCGGGCCTCTATTGTCAAATAACGGAGCAGTCGGTCATAGCACATGATTTGCATCCCATCTTGGCTGCTTGGAAAGAAATTCCTACAACCGAAAATTGGCTCCCTTCTATTGTACACATTTAGTTTTCTTTTGTTCTTATCTTTTCTTTGATGAAATATAAACTGTTGTACCTCGTTCTAGCCTTCCACTTTAAATCACAAACTCGATCCTTCCTTTAAGTCCGAATTAATGGGAAATATCTAAGGGCCCTTGTGATGTTCGCTTTTAAACCTACAATAAAAGATTACTTATCCCGCTCAAGAGCCGGAGATGGTTATTCTCTCTTGGACACAAAGAACAGAAGCAGCACAAGAAATGCAAATATTTACCAGAACCTTAAAAAGACCCATCAGGGCGAACGTACTGTCAGGCCAAAGAAGGAATGGAAAACTGCCATGTGTGCATGTTTATCTTCCAAAGTCAGAAATGTAAGACAATTGCTCTGCGTGTTTACACATCAGCTCCCCGGCTCAGAGGAAAGCCGCCCTGTGAGTTTAGCCGGTATCCAACGGCTGCGCGCCGAGGCCGGTGTTTCCGGTTGAGCCGGCTCCGGGGGCCACGAGGGTTCAGCCAGGGCCACGTTCTGTGCGGCGCGAGGCGACGGAGCGGAGTGGAGGCGCTGCCGAGCGGAGCGCACCTTCTTTTCTTTGTTTTTTAAACACACTTTAGAGGTGGATTAGCAGGGACCCCCCCCCCCCCTGCCTACCTACCCACCCGCAACAAGGCTCTTCACAGTGTAAACACGGCCTCGTTCCTTCCTGTGTGTTCACAACACGGGCCCCCGGAGTGTTCTCTGTTCCGGATCCTTCCACTACCAAGAGGCACGCTGCTCTCTTAAAATGAACGTCCTTCAGAAGGGATGCGCGGCCTCCACACCGAGGTGACTGAACCCTCTGAGTTGGCACAATGTGGCAATAAAAACAAAAGGACTCCCCTAATCCCCGGAGGGGGGGGGGGGGGGGGGGGGACTTATACCAATCTCCTTAATAATTTGTCCCTAATTGGATAAGCTCCTTGTTGCTCTTCCCAGAACCATATTTCAGCAGGTCTGCTGGGCCTGAGTGGCAATCAAGTGGCCGCCGCTGCTGCTGTGGGCAGTTCTCAAAGCGCATCATTGTGCTTTGTTTGTTTCTCCACAGTGGAAAGCCTGTTGAGGGTTACGATGAGACCGGCGGGCCGTCCATTTTGATGCTTTTTTTTTTTTTTTCCGAGTCCTTTTTGGGTTCGCGTTTGCCCCCGAGTAGTTGACGTATTCCCAGCCGCGCTGCAGACGCTGCGCGGCTTAATGAGTGATGCCGTTTGCTTTTCGAGGCGTCGCTGACGACTCTTGACTCCGTCGCCAGGTGACGATGACGGACCGAGGAGCGGCCGAGCGAGCCTGCAAGGATCCCAACCCCATCATCGACGGCAGGAAGGCCAACGTGAACCTGGCCTACCTGGGCGCCAAACCCCGCAGCATACAGACCGGTGAGGTGCCTCAAGTCCCCGATGGACCAATAAAGCCTTAATATCCAGAACATGAAAACGTATGCAAATGACTCCTCAAGCAGGTAAACCAGGGTTAGTTCTTTTGTGGAGTAGCACCACTCGTACTGGTCACATGCAGCAATTTGTCAATACAACCCCCCCCCAGTCTGAACATGCTCTACTAGGCTTATTGCACATTTGTAACTGTTGTACCATTTGTGGTAGGATGGAAACAAGCGCTGCCTCTGTGTCCTCTGTGTATTGTTCTCTGGTCCTCCTCTGTAAATGCAAATGTGTGTGTGTGTCTGACAGCCGGCCTCCTATCTTCCAGGCATATCCATCGGCGTGCAGCCCATTCACCCGGCGCTCATCCAGAGGCAGTATGGGTAAGTGAGCGGGAGTGGGCGCTTGTGTTGCGCGCCGCGCTGGAAAGTCTACGTCGGTTTGTGTCTCCACATGCAGCCCCAGCAGTGGGCCATTAGCATACTGGAGCCGCGTCGGGCTGCGTGATTTCTCGCCGCCCGGTGTTGATGAAAGACCTGGCTTTTTTTACGAAGAGAGCGGGGGTTCTGACCGGGGTCCCTGGCGGGGGTCCCTGAAGGGGGTTCCGTGGGGTTCCCCGGGGCACCTAACGAGCTTTTCACTAAGTAAAGAATTCTCCTCACCCCCCCCCCCCCCCCCGCTGCCCTCGTCAAACCTCAGACCTGTGTGGACGATTAAAAGACACAGTAACTTTACAAAGTGGTTTTGTGTTCAGCTTCTGGTGCTTGCGGCTTATGAAAATACAAACAAATGTTTCAGTGTTTATCAGGCTTAAAGGAAAACATCTGCTCCTTCTCGCTTTATTAAATTTGGTCTTTGGGACTTGAAGGTTGCAAAAAAGAAGAGGATAAAAAAAAATGTACCAGGGTTTCCACTGTTTTAAGATATTTAACAAGTACATTATGGATCCAGTGATTTAAACAAATGATCAACTGATGATCCATATTGAGCAATAACGAATTGCAGCCCGCAATATGTTTCTGTGGAAGATGCTGAACAGAAAATGACATCGGGACAACGGCTCAAATTGAATCGTAACTATTTGAGCCATTTTCCAGCATAAATTGGTCCCCAAAAAGCTGGATGTCAGCCTGCTCTTCAAGTGCACTATGAATGATTCTGACATTTCGTAAATTACCTGACTAATACAAACCACAGGCGAATTTATTTATATATATATATATATATATATATATATATATATATATATATATATATATAATGGAATAATCAGCTCCATCCAGTTTGACTGCAGAGCAGGAGAGTGCTTAAAAGCTCCCCAAAAATCCCCCGGTGCCTCCTGAGGGACAAAAGAAGAAACCGTCGAGGGTTTTTCAGGTTGGGGAAATATAAAAAAAAATATTCGCAATAAATATTCGCCTCTGTAATAACTCACTGGGTCTGAAATGATTTAAACCCAAAGTCCAAGTGACTCGTCCCCCGTCATGCTCCCAAACCGCGGTGGGACGTCCCTCCGACGTCCGTCCTCCAGCCAGCGCGGGTGGCGGGGAAACAAACCCTGAGGGGTTTGAAACGTGGCGCACGGCGCTGCTTCCAGGCGTTTGCCCCGACAGGTGCAGGCTCGTATTACAGCCTGTTACACCCCCTTTAATCTCCCATGACCACCCCCCTCTCAACGGCGCCACTTGGAGATTTGCACCACCTTTCCCCGTGCCCCCCACCCAACCCCCCCCCTCCCCCGAATTCCCCATGTGCGGCGGGTGACAGACGCAGGCCTCCATAAGATGCGGAGTGCCAAAGTGGCTTTTCTTTCACCCCCCCCTACAACACCCCCCTCCCCCCCCCCTCAAACCCCTTGACAACATATGGTGTGAGGACTTGGTCTGAGGCAGGATTTTGAACAGTGTGGAGCGACGCATGTAGCAGCGGTGTGCCCGTTAGGACTTACTGCTGTGTGTGTGTGTGTGTGTGTGTGTAGCTGTTGTCAGCAGATGCCTTGGACTGTGGGGGTTGGTGGGGTGGGAGGGGGGGGGTCACCGAGGGCAGGACATGGTTTTGATGGGGAGGGGAGGACTCTCCTCTCATGCATCACCTCCTCCACACTGTCCATGTATCTGCGCTCCCCCGCCTCCCGTCACGTATCCCCCCTTTTTTTTTTTGTTTGCCTTTTAAACATTGTGTTGTTGTTGTTTTTTTACAAATTTAAGATGCTGCCACCAGCAGTGTGTGAGACACTGAAAACTGACACCTCTGTGAGGGAGGAGGGTATCTGGGGGGGGGGGGGGGGTGTATTCTGGGACCGATGCTTAATGAGGCCGTGTGCTCCCTTGGAAACTACAGGTGTCGACTAAACACCTTTTTTCACCGCCTGTTGCCTTCACGTCCTTCTGAAACAAAGAGGCACGGGAGGAACACAAAAGTCGTCTTACAAGTATTGTGAGGCGTTTAATCCCCCCCCCGGTCCCGTCTGTTTCCACACTTTGCGGCGAGTTCCACGCTGAAGGTCATCGGTGTTATCGCGGGGAAATATTTAGCCGGCCGGTGCGATATCGCCCAGGCTTTTCACATCAGCTCATCATGTGGCCTGCGTCACCGCGCTTGCTTGGGCCTGTATCTGTAACGCGGGGGCCGCGAATGGGTCGCCGCGCGTCTCCCCCGGGCTTTCCCGGGCCGCCCGGCTGACGCGGCGTCGAACGCGCTCGGACTCGCGGCCAGCTGACCTGTGGTCTCGCTTCAGCCCCTTTTATTTACATCACTTTCCACTCAACCAAATCAAGGCCACTTGAGGCGGGCTCGCTTTACATGACGTGAGTGAACGCGCATACCCCCCCCCCGGGGCGTTCATGTATGACCGTCTTTGAAGGCCGTGTCCGATTGAATGCCCCTTTGTGCGCAGCTCAATAGCCCTGTGAGGGCAGAGTGGATTGTGGGTGGGGGTGAACTTGCTCTGCTTATGCTTACTTGTTGCATGCTGCTGTTATCTGATTTTAAATACCCCCCCCCCAGATGTGTCAGTGAGCCTCTGTAACTCCTCGTGGTGCAGAAAGGGGCCTCTTGTCTGTTTCCAGCCCGTTTGCAGTGTCACAGCACAGGATGGTCCTCGTTCTGAGTTTCAGGGACTCGTTATTGTTGAATCTCCTGTATTGAATCAATGATGCAACCGGATGTTATTTCTGACAATAATCACTGCCGTCCTCCCGTCTGCTGCCAGCTGACCCGCGGCCCCGCGGAGGATCACAGGATGCCCGCCGTGCAGGACTAGTCCGGAGGAGGGCTTTTGAGGAAATGTCTGCCCGCCCCCCCCCCCCTCACCCTTCCTCCCTCCCTCAGCCAGCCTCTCCAAGGTGCCAGCGATGGCTTGAGAGTGCAGTGTAGTGTGCTGTGATGGATTGGAGTGTCATTGTTTTTTATCTTTTTCTCCTTTGTGTGATATGAACTGAAGAGGGTTTGCCTGATTGTGGTGTGACTCTTTCCCTATTATGGCATGGTTTGGGGTTTGCTGTAACTGGTGTGGGTGGGTGGATGGAGGAGGTGGGGGGAGGTGTGGGGGGTGGAGGAGTGTTTGAGAGGGTGTGGGTGTATGAGAGCGCGATGACATCCCTATGCATGCTTCCTCCTTTTGCTGTGTCGGCTTCCCGGCTGCCTCTCGTTACGTATCCTCTTCTCCTGGGTTCAGAATCAGAAGCCGTTTGTTGCCACGTATGTTGCACATGGAGCAATAAAATATCCAAATACACAAGCAAGAATTTAACAATATAAACTGATAAGTACGTTTAAAACGCGTACGTACGTCCATACGTTTCCATGGTGAGAGAAACCACCGTGCAAGTCTTCCAGAGATGAAGTATTTGTGTTGAATCTGTAGAAAGAAAAGCTAAAACTGAAATTTGAATACTGTCCATGAAGGGAATATTTCCATCAGTACTGAGAGGCAGCTTCTGTCAGGGAGACATTTGGTGTGACTGTCTTTTGTCTCTGGATCTTTCTCTGTGGACTGGCTACCAAAGATAAAGGCTTTCAAAATAAAAGCCTATTACAACGATTTAAATGACTATCGTGGAGGGGGGGGGCCTCTTACGGCCACAACCGACAAACCAAGGACCGATACTTGAGGTCCTGACTAAAAGGCTGCTTTACTTCTCCACCTTGCCTTTCCTCCAATGGTGAAGTGGCAAAGACGGATAGAGCAGGAGAGACGATCCCCAAAGCAACGGCTTCACTCTGCTTCATTCGAAAGGCCCGGCGGAGCCTGATGAGCTCCCCCGCCGCCGTGCCCTCCCCCAGCTAGCATCATCACCCGCGGTCATGAGGTGTACAACGAGAACTAGAAGTCGGCAACTTCTGCACGGCCATCAAGTACTTCCCTTTTTGTGTGTGTGTGTGTGTGTGTGTGTGTGTGTGTGTGTGTGTGTATGTGTGTGTTTAGCGAGTGAAGAGCAGCAGCTGTTAAAACACTGCCTGAGCTTGAAAACCTGCCATAACATTGCGAATCTGACATTCTACCTCCTGTTAAGTACATACTACATGTCTACAACAATAGGAAAAGGTTTTGGCAGTTTTTTCCTGAAGAACGTTTTTTAAAATTACCTTTCGTAATGTCAGCAGAGCCATTAGGCAAAATCCCAGAGACCAGATCTTCATGGTGGAAAGTCAGGAGGAAGCATAGCTCACCTGAAAATGTAACGTAGAATGTCCTGTTGTATCGGGGACGGGCTGATGTGTCTGTGTGCAGGTTGGCCCAGCCGTACGTCTACCCGCAAGCCTACGTGCAGCCCAGCCTGGTGATGCCCTCTCAGGTTTCCACCGCCGTCAGCAGCAGCCCGTACCTGGACTACGCCGCCGCCTACACCCAGTACGCCCAGGCGGCCTTTGAGCAGCAGTACCCGTACGCCGCCTCCCCGGCCGCGTTCCTCGGCTACAGCTACGCCACCAGCCCCACGGGCGCCAGCGGGCCGGCCGCCGCCGCCACGGCCCCACCCACCGTCCACCCGACCCTCGCCTCCGCCGCCGGCCCGGCCCAGGCCTTCCTACACTACGCCCCGCAGCAGCACATCCAGCCGGACCGCATGCAGTGAGCCTGCGGAGACGGGGCGGCGGTATAAGTGGAGGAAGAAGGTGGGGTGGGGGTGTGGTAATGGACGCAGACCTTTTTTGGACAGAGGATGGCAGGAACGGGGTGACCCGGCTGTCATCATCATCATCATCATCGGCAGGCTTTCAGGAAAAGGGGCGGGTCTATTGCACTATAGGAACAGAATGAGCCGTTTGCTCATTGGTTTAAGGCTAAAAGGGTTGCGGAGGGTCTGAGGACTAAACGGCATAAAACATGTGGTCGCTTCCAGAGGCCCAACACTTCATTTTTTTTTTATTATTATAATTATTATTTTTATCGTCATTTATTATTGTATTAATGTTACCGTCTATTTGTCTCGTATGCCTTTATTGTCCATGTTAACATGTTTGTGGCTCCATCAGACATGTGTCCCCTGGTACATATCGATGAGGGGAGAGCCGTCCTCCTTTTCCTCCCTGCGAAGGGCACTGCTGCTTTAAGACACTCGGGGAGCGCGCAGACGTCGGGTGCAGGTGGAGGACTGGCTGGTGGTCTTGAGGGAGGCACACAGCGATCCGTGATCTCATCCCGGTGCCGTCCACAGCGAGGACCGTCTGCACCCGCCAACCACCCCCCCCCCCCCCCTCCCCCGAAAAAAATCGCCGACACCACAGGAGGACAAAGAGAAACCTTTGCCTCCGGGACAAGACGGAAAGAGTTTCAGTGTATATACAAGACGCCGGGGGCTACATTGTTTTGAGACGGTGATGTCCGGACTACACATTTTAAAAAAATATATATCTTAATTCAAGAGGCCTTAATAAAAGAGAAACTTCTTTTAGAATCTCCAGATTTGTTTTTCGCTCTCTCGTGCCCCCACACGCACACAGAACCGAGTGCTTAAAGCCCTTTGTATTGTAACTGGCATTTCAGCAGTCAGGCACATTAATCTGGCTTACTTGGGTCGTGATAATTTCAAACGGATGTAGATAATCGCATGCAGTATGTGGGCGGTGGGGACCCGGGGAGCTGTGTATCCTTGTTTAAAGGTAGCTGACGCCGAGCTCAGACACCAGTGTATTTCTTTTTGTTTCTCACTGAGATTGTTGCTCTCAAAGGACATTCATGTACAGCAATTTAAAATATTTTCAGTCATCAAGTACATTTACAATATTTATATGTAGGTATTTATGAGGTACTAAGTTAAAATAGCTTTATTGTTTTTGTTACTATGACCTAAAGGTACTGATGTCATTTAACCCGCAAAGGCAAACCTGCAGATCCACAGGTGTCTCTTTTCTTTTTCTTTGCTCTTTTCAGTCTCCGTGTCTGTGGATTTCACCTCGTGCACAACGACTACAGTCGATGCTCATTTGTAGACCCTTGTCTAAATCGCATCAGAAATTCTCTAGATTTTTTTCTTTTTTCCATTAAAGATGTCTTTTACAGTCCCTTTAATAAAAAATAAAAAAGCCATACCAAAAAAAAAAAATAGAAATAAAGACTTTGTACTTTAAAGATGCTTGTTGATGTTTTCTTTGTTTGAATGAAGAAACTAAGCGATAAAAGTGAGCGGCGTTTTCTCCCACTGTTCACGGCACGTTATTGCGATGTCACTGGCAGATGCTGCTGAGGTGATACTGTGAAAACCCTGCAGGGTGATGGGGTTCAGGACGGTGTCGGCCTGTTATCAAGGTGGTGTTCGTGCTGTGAGATCCTGTGGGGGAGGAGAGGGGCGGGCGGGCGGGCAAGAGGCCTAGACTTTTATCAAGCGACAACACCGCCACCTGCCAGGGGGGGAGGAGAGGGAGGCGGGGGCTGGGTGTTCCCTCGGCAAACACTTTCATACGTTTTGTGTAGGAACTTTGTCGCCTTGACACTAGTTTTTATTTTTTATGTTTCATTTTGAAAAAGGCTTTTCGCTGTGTCCCAGCGGTGGCTCTTCATGTTTGGATTTGCCTTCAGAAAATGTGTTTTAAACCTCACCGTGGCCTTGTTTGTTAAAATACAGACTTTAATTAAATTGTTCAAAGTACTATTTTTATATATGAGACTCAGTTCAAAGGACTTTTCGGATTCCCTTTGGGCACATTTACTATAATATAACACACACAAACACCAGGATCGCGTTCAGAAAAGTGTGTAAAAATCATGCAATTTGTTTTTGTATGGTCTCAAACTTTAATTTAGGAAATCTTAAACCTCACAAGAATACCCATATAAAGTAAAAGTTTCTTTCAGTGTCAAAACGTTCAAAGAAAAGTGATTGTGTCATATGGAGACATTACAAATTCAGTGTAATTCATAATAAGTCAGTGACAATCAACAAAATACTTATAATAGTGTGACATGTTTGTCATACAAAAAAATATAAAACTGTAGTATGTGGTAAAATATTATACAAAGTTATAGAATAGTTTACAGAAATTATAGTTAAAGGGTCTTGCAAATCACAACATAGAAGCTGTCCTCCAAATGTATGTGATGTGTGTCAGAAACATTAAAGAAAAGTCTTAATACGTTAATTTCATCAACAAATTAATTTACAAAAATAGCATGACTGTAGAACTATTCAGTATGAGGGGAAATCCACCATAATATACATATGATGACACTTGGCCTTTTCCTTTCTTGTACACGTAGTCTTAACAATTGTTTGCCTCCAAGATGTCACCCAGGACAACGTTATAGAAGTCTTTTAATAATAAATAATTAAATAAATCCACTTGTGGGCACCTGAAAGCGATCTGCCTGGATTAGAGGGTTGTCTCTTCAGCGATGAAGAGCCGTGTAAGTCAAAGTTAAAGCTTGATGGAAGCCATGAAAATGTGTTTTTTTTTTCATAGCTGAATCATCTCCCAGATTTTTAAACACACCGGGCATTCACCACAATTGATGTCCATGCGGTTGCTGTGTTTACTTGTTGTTATCAAAGCGATGCAGCTCTGCTACCCCTCTTCTCCCTTCACTTTGTCACCGTTTATCTCTCATAATCTCACGTCCCTGCTCTCGGTTGGTGATCTCAATCTATTTAACTCGACATTTCTGTTTGTCACTTCTGCTTTTCCCTTCCCGTAACATCTCCTTCTTGTCTCCCCCACTTAAGCACCGGTGGTCCTGTTTCCCCTCACATGCTGCTGTCCCCCCCCCTCTCCTTCCCCATCCCTCCCCTCCCCTCTCAGCCTCTCTCTCCTTTTCCGTTGATGCGTTTTCCTTGTGAATCCCACCAGAGAGGAGCACAGACGGAGCAGGGCGCCGGTTTGATGGACGAGGTCGCACAGGCATTGTTGTGCTGAGTCACCATAAGGTCTCTCTCTCTCTCTCTTAGGATCCCACCCTGTCTCTCTTTCACATGTCGGTGCCAAGTGGGCTCAGTCAGATCTTCACTCACTGCGCGCTTCTCGCTGCGTCTTGCAGCTCTGACGTGCAGGGACTCCTCAGAAGGGTCATAAAAGAGGTCCCACCTCGTCAGCTCTACAGGCAAAGACCCTGCGAGGTCTGTAGAGCATGTTTGAGTGGGCCACAGTTAACATCATGTCAAATTATATTATTCACAGCAGAAAAGTAGACGTATTCATTTGACCAAATAATCAGACAAACTTTAGCAACTGCCGTAGTCTCTGAGCACGGCTACATATATACATGTATATAAATTACTCTGTGCACCCAAGAAGCCAAATATGTGCCAATTAGTATAACTAGCAAGGTGCCTTCTTGAGGAATAGCTAAAGGGAAGTTAACGGTAGCTAGTTAACTTAATGATTTCAGGTACAAAGCCAGACTTATATAATTCTCCCCTGAATTCAAATAACTCGTCCAGTTTTAAATAACCCAATTACCTAAATACACTCAACTAATGCTAATAATTTCTCTTCAAAATATAATATAAATATAATATTTTCGACAGGCTTAAGTGACTTAAGCTTTTCTCTTTGGCCACATGCTTGCTGTTTTCACAACAAACAAACAATCCTGTCAGCTTCATTCATTTCATTTAATCAAGGCCGCTAATTCCTACATGGGAAATGTTATACTGCACACATAGTAGCATCCAGGGTGCCTCTCTTGTTTGATTTCCTTTGGGAGTTATTGCTTTGCAGGAAGTCATGAATGGCAAACCGTTGAGCTCCTTAGTTCGCTCTGTGCAACGATCACGCGTTAAAATTGTTTAGCGAGAACATCGGATGCCCCTCAAACCCCTTTGAGACTGACTGACGCTGTCTCCAGATGCTGCTGTGTCTGTGTGTCGCGACAGTGACCAGTCCCGGCCCGCTGGGTGCTGCTGTGGCTCCTGATAGGCCCCTGATACAGGCTATATTTACCCCGGCTCTCTAAGAGGGAAGGACCAGACCCCAGAAAGCCATCAAGTGCTCTTCACGGTGACCTTTTCCCCTCGCGCCAATAACCCATTCTGATACCGTCGTCTCGTCTGGGGTCCAGTTTGTGTGCGTGTGACTGGCAGAATACAGCGATGGGCAGAGTTCTACTGTTAAAAAACATTGCTGCATTATAACAACCTTTACTAGCTTAATGCTGTTTGTTCATTATATTCAAATCTATCCGTGAAAAGATGATAAGATCAACGGTTAGCGAGGGGAACTGGAACTCAGAACAACAATAGAAGGTACATTTTCCATACAGTTGGGACACCTGTATAGATTTACGCAAAATCAAACTATAGGAGGAAGCAGAATAATGTTACAAAAGCACTGCAGGAGGCGGAGATATTAGGCCTTCATCATTAAAAGCGGTTCAACCGGGTGTGAAGCTGGCAACAGCCTCCGAAAAGCAGAGTAACTTGATCGTTCAACAGAAGAAAAGATTCAGCTGGTTCAGCCGGTGAAACGTACACACATAGCAGAGTCTTAAACCAATATACTCCTCGCGTCTACATAAACACGTTCCTTGGTCGCTGCCTTGACCCAGTCAGGGATGCCGGCCGTTGATGAGAAAAAGAACAGGGCCAAGTTTTTTATTATTTACCACCCCCTTTACAGTCGACTAACCTTTGCCAAACAGCCACACATTTAAAAGCTGAATGCCTAAACGTACTGTGACAGCACCTCAAGTTCCAAATTCATCGGCCACCTTGAGTCACTGTTCATCGCGGACCACCCATAGACTGGACTGGATGTTTGTTTCTCACGGAATTTAACGTTTCCGTTTTTAGAAGAGTTAATATATTATTTCTTCCGTCAACAGTGTGTCCTGTAAACCGATAAACTAAATCGCCAACCGCCAAGTCAAGCGCCTTGTATGTCTGATATATTATGGCAATAAATACTTCCTGATTCCTGATTCCTGATTCCTTCCCCATCACCTGCTAAAAACGACGCTTTTTCTCAAATCTTCTGCTTTGACGGGGGGGCTGTGTTGTCCGCGGGGGGGGGGGGCACACGTTGAGATATTGGTGGATCGCTGTGTGTTTTCGGGGGGGCCGCGGCAGAAACAAGTGCTTATCTGCCGACAGGCCTGTTTGCTATCAGCCGCTCCGACGGCCCTTCACGCCGCTCTCACAACCCCCCCCTCCCCCCTTTGCTCCTTCTGACACTTCTGCTGGAGCCGGCGATAACGAGGTGACCCGGAGGAGTTTATGAGAGTTAATGGGAGCGAAGAGGAAATAATTAGTCGGCCAGACGGATAAGACACCACACCGGCGGGTCGAGTGAAGCGGATTGATTGAGGGCCTTCAAATCAAGCGTGGAACACAGTTTGTGTCCCTCGCCATCAGCCCGTTTGCTTCACCCTGATCGTCCAATTCTCCCCCCTCTGTAATGCGATCTGAGTCTGTCTCGCTCAAGCGGAGCCTGGGGAGGGTCATCAGAGCCCTGCTGTAATCACCCCCCCCCCCACTCACCCCTCCTCCCCCGTACTCCCATCACCAACAGCCGCTAGCCCGACCCCCCGACTGAAAGCAGAGCCGGAGCGCCACATCCTCTCATGTCCCTTTTACACCCCGCCAGTCCGCCAGCGTCGGAATGTGCAGCGGGGCTTTGCGGAGGGATCGTTGTTTGTTCCTTCCCGGCGTGAAAAGGAGCGCGAAAAGGGATTCGGGGGGGGGGGGGGGTGGAGAAAGTGCTAAATCCGAGGGCGAAGCGAAGGTCGGGGCCCTGTTCGCGACGTCGCCTTTGAAGGACGACGTGCTTTGACCTTTTACCGTCTCCGCTGTGGGACACTTGTTGGCCGTACGTGTGTTTTCCCGAGATGTTCAGCTGAAAGGGAGGTCTGCCGGTGCTGTGACACGTTTCCTTATCTCTGGCCAACATGCTTGTACGAACCAGCGCCTCCACCTCGACCTCAAACCCAGCCAGGGCCGCCGTGGGGGCATGAAAAAAGAGACGGGGGTGGGGGATGGGGGTGGGGGTTGGGCGTTGGGGGGGTTAGCGATGGCGGGATCAGCAAAGAGAAAGAGAAAGAGCCCTGACAGCGCCTGACAGCGAGGCTTCCTCTCTCAGCGGGGCTTTCACAACCACAAACTGACACATTCCCACGCACACACACACACACACACACACACA